CATAAATCTAATTGACGATAGCTGACCCTCACTGTCGTGAATTACCCTTTTTTGTTCATAAGCGTATGTAAAATAATTCTGCGTATGGTTATAATCGCGAAAGTCATTCTTCTTCCGGTTAAGATTACCTAGAACCGTTTAAATAAATAATATTCTAATGAAATTCGCGTTTATATTAGTATCGCAACATTTAAAAGACGCTGCGTTACGTCATAGGAATACTATTTGGTAACATCACAGCCGATTAATAATTACAACTGCATACAAAGTTATTTTTGTCCCACAACTTTAGAAACGTGGAACGCATCACTGACATGTTTGGGGTTTCTTTTTTTACGATAATAATTAATTAAAATTAACACCTCGAGTATATTAGACGGTCGCATGCAACGACTTCCAATAAATATGTATTATGCAAATGAAACACCTCCTCGAAGAAATTTGAATTCCCGTAAGTCGCAGAAGAAAAATGATAATTGTCAATGTTTTTTTTTTATTTTCGCAATTATAACGATCCGTTACTTTGCATTTTATTGAAGATGAAAGGAACCAGTTTCGGTTACCTCTATTCAACTGTTTTTCATCAAAACTTAACTTATCGGTGTTGCAGTGTGACGTTGTTGTGGATTCTCTACAATAGAGATGGATTAGGTTCCACAACTTCTTCGGTTTTAAGATGCGCGTTAAAAGCGTAAATCTGTTTGTAATATTTCCGAAATTTGTATTTGTAAAAGAAAATAAAATTGTAATAAGGTGAGTATTTTTAGTTATGTTGATTAGAAAGTTTGAAATTGAACTCACTTTCATGAGTAATAAATTACGCTATACTAAACAATGACATTTTGCAACATCGCCTGGCTGTGAAAAGCAATGTATATCATCGATAAATGCAAAATATTACCAACTCCCTAAAAGTCTGTTCCCCCTCATAAAACATCACTCTTTCCTCAGTCTTAATTAAATGGTTGAACAGAAATCGCCGCATATGCATCTTGAGTGCTTGCCACGTTTTTCTTCTTTTGTTATATATATTTTTTTATGCATATAGATAGAAATAAATTGGAATAAATAATACTACACTGTGCTTTTTTCTCTTCTTTTGTATTGCGTTGCTTTTCAGTTTGTATATTGTACGCGGATACCAGTAAGGAAGTATAACTTAAACTTCGCCTGCTGTGATATGTTCTTGTAATGTAAAAGCAGACAAAAGCGCTCAGACAGAACTTTGTTTTTATATTGTCTTTTGTTACCTTTGATGAAGTTGTCATTTTTGTGTGTTGGAATTTTTGCGATTGAATTGAATTGAAGAATTTATCAATCCATTTTTTTATTGGTGCCCTATTTTACTTATTCAAAGTAGGCAGGAAGCAAGCTCCACATAAAGAAACCGTATAAAAAATTTGAATCCTATTTTATTCAGGAAAAAATAAGGCATGCCGTTTGCAAATGTACATTAAAGTGATCAACATGTAATTAAACGTAACCTGATAATTGGACCAGATGATGATAGCAATAAAGAAATTGATGTATTATATGATTAGATAAATATAAAAAGCAATGATTCGATTTTTTTATAGACGAGTATCTAAAGATACAAAATAAAATATTATTTAATTTTGAATGTCTTATTCAGCAGAAAAGAAAAATAATTAAATTCTAATCCATAGGTACGGACCTGTGCGGTTATGTTTTAATATTACGACTTGCACGGATCTTTCTTGATGAGTAACTAGTCACTGTAGTACATATCTGAATAGCTTCTTAGGTTTTGTTAATTCTTTATCGAAATCTAAAAACAGGGCCACATTTAATAGTGTAACGAATCCGATTCCCACACAGCAGACATTTATGTCTAATTTTAAGGCTAAGGGTGTCGATTACGTTTTATTACATATAAGAAACAAAATTTATAATTTTTAATAGTGTAAAGACGCTCTAAGACTAAGAGTTATTTTTGAAATAGCTGACACTATAAAGTTATGTAATTAAATTAACCTTTCTTTAAATCCGCATAGTGAGACAAAATGTTAATCAAGCACTTTATTTTTTTATTGAGTTTATCATCTTCAATGACGTGGCAAGCAGGCCGCAGGCGGAATAACGCTGATTTTTATGTGCAAATATTTGTACGTACTTAAAAAACATCGGTCTTTAAAAAACAGTGGGATAGGCAATTTGCTAAATAAATTAGAATATCATCTTCGATAATTAAGCTGTAACTTTGGTTGTTTCCGTGATTTGTTGCATTCTGCATGAAAACATCGCAACAATAATTATTGTTAGAATACATTGTTTCAACGCCCTCGGGTGTGAAAAGCATTAAGTTTCAAAGAACAGCGGAGATTCGTTCACAAATTACGACATGCAAACCAATTTGTGCGGACAAAAGCGTTGTAATTTGTTTATAGCGTTTATTTAAATACCTTTATACATAGGAGAGTAACATTGTCAATAATATACCTAAGATAAAAAGAAATTGCAGACGTTGATACGTTATATCGGGAAAAAACCACTGATATATATTAGAGATAAAAATCAGCACCATAATAGTCAAATTTGTACAGAATATGATTAATGTATCAACAGCTGATTTCAGTGTTGTTCTGTTTAATTTGTTTTTACATATCTGTCTTCGTATTTTAATTTGTAGAAACGTTAGATGAGAAGAGCGGTCAGCCAAAGATTCACCGCCAAGGAAGAAAACGAAATTTCGTTCAACGTTCAACAACTGCCTTTTCTCCATATTATCAGGAATCACATAAACTGAAATTAAATATTTGCATAATGGCATTGCATTATTTTTCTGATGCTATCGTTCTTTCCTTTGAAAAACATATCACGTTCTATTCTAAACACCTATTAATTAGAAACCCGCCTGTAATATAAACCGCTGTAAAGGATGTTCTTGAATAATTCAAATGTTCCATCTAAAAGAAACATATCTATGAAATTTAGCGAAAATAAATTAGTTGCGTGTATTACAAGATACAGGAAATATAGCAAACAGCAAACTTGTATCATTTCTACTTGATAACTTATGGAAAAGTGAATAGCTGTTCCACATACAACCTTGTGCGCAGAGATCAGTACACCCTGTATAAAGTTGTATACAGTTATTAGATAAACTTTGGTTAGTTTTGGAATTGAGATTGACAATAATGCGATTTTTCTTTTATACACAGTTATTTGAAAAGCTCAAAATTACATATTTTGTTATTTTAGTAATGATAGTTAGTTCTAGACAATTTACTAAAATATTGTAGTATGCAATAAGTTTGATAGACATCATTTTAGCAACGAATTTCATTCGCCACGAGCCCAGCATAGCGGAGGAAGTCCTTTTTTTGCTATTTGTTGCACATTTTTAAGCAATTATAATATTTTTGAAACAGGTGTTTGTTTATTATGAGAGATACTCTATTGTGGTGTTGTCCTTTGTTATTTGCAGAAAACATACTTGATTCTCTTTAATTGTGTAACGCGCTACTTTCGCCTACTCCACTTACATTGCTCAATATATTCGGTTCAGTTCATTATTGCTATTTTTCACAGTTTTGGTTAGTTTTAGTTAGCTTTAAAATTTACATTATCTGATTCATATCCATATATCCAACAAGATTAAATTATCCTTTTTATATTTTTATTTTTGCATTTTCGTCTAAAGCAGAATATAAACATAACAGAGACTAATAGAAATATCCCGAACGGGATATCACTTTTTCTTATGAATTGTCAAATCGACGCTTACTCAACTTAATGTAAGCACCCCAATATAGACTAACGGTTTCTGAGAAACTAATGGTTGTAGAAAAAGTATAGTATGCAACACGTTTATAAACTTCTTCAGACATTCGTTCATTAGATACTCGCTCCGCTGCGGTCTTACCTTAATTAAACTGTCGTTAACTTATTGCATAATATACTATTATATTTTGAACTAGAACTATACTTTAAATGGAGGATGTCTGAGTTTGAGACATTACTCTATGCTTTGTTTATATTATTATCAGTTATATTGTTTTTACGTATATTTTATTTATCTTAATATACAATTAGTTATGTGATATAGACCTAGGAGGATCCATAGATTGCAAAGAAAGGAAAGGAGTCGCAGTTGTAGAGCGACGTAAAAAAAATCAGTATTACTGATTAACAACTACCGCGCCATATGCTGCGCATTTGTAAGAATTTAATAATAGTTGCTGAAGGGTTTGACGCTAATATATATTTAAAACTCAGTCTAGTAATAAATGTATTTAGTGCTCCCTCCTACCATAGAAAATTGCAGATAAGCAATCTAAAAACTCGTTCTGACGTCCTGTAAAGTAAATAATTACGAAATTTTATACAATCATTATTACAGTGGTTCGTATTTGATCTGCGAGTAAAAGGGACGAGTCAAATTTTTATAAAATCTAAATCTAAGAAGCTGTAGTATGAGTATTTAACCCACGTTCCGCTTTAAAATGTATTTAGCATTATCTAATTCGCGATCTGTTACAACGTAAATTTGTCACGTCTTTCCTGGATTCCAACGTCTTCATACAACACTCCTTCGTATTCTTTAAAATGTACGACATTTTCTACGGCGATGCCCTTTTCGCTTTCACATATTACGATGGAAATGACATTTTTCTTGGCAGAACAATTTTTACAGAATCTGTTTATGTTGAAGGCATGCAACCGGAGGTTAATCGTGTTAGGTTTCTAGTTCCAATTAACTATGGGTATGTAGAACATATTAAACTTACGACAAGTAAAATCATTATTTGAGTTAACATTTCGACACACGAGATCGTTACAAAAATTGTACCCTTTCTGAAATTTGTTTTTATTCGCATTAAAGTAATATTATTATTTACCAAAACAGTATTGCAGTGAAATACACGCGTATTAGACGAGACCAGATTAACGGAACGAGATGCACACTCGTGTATAACGGATGCATTTAAAATGCAATTTGCTTGGTCGATTGCACTGAAGATGCCATTTGAAAATATATGTTGCAACATTATCACATTATCCCGGTAGGGGGAAAACAATAAGCGAAGCCAATAGTATATATAAATAAGAAAAGATGCCACTTTATAGAGACATCCCCGTTGTTTAATTTGGTTAGTGTCGCTGTGTGTGTGCAGTGCGATGGATTGGTTAAGGGTGAGTAATCGGCGGTAAAAGCAGTTTTTAGTAGGTTTCAAAATTTTACCTCGGATACTATAAAAATTGCTTTGAAATTCGTAAAATATTTCAGTTTGAAATTTTATCTTGATTTTTCAGATAATAGGAAATGTTGGTTTTCGAATTTCGGCTAAGTCACTTGCGTTTCACTAGTTTATGGAAACAAATCGAACGAAACACTTGCTACTTGAAATGTTAACGAGTAAAATTATTTTTTTACGATTGTACATTAACAGATGCATTATAAGCATGATATATTTAATCTTTATTCAGTTGTTTTTATTCATTCCTATATTTTATATTTCTCGGCATTTCATTAAAGGCTCACTTATTTAAGAAAAAAATGATGAAATAGGTGAGAGAATAGGTGAATTCTGTCAATTTTGCCAATAAAAAATCAAAATTTGGAATTGGATTTTACAGATGTTGGGAGTTGATTGTTTCGAATTCGTTGAATTTGTTTTTAAATAGATTCAAGTCATTTTGGATTGTTTTTTTTTTTAATATGTTATGGGGTTCCCATTAAAATACGCTGCAGTAGGACACGTACAGTGTAACGTAATATGAATATATTAACGAACAAATATTTGGGTTTCCTTACGTAAAAGCGAGCAATGCTTAACGATGTTTCAGTTTTCACCTGCTCTAACTGCGCAAACCTGAAAAGATAAACATTTTTCCACAGTCCAAAAAAAAAAATTTAAAAGTGCGTTGAACTATTTCAAAACAGGCATTAAACACAAAAATACTTTTTCTTTTGATAAATAAAAATTTTGCATCGTCGGTCACTAAAATTCAAAAATATTTTCTGTTTTTTTTTTGATAATGGTCATTTAGTTAGTAGAAGAATGATTGCGAAATATATAATATTAATAAGAAATGACTTTTATTTCAGATAATAGCATAACAAACATACAATACAGAGTCCAATTAGTTGTACCGTCGACTGGCGCAGTCTAGCTTAGAATTAGCTCTCTACAGTACAGAAAAAAATTTAAAAAGAAATTGATTTCTGACGTCCGATGCCAGCTACGATTTTTTATAATTATAACAAATGAATGAGAAAAACTGGAAAAAAAAACAGAAAAAATCTTTACGGCAAATTCTGTAGGTTGTTAGGTATTAAATTGTAATATTTTAAGGAGTTATACGAAAAACTCCTCCGAAACATGGCACGCCCATGATGAGGCATTGTTAAAAGTTCCCTAGCCCTAACATTCCTGTTAATGTTTTCGCGCCTAAACACTATTCGTTCCCGAATCGAGCACGGAGTATCGGCATCGTTTATAGCATTTATTAAAAAAGTACGAGACTCCATCCTAAGCTACCCAATCTGTTTATAAAAATTATAAATATGGTCATATTTTCTTAAAGCATTATCTAAAACAAAACCATATACAAAATTACAATAAATAAAATGTGTATATAATTGATAAAAGAATAATGAGAAATAATTTTAAGTAATCTTTATATATATTTTGAGTTAATGAAAGAACAAAAACCTAACTAAAAATGTATATTTGGAAATTATCTGTATGTTTTTTTTTTTGGAGAAAAATTTCAAAATATCTTTAGTGCATTTTAATTTTAAAGATCGTTCATATGCGTATTAGCATTAAAATTAATTCCAATGACAGTTGTTACCGAGAATAAAAACAAGTTTTGATGTTTATTTACATAAACCAGTAACCAATGTCGAGAATGTCATCAAGCCTTAAAATATCCGAAATTATCCTGTTTTGCATAATTCCTTAGGCACGCTGCAATTTATTTGTGTAATAAATTTACTAATCATGTGTCTGTCGTTGTGTGTTATTATTCAAAGGAATTTTAAATAATTGAAAATCGTGATGAGATAATAAATATGTAATAAAGGAATTAATTTGATATAAATTTCCATGTCGTTAGTCAATTTAGTTTTTTGAGCGAAATTTAAGTAGAAATTAGATAACACTCAAAAGTTGCGAAATTTATAAGAAGGAGTATTTATATTTAATGGGGGTTAAGTAATGCAATATATTGTTACAGATAGGAGTTATAATCAGTTTAGTATGTGGGATTTATACAGCACCTCAGGGTCCGACTGCGGAGCCAATAAAGATCATCAGTCAAACAAATGAAATATCTCCGGAGGGAAATTATGAATGGAGGTAAGTGCCGGACTTCTAGAATTACATATAAAATCGCGATTTTAAAATCACTGTCACCTTGCTTATGTTAATACGTGGCGTCATTTATTATAATACTAAAACGCGTTTTTCGATCAAATAAGATAATTCTTTATATGTCTTTAATATCTACATATCTAACTGATGATCATCGAAACGCCATCAGATCGTCCTAACTCAACATTAAGCTATGCTCCCGCATTTTAATTTTGCATTTTAACAATAATATGAAAAACAGGAATCGGAGCTGAATTTCGTAAAAAAATCAATTTAACTTTTGAACATTCAAGACAGGCTAATCGTATTTTTAATTACACATTTTATTATTACCTATATTTATGATAATATGCCTGGATATTCCATAAAATGGTATATTATGCATCAAGTTTGATAAACGTTACTTTAGTCACGAGTTTGGCACGCAGAGGGAGTGTTAAACAAACGGGTGAATTACAAGGTTTATAGTGTTGGATACTTTTTCTATGACCATTAATGTTTGGTAACGAGTTGCTTGTTCGTGTAAGCTTTTCCTTGAGTTTTTTTGCAACTGTTGTGATGAAATGACTTGAAATATGTTCAATAAGTTCCAAACAATTTGTTGAACATCATGTTTTTTCTACGAACGGAGAAAGTAAATATTAATATGTAATATTATTGATTTTCACAGTGCCAACATTTTATGGAAAATTGTTATTGTTATTTAACAATTTAGTTCTCACCAACCATGTAAAATTTTTCATTTTCCCATCCTGCTTGACGTTAGACACTTTTCATAGTAGTCGTAAAAACTGTTTTTGAAGATAAAAAAAACGAATTCGGTTTTAAACGTGACAATATTAAATAAGTAGATTCTTGCTTAAAACGGAATTTTCACTTTCACACAATTTTTGTGTACAATTAATTTTCGCATTTAGTTTTGAAACGGCCAATGGAATAAAAGCAGAAGAGAAAGGGACGTTGAAGAAGACCAACGACCCTGAAAATCCCGAAGCAATTGTAGCGCAGGGACAAGTTTCCTATACGGACAATGAGGGAAATCAAATTTCTCTGACATATACCGCTGATGATGAAGGTAAGTTATTTTATGTCTTAAACTATATCCCATTTCTATATGAGAGCGGAGAGGTGTTATTCTTTATATACGCGAAAAGATAACAGAGCGACCGATATTTTATATGAGTTCAGTAGTTTGGCATTGAAATTTGTATCAAATGTCAGAAGTACTTTACGTCAATGAAGGTAGCTTCCAATTCCAACAATTGTGCGACATCTTTCAACATTTACTTATACCGCAAAAATAGAATGATATGTAAGGCAGTTATGTAATGCACTCAAAAAAAAACTTTCGTTCTGATAAGGGAGAATTATTATTACTTACTCGCCATTTTACTAATATCGTTAGACTATAGATTAACAGTGCGCAGTAAAATATTTAATACATCATTATATCATCATCATATTCATTGCCTACCTGAGTTATTGCGCAATTTATAATGTTTTATGGATAGACGAAACATAAATATGGTCGTACCGAACACAATCCATCTTTTTATTGCTCCGCAATCATTTAGAAACAAATGCTAAATATGCAGTATAATTTTAAAAAGCTACAGAAACATGAAAAATGTATGAAAGATTGATATTAATTTAAACTGTATACTTAAAACAGTACCAAAAACTTATTTAAGTATAACTTCTTCAGAAACTTTTAACAATGACGTATGATAAAGCAAATTCTATTGGTTTGCAGGAGGTTTTCAGCCCCAGGGTAGCCATTTACCAACACCTCCTCCTATCCCTCCGAACATACAAAGGGCTCTTGACTGGATTGCTCAACAACCATCAACCACAGAACGTGCTGGAAGACGTAGACGCGCTGTAAGGCTCAGAAGAATGTATTGAAGATTAACAGAAGAGTCAAGATAATATTTTTTCTAAACTAATTGAAATTAGGACTCGGCAAATGGTATATGAAGTCGAAAAAACATGTTCTCAAATTTACCTTCTTTCTGATAATGTGTTCTTCTGTGATAATCGATCTTGTTGAACTGCAAATATGTAAATGTATATACGTGTAACTTAATGCGATTACGGCCTAAGATTTTTGTGTATGGACTTCCAATGGCAATGATTATTTATTAAATGTATACTTATCTTCGTGGTTATTGTAACAAAAAAAAAAGAATAAATGCTTTACAGTCTGCAATTAACATTATTTTTTTATTTTCTATGAGATTGTTGCGGCGTTTCTTCTGCTTCTTAAAGTTTTGAAGAAAAACTAACATATTGAATTGAATACTAAACATTGCGATTTTTTTTACATATTTCCATATTTATAATGAAAAATACTTTACGCTGCATTTTAATGATATATTATGGAGCTAGTTTCACAAACGACACTTCAGAATACCATAAGGGATTTAAATCTACCGAAAAATTGAGGTTCATGCAAATTTGAGATCAGAATTATGAATTCCAGTTGCGTCAAGTATTATTTTTGAACTTGGAGACGCAGTGGCGTGGAACCAAATAGGTTTGAAAAAAAATGGTTTAACTGGTGCATATGAAAATTAAAACAAATATATAAAAAGACCATCGTATTTTTTTTCATTATTCCTATCAAAATCAGCAAAATCATTAGAATGGAAAAATGAAAGAACTGTTAGTTCTAGAACAATTCAAAGAAATAAGTTCATTATTGACATGTTCTGTAAGAATATCCTGTTGTTGGGAATAAAATAAATTTTTACATTTTACAGATTGTTTTTTATGTAATTTATGTATTTATTATATATAGTATATTATGTAACACTTTAGTCACAAGTTTGCTTTGGTACTAGAAAAGCGAGTGTTTTATAAATTACTGAAAAAGTTTATGAACATTTTGCATACTACATATTTTATACGACCACTAGTTGACCGTAAACATCCGATCGGTCCCAAACTAGTAGAAACATTTTCTTTAGCACTTTCCTTTTAACTTGATTACCCATAGACGAAAGCTTTTAGCGCCTTCTAGCAGAAAGTTTTTCCTATTGACGAAAAAGTCCTTTTCGGTGATTTTTTCAATCTTTGATGTTGGATCGTTTGGTCACCAAAAGACTCGCTTCTTAAACACGCTAGAACTGTTACCTACGTTGGAACCCATGCTATGACATAGCTTCTTCCATCTATACGTTATAAAAATTCATGTTGTTTTTTCATTTATACTTTCTTCATTGTACTTGTATCAATGTTTTCGACAGTAAGGTGCAAAATCTCTCAGAGAAGTGGCAAATGGAATTTGTAAGATACATAGTAATTTGTAAAGAGAAAAAAACTGTTTTCGTTCAATGAAGTGCAGCACGAAAAACAAACAAATAAGGTGAGTTCGTTTTATTATAAAGCCAAATCACAGAATTCAGAACATTCAATGGTGAGGAAGTGCCATTATATTAAAATTACTTAAAATTAAAATTGGATGCCCTTATAAAGTATATTTTCGACATTCATAGTAGGTAATAAACAAACAAATAATAGAGGGTTCAAGCGATTTCTTAAACAACATTAATAATGGTACTCGTATATATATACATTATATATATATATATATATATATATATATATATATATATATATATATATATATATATATATATATATATATATATATATATATATATATATATATATATATATATATATATATATATATATATATATATATACCAAATAAATGAAATAAAATAATTTGACAAATTTTCTTTTTATTTTAGATTCGAGATACGTTTTATAGTAGTAAATATGGTTGTACGATCACTATTTCTCTAGGGACTTGATTAAATTGATAATATTTTGATGATATATTATAATTACAATTTTTGACCCATTCTTTTAAAAGCTTTCGGGTTGTATCTTAATGCTAACCCACGAAGGAGTCCTGAATATACTTTAAAGAACCACTCAAAAGCATTCGATAGCTCAATTTTACTATGAACTTTTTAAAACCATACCTGCCGTTTTACATCCAGTATAAGATATGGCATCCGATTCGGCCTTCTTTCTAACATATCCTATATATGTTCAATAGGCAGTATGTGGTCTGACGTTGCCTTGGTGAAAAATAGGATCTTGCGGTTGCTAATTATGCAACAACTTGTAATACATTAGTATTAAGCGTTCGTGTTTCTGTTCAAAATAACTGGCAGTGGTTTACTTCCAAATGCCATGCCACCTGAAACCAGTAAAGCAGTCTTATTCTCCACTAATCTTCCCGATTTCAGCTGTTAAAAACACTTCTCGGTCGAAATAAAAAATACTCAATTTTAATATAAAATTTTTAAAATCACACGTGCTCCTTTAATCTTAACTACAATTATTACAGTCCAACAGGACAGGCACCAAAGGAATTTATGATCGTACTTGTATTGAAGTCATTTAACTCGGAAATGTTTCGTTTTGCCCGTTAGAGCGTCTGACAACAATCGATTTTCACAATTGTCGGTCACTAATGCGAAATTAACGCGAAAAGCAAATACATAAAAGTAAGTGTTATTGTATATTTACACATTGCACAATTCCAACTCTTAACGAAAAATATACAAAGCATAAATTCTATTAGCGATTAACGCTGATCCTTGGGACTTACATGAACTTTGTTTATTTAAGTAACACCTTTTGTCACATCGTCCTACGTGGAAGGGATGTTCTCGATTAAGCATATAAAAAAGTTTAAAGTGGGTTTCGAAAATCAGTACCCACAACTCAAAGCAGCCGCTAAGTATGACATCGAAAATCCTTTTATTGTGTTGCATTTCAGCGGCGACTTTAAACGCTGTGATATCTCAACAAACCTCACCCCCAGTGCAGATAGTGTCCCAAGAAAGTGACATTAGCCCCGATGGTACCTTCCGGTGGAGTTTCGAAACAGCCGATGGAACAAAACAGGAACAAAGCGGCGAACCGAAGCAAATCGACAAAGAAGTGGGCGTTGTTATTAAAGGTTCGGCTACCTGGAATGATCCCGAAGGAAATCCCCATTCGCTCACTTACATAGCGGACGAAAACGGTTATCAACCTCAAAGCGATGATATTCCCAAAGGTCCCGAAGTACCCCCGGCTATTGCCAAGTCTTTGGCCCAAAATGCAGCTGATACGGAACCGGAAACTAGTACGCAGGCGCAGTAACAACTTTTCATCCAAAGACTGTAATGAAATTCATTTTTAATGCTGTTTATACAAATAAAATTTTGTGCAATTCGCTTTTGATATTAGTAATTTATTACTCTGTTGCTTTTGTACAGCATATGTTCCAATAAACATTAGACAGATTTTCTTTATGGCCATCAATAAGAGTTTTTACTTCTGGCTGCTCTGCCGTCGTGCTCTGGCCTATCAGGCCGCTATATAGCTTTAACAAATGTCTAGGGATGTTAAAATATCTACGAAACTACTAAGCATCAAGTGCGATATAAAAAATGGTAAAATGCTTGCGGAACAATCTTTCGCTTTTAATTAACCCTCCCCCATCCCTATATCTATGACTTTTCCATTCCATTCTTCTAGTAAAAAAAAATTGTCTTGAATTAGAAGTGTAATTTCTTCTAAGGAATTCCCAACTACCTCTATGAAGGACACGTGTGAAAATATTAAATAGCAGGACAGAGTTAAGAAACTAAGAACTAAACTAATATTATTTTAATATTGAGAAGTAGCGGCAATATGACATTTTCAATTTATTGAAAGGAATTTTAAAAAATGCAGTAGTGAGTTGGTTCGCTACGTAGACAACACGTTGTGCATTCAGTTTAAGATATGGCAACCGATTCAGCCTTCTATCGAATCCTGTATATGTTCAATAGGCTATAAGTCTGGTCAATTTGCTGGCGACAGAAGAAGGGTTACCAAATCCTCGGCGCTAAGTGGTCTAGCATTATCTTGTTGAAAGATTGGATTTTGCAGTTGCTGAAGGTAGAGTAGTTTGTAACATGTACTGAACGTTCGCATATCCACTCCACTGCATTCAATAATATCATAAATGAATTATTGCTATTATTTTAAAAAGCTCAGCAGATATTTTAAAGCAAATTTGATTATCTTTTAGAAAAGATCTTTTTACAACAAAGGCAAAACCCAAACTTTACCCACTAACTGGAGATTAGCGGTAGGGAACAGTATAAAAATCTTGACTGTAGTGACAGTATACAAATGATATGATCTGACGTACACTTTCACACCCTTGTGCACACTACACTCAAAAATTTCTTATGCCATTTTTACGTTACAAAAGGATGCCTTTGCCGTGTATGTTTATTTTACCCTACTTGAAAGTCGTCATAAAAAGACATATATATAATAATCACAAGTAAAAATTGCTTTTGTAATTTTAGGAATGACTTAATCACTATCCCACTACATAGGATGTCGAAGTCTACGTCTAATTTTTGAATAACGCTTTGTATAATAGACTAAAAGCATCTGTTTAAATTCTCACTAATAAACATTTCCATAGAGGAATTCAGGAATATATTGACGGTAATTTTTTTTTGATCAAATCAAATTTTATTAATATCGTACCTGTTCTTGTTTTAGTTTTTGTGTTTTGCTTATACTTAGCACATCAATGTTTTTGTATTCGTGTGTATTCGTGCTTATATTTAATTTTATTACATTTATTTTCTTTCGACTTGTTATATCAAATCTTATACAAAAATAGTCAATAAATGTATATACAAATTAATACCAAATAAATGCATGTAGGAGAATCAAATATGAAGCCCTTTGGCAAATTGCAACATTTCGGCATCCCATGATTTCAAAGGGCACCTAAATTACAATTTTAGTGGTACCATATTTTGAAGGAAAAAGAATTAAAATAATTAATATTTCGAAATCTGCTCAACTAGCAAACTATTCAAAAATTTATTCAAATGTACGGTTTGTTATTTAAGATAACAATGATGCTAAATCTTATTGTAAGAAGGAGAAACTGACATCGACCATCAACCATATCTATTCAATTTCTAGTTTTTGAGTTATTAGCAGATGCTGTTAAAGATGTTGGCAAAAAATAAGCCAGTAAAGTGGCGAAGCAATAAATGTACTGGAGATTTGGCACCAATGCACAATTCTTTATTTGTGATAAAATTTAATACATATACTAAAACACTATTGAAATTTGAATTCAACGCAACACCTCGCCAACAGTTTAGAAATATTTTCCCAAGCAATATTTGGAAAATTGCATACCGATAAACGGCACACAGGCGCGGTTGACACAAAAAGTAAGTTTTTGCAGCAACACCAATCACTGTCGACTTGCCCAACACTTGCGAAATAATTTTCAATAAATTCTGTGGGTAAAATAAACATAAGAAGCTTAACGTACGCGCGCCCATATAATTTTTATATCATTAGCCACACCGACGAAAACCTTGCGAGATGAATTGTTTATTTAAGTAATGTCAAGTTTCTCACTTGCGCTTCACGTACGTGGAAGGAGAACAAAGCGCATCTTCAATCGGTATATAAACCTCTCAATTGCAATTACAAACCAGTAGTAAATCAATTAATTCCACACTCTAAAAATGATTTCGAAAATCGCGGTGCTCTCGTGTCTTTTGGCTGTAGTGTTGAGTGCCGCATTGCCGCAGCAGGTCGCCCAAGAACCAGTGCCAATTGTGTCGCAGGAAATCAATGTCGAACCAGACGGTAAATTCCAGTGGAGTTACGAATCTGGAGATGGTACCAAGCAGGAACAAACCGGAGAACCGAAACAAATAGAAAATGAAATCGGAGAGGCTATCCAAGGGTCAGTAAGTTGGACGGATCCCGAAGGAAACCAACACTCGCTGAAGTACGTCGCTGACGAGAACGGTTATCAGCCCGAGAGTGAGGATATTCCCAAACCTCCAGAAATTCCAGCCGCCATTGCGAGAGCGCTCGAATACAATGCCGCTCATCCCGAGGAAGAAGAAAAGAACTAATCTTATCCTCGAATTATTCGACTGTGTTGTATTTATGTTTGTTAAATCCGTATTTGTATATAAATATTTCTATACCTTAAATTAACGAGTGTTTTTATTTGTCGGTTTGTTTCATCAGTTTATGGCATTTTGCCCAAGCGACTATAGTTTCGGGTACTACGAATTTCTGCTTATTTAATTAGAAATAAAGGCAAAAGTAAACGCGAAACTAAGACTTTGAACATAAAACCTAAAACTGTGCCACTTGAGGGGGCAAATTATTTTCAAAAAAAAATTTTTTTTTCTTATCTTCGATAAACTTCGTCAAAATCATATTCCACTGTTGTTTGCTCTTTACTCCTACTACTTCATTAAAGCAATTACGCCGTATTATATATTATATACAGACATGTTATTGTTGATGTCTTCTTCATAATACGATTACATAAGGGTAATAATTATAAAATTTTCAAATGTGATGTTATTGTTGATGTCTTCTTAATACGATTACATAAGAGCATAATTATAAAATTTTCAAATGTGATGTAAATTTTGTTTATTAAAAACTCACAATTTGTGTGCAAAATCACAGCCAGAACCTGAAAGCGTTCTTCAAAAATGTAGACTAAGACTTAGACTGAGACAATTTAAATTCATTACTGGAATTCAGTTGCAATACTGCCCAAGTTAATTTCAAGAATAATCCTGTCGAGATCCGATCCAAATGTTTGACGAAAAAATCAAAAATAAATAGATTGATTGAAACTGTTTCAATCGAGCTCTGAAGAAGCCAACAGCATGATTGGCGAAACGTTAGCAAGTTTGACTCAGCGCAAAACCGACGGTGGAGGAAACCAGAAGTTTTGTAAAAAGTATTACAGGAGCCTGTGGAAGTTTCTTTGAAAAACATGAGTTTTCTTGAAAAAAATGTAAGAGTAAATTTTGACAGTGTTTTGAACACCTCGATTACGGAAAAAAACCTTAAAACTATTAAGTGTTATTGACTACGAGTCATTAAATAGAATTAAAAACGTGCTATGAGAATTTGTAAATAAGCTAAAATTAATGCGCATCGATAGCGCACGATACGGAAAATCATTTTATTGTTGCGTAAAAAGATATGATTAAAAAAAACTTAATTTTATTTTTTTCAAATTTTGAGTGAGTTTTTAAAATTTCTAAAAAACCTTATCTAACAAAATTTGACTACGTTCTCATAAAGTTATGGGTAGCTATTACCCTTTTTAATTATGGGTTTACATCAAATTTAGTCTCAAAATGCAATGGAACATTAATAATAAATGTACTAAATGTATATGTATATTCGTTCCACCCCATCTTCATCAGTTACTGTGTGAATTTGTTAGCGCCTGTTCCACAGCAAGATATTTATAGGACTGATTTTGTGGAGAGGCCATAAAGTCCCTGATATATTTCTTCGACTTCTCTGCTGTTTATATTCATAAAGGAGCAATTCTCCACATTTTTTTGAACTAAAAACTAACCAAAATTGCTGCCGTTGTGGGATCTTACCTTTTAGAAGATTTAAAATAAAAACGCTAGACTTTTATAACACTAATGATTACTTGGAGCTACAACTTTGGAATGAAATTTTGTATTTTGTGCACTCGCTAATGATAGGTGTCGAAAATATAAGTCATTTAATTATTGGTCAATAGCATTGTCTCAAAATTTTGTTATTTTTTATGGACCATATGTTGTGTAACTTATCTGAATGGTCAAAGTTTTATTCTATTCTATTCCATTCTATTAGATTACTTATTATTACGGTTATTATTATATTTTCACTTAATATATGCCATAAATTCCAACCAAATGTTACCTAAATTCTAGACAAACTTTCACTCGTTTGAACAGTCCATTGTTCCTAAAGCACCGAAGGACCACCTACAACGCGGAAGCCATTATTATATTCTTACACTTTTGCAGCTTCGCGTCAAATTTTTAAAAGAATGTCGTTTATTAAAAGATTAACATAATAAAATAAAAATATTGCTTAATTCGCTTTGAATCCGTGTGTCCAAAAATTATCGCATCTAAACTGTCCTTGGTTTAAATTTTACGATTAAACTACCAGCGGCTATAAATAAAAGCTCCGGTTTCTTATTTAAGGCAGTTAGTCAAGATATATCTACTTGGAAGCGAGTTCAGCATGGTCCTCAAATCCCTAGTTTTGTCTTGCCTTTTGGCACTGACTTACAGTGCGTCAGTTCCCCAGAAATCACCCGAACCGGTGGCAATCCTGACACAATCCAGAAGTTTGAACCCGGATGGCAAATATGAGTGGTCCTTCGAGTCAGAGGACGGGATCAAAGAAACACAGTCGGGAGAACCAAAGAAAGTCGGTAACGCGACAATCATAGTTGTTACGGGTTCGTACAGCTATGCCGACAAAAACGGAACTCAACACAATGTGAGTTATATCGCGGACGAGGAAGGTTATCGGGCGGTGGGTAGTGATATTCCTGAAGTTGCTGAACCCGAGAACCAGCAGTAAAATTTTATCGTTGAATTAGATACACTCCTGTAAATAAAATTTCAATGTTAAAGGCGTTGTTATTAAATAATTTGTAGTGAAGAAAATTGAGATTTTCTGCCTCCTAAAATTGCCAAATTACGTTTTATTGCAGTTAAAATATGTATATAACATAAAAAAGTTAATATTTCGATAGGAAATAATAACGTTCCAGTCGGGGCTAACTGACTGACTATGCCGATCGCTCGAGTCTGTTTCTTCGGTGATTTTGGTTTATAACAGGTTTAACAAGTTTATTAAGCCCCACTTTGGACACGACTTTGGTTTGGCTCAAGCGGAGCGAGAGCTTAGTGAAAGAGTAACTGAAGAAGATTGTCAACATTTATTCATTCTCTGAGTGACGTGTGATATTACATCAGAACTATCAAACCTCAAAATGCTATCCCCATCACCCTATCCTAAAACCGTAACTCAAGTACGAGAAACCTCCGAAGTCGCTTGCGACGTGGCTATAGTGACACTTCGCGCTGCCATTTTAGATTAGGGAGTAGAGAAAGTTAACTTTGAATACTAATGTTGTAGGGTTCTGTGGATCACATGTCTGTCTTCTTTACTGAATGAACAGTGAGTTAAGTTTCGATTATTATGTATCTGGCTTTATACTGATGCTTACATTTTTTTTTTTAATTTCCATCAAGCTTTCTATAGTTTTTTTTCTATATCGTAACAATTCTATTGTAGAGTCAAATATCTTTTTGCGTATACAATAATATTAAGTAGCGGTTTGTAACCAACTAGACTTTGCCTTTTAAGCATTCGGTTCTAATCATGATTGTATGCAAAATTCCCGTGACTACAATGGAGTTTATCCAACTTGTTGGGGATAATCGATTTTAAAACATATATAATATACTTAACTCGCGTTAACTCATAAAGTAAAGAGAGTAAATAAGTAAATAAAATAAAGAGTAAATAGAGCAATCTTCTAAGATCTTCCAAGTTTTTCTTCAAGGTAATACGGTGTGCATTTTAGCATGTTTTCTTCATTTGTTCTACTCACAAAACTTTTAAACGAATGAAATTATTTTTGAGTTCCACTGTATCATTTTTATTTAATTTTGCTATTTATTTAAATTATTTCAATCGATATGAGCTTCTGTTACTGCAAATTTTTCATACTATTTTTTCTTTATTGTAAATTTATTTCCAAAATCTTAGTAGTAAGAATTGTGTAAAAGAATTTGCAACAAGAAGACTTTTTTCTTGGAAACGATAAATAAACATTATAATAAAAAATGATTGAATAGAATTGAAATAGTTTAAAGAAAACAGTCTTGCTTCACAAAGTTTCGCAATAAATTCTTTTATTAAATTAATCTATTGCAGGTGAGTGCCTAGACTAAATTGTCTGGGCTGATGATAACTGCTCACCTGTTCGAATCATGTTGTAACTAAACAAAACAGCGTGTTATTGTTTTTCGTCAGATTTCATTTTAAAAATTGCAAATAAAGTTTTTCAGTAGCGGAGATAATGAAACATTCAATCGTCGCCCACAATTAAATCCAATTTTTACCCAACTGACCTCCGTTTAAAAAAAATATCGGGGCTAGTTTTTACTTTTTTACGTGTATTGATAAAACTTACACAACAATAAATACTGTACATATCAACAATTTAGGTTCTTATTGAGCGTCTTCCTCAGGATGAGCCTTATTCCATTCCAAAGAACGTGCTATGGCTTCAGGGATTTCCGGAACGCCATCGCCTTGAGGTTGGAAGCCATTTTCATCAGCTACATAGGTGATTGTACGCGTTTGTCCCAGGTTATCCACATAGGAAAATGAGCCAGTAACCACGTGGCCTCCCTCTGCACCATTCCCGTTGAGTTGCCCACTTTGTTCCTGTTTGGTTCCATCGCCCGTCTCAAATGCATAACGGAAGTTTCCTTCCGGATCAATTTCATTTTCTTGAGATAAAATGGGCACAGGTTCGGGCTTGTCTAACGCGGCGGCGTAAGCGACAGCCACAAAGGCTAAGGAAACGATCACTTTAGAGAACATTTTTTTTTCTTTTCGACGACTAGGACTGTTGTAATTATCAACGGGAATAATTCTGATATTTATACCCGATGGTTGGTCCCCTCTAAAAATAATTAATGATACATTGATTAGACACCTTCACAGATACGAGATGATGCAAATTGCGACTTATGATTACCCAATTTTTTGGTTCGAAATAACATAAAAGATTTATTAATAATGCATGTACCAGAGAATCCTTCTAATAAAAAATAATTTAAATGCCATGTGCCGAACAAGGTTGTGGGTCAGTGGAAAGCCAATCGAGTCTACATCGGTCGTAATCAATAACGTTTTATTGAAGTGTGGAACACGCAATTTGGCAAATTTTGAGTTTATTACCCTACTAATGCGTTAGTTAACGTGCACGAAAGTGCAAATACAGAAATCTGTTTCTACATAAACTGGCAAAAATGCATGACTTTTATGTTTTCCGAATTAAAACATGAACGTTGAATGAAAAAAGTTTGATCTTTCCATCCATCAATTTATAAGTGTAATACACAATCTTGTCATTTTCTTAAACAAAGTAGAATATGCATTTCTAAAGATGGACTGATTTGACTATAAGAAAGTTACATGGCAATTCTAGCTTTCGATTTACCATAAAAACGATGTGAACTTACCCTCATGCGCATAAATATTAAATATCATAATTTAAACTCAAAAAAAAGTTCAAAAAGTATTGAATCCAATTCTGCTCCAAAAATAAAAGAATTCAAAGAATTCGATATTTTAGGTTAAAAAAAAACCGCTTTATAAGTTTTAAATATTACAGATTTGATATTTTCCAGCTTGCATTTTGTCTGTAAATACTATGTTTTTTTTTTATTTCTTATATATCTTTTTTATATTTTGCAAATATTTTTGCTTGTTAGCCTCAATAATTTTCTTCATATTACTAATTGCTTTAATGCTATGGAACCGAACAGCCAATGCAAATTAGACATTTTACGAGAGCAGGAGAAAAACTAACCATACATTGTTTTAAAATATAAGAAAAGCCAAGGCAGTCAAAATGTCTTAAAATTATATTGGCAATGCTATAGCAGAAAAATCAATTCAGGCCACTTGAAATCCAAATAATTTCATTGTCACCTACGTGGTCACTACCACTTTGAGGGCGATAAATATTTGTTTATTAGTGATTTATCTTGCATTGTGCAACGTATTATAATTTTAAAAATAAATAAATAAATCACATTATTTATATTAGCATTTTTATTGGATGCGTTGTTAATGGTGATCTAAAAATAAATATTGTTGTTAATAGATTTTAATAATTGAAATTATAATTAGTGGAATTTAACATTCCGAATTACGAAACAATATAACAAAATGTCAAGATCCCGAATACGAGACTAAAATAACTAAAATAATATTGCTTTTGTAAGTGAAGCACTACATGAGTGCGTTTGTTTTTGTATAAACAAATTTCTAGATTTTTGTTTACTTTCTGTGTGCATTTACTTTATAAGGTGTGACATTATTTCATGACCACTATTTATTTTTTGTAACGTTTTCCAACCCAACTGGATGGCTATGAAAAGGACTGCCTTAGTCCATCGAGTATATCATAGTAGGCTGCCAAAAGCTCCCTAATAATGTATATCTTGACCCTGGTCAAGATAACACAATAACAACTAGCTTTGAAAAGTGGATTAATCGAGGCATGCATCAATTACCAACCGTCCACAGTGCTGAAGCAAGGAGAATACTATATACGAAGTGTGTTAAAAAAGTAAGAGGACTTTTAACTTTTATCAAAAAGTATTTATTTATTGAATAAAATTAATATTGTCTTCTTCAAAGTAATTCTCCCCAGATATAATACACTTGTGCCAACGTTTTTTCCAATCCTGAAAGCACTTTTGGTAAGCACTTTCTGGTATAGCCCTGAGTTCTTCCAGCGACTTTTGTTTTATCTCCTCGATCGTTCCAAACCTTCTTCCTTTCATAGGTTCCTTGAGTTTTCGGAACAGGAAAAAGTCGCAGGGGCTCATATCCAGTGAATATGGTGGATGACGCATGATTCTAGTTTTGGTTTTGGCCAGAACGTTAGACACAAGAAAAGCTGAGTGAGCAGGTGGTAGGAACTCTTAATGTATAACTTCACGATACTCAAAGAAAACAGTAAGCGAAACCTTGACACTTGATCGAACTTGACGTGATTTTTTCGGTCTGGCGATTCTGTGTTCTTCCATTGGGACAACTCGGCGTTGGTTTCGAAGTCATATCCATATACCCATGATTCGTTACCAGTTATGACCTTCTTGAGCATATCAGGATCGTCATTGACGTCATTTAGCAACTCTTGAGCGATGCTCCTTCGACGGTCCTTTTGTTCAAAATTAAGTAGTTTCGGAACAAATTTTGCTGCTACACGCAAAAACACGAAAAAATTACATGGTACGAGCCAAGAGAGATACCGACGTCTTCAGCCACTTCTCTTATAGTGATACGACGATTTTTCAACACAATTTGTTGCACTTCTTCAACGCTTTCATCAGTTATTAACGTGCTGGGGCGTCCAGGGTTAGGTTCGTCTATCGCGTCACCTCTGCCATCTTGGAACAGCTTGTAAGAATTATAACCATTTTTTTTGCTCAAAGTAGATTCACCATATGGTGTTGTCAACATTTCAAGTGTTTTGGAGCACTGTATTCCATTTTTTGCATTTTATGCAAATTCGTTGTTCCATTTTATTTGACAGCAGAAAAGCACCGAGCACAGAAAAGATGTCTAACGCTTCTGTCTCGCACAAGAAAAGTAAAAGTGCAAACAATGACAACAATGAAGAGTTTCAGCAATTACATTGGTGTTTTCAGCAGAATCGATAGCCTCTAAAAACTTTATCAAGAATTTTCATACTATTGGATTAAGTAATTTTTTTTTCTCATCAGTTACATTACATATAGGATAATTACATCATCATATGTTAAAATATCTCGAAAACCAAATTTGCTGTAGGAGTCCTGTTTTGTTCTCAATATTTCTCAATGACGCGGATCGGCGTTCCCGTTTTTCTCAATTCTTGCTCTATGGTTAATGGTGGCACCAACAAGTTGCAGTCTGAACTTAAACGGTTATATTTATACTGTGAGGTCACCCGACTATTCCTCAATGTTGATAAATATGTACAATATTTTTACGCCTTAATCAGAACCCAGATATAATTCTGGACACTCAACTATCCATCATTATTCATTATTTTGCCAATTACCAATTGACTTATAGATCCTCATTCATTGTTGATTCTTTATAATTCGTCTACACCAGTAGTTCAGTTGGACGCCGAGGGATCTACGGCGGGGGTCTACGTTGGCGTGACAAAAATACATTTATATGCAATTACCACTGAAACCAGCAAAATTTTGAAATTACTCTATAAGAAAACCACTAGGGACCACTGGTTTAGACACTTATTTTAGCCACATACATTTATTTATAAATCGCCTACTTTGTAAGATAAAAACTAAAAAGAAAATTAAAAATCCTTTGGCACCTGCAAATTAGGTCATGCAAGTTACGCAGAAAGATTCGAACAAGAAAGCGATATTTCATTTCATTGACATTTTCGACATGCGCATCAAATTATATCGCAAAAGCAAATAAATCCGGATAGGTGCTAAATAAATTTAATTTACGGTTAATTACGTTTGACATTGATGGTCATCAATTTTCGCACATTGTGACATTTCGTCTTACTATAAGTTGCCTAATCTGTATGCAGTTAGTTCAAATAAATCTACAGTTTTATTGTTTATTCTATTACGACTTGGGTTAAGCGGGGATGTCTATCGTACATCGATATAAATGCATCGTTTTTCATAAGAAAATTATCATTTACTCGTCTACTTCGAAAACAAAAAAAAATGGTCACGAAAGTGTTTTTGTTGTCTGTGTTGGTGACGGTGGCGCTGAGTGCCCCTCAAGAACCAAGCGCAAAGGAACCAGTGCCGGTTGTTGCGCAAGAGAATGATATTGACGTGGCGAATGGAAAGTTTAGATGGAGTTTTGAATCGGGAGATGGAACCAAACAAGAACAAAATGGAGAAATTCGAGGTAATTGATATTCATGTGTTTAAACTCATTCTACCGCTTCGTTATTCTATTGTACATCCATTCTAAGGTTAAATTTTAGAAGACGTTAAATCGGAAATTTGAAAACCTATAACCAAAATAACATCTTACAAAAATTTAAAATCTAAACATGGAGTATACAATCTTAACAATTACAACCTACATATTTTTTCAGTCAGCAGCACAGTGACTTGGAATTCTTTATTTATCAATATTGAAAATGGTAGCATGTGAGCTAATCAAATCAAATTTAATGAGGCCACACTGTGAATCTCCATTAGTATTAACTTATTATTATTATAGTAATTTCGGAATTAAATAGAAACTTATAGAATTATTAATCCTGTCTTATATGGTCTAAACACCACATTGAAGAAAATTGAAATTGAAAATTGAAAAGAAGTTATTTGTAAGCAGAACTTTTTTAAGATCTCAAAAATACGGGATCCGCTACGATTTATATTCAAAAATTTTCCAATTCCAATTACCTATTTCAAGAAAAAAATCACGAATCTCTTATCCTATCCTAAAAAGTAAAATTAATATATTTATACTACGAAATATTGCTTACATAAAATTATTTATTAAAATTTAAAATTTCAGACTAACTGGATTGAGCATGCTATACAAGTAGAAAAAGACTTACACCAAAGTGTAGCTTCGTTTCATTACTGGAAACTATCAAACTCTTTAAATTTTTGTACTTCTATTCATGTAATTTTCCGTATTGTAATGCTGAAAAAAATTTAAAAAATCTTTGATGGTCACTTTTACATCGGCAAATTGGTAAAACGATGGATTGACCTAAGCTTCTGCAGTTATTAAATCTTTATGAACTTTGTATATAGACCATTAATTTTCTATACATTTTACTTGTCCAAGATTTAGAACTAATATTTGAAAATTTTCTTCACTGCGTAGAGCTATATTAAATATAATGCATAGGTACGCTTCTGTTAAGTTTCTCTTCTTGTTTTCTCTTACACTTTTTTTGGCATTGCGTTAATATTTATTTGCCAGTTCTTGCTCACAATTGAATTTTTTGCTGTAGCGTAGCGTTAATAATAATAAATCAAAAGAATATTGCCACGTTCACAACAAACAGACAGACTTTTGAAACAATTAATATTCAAAAATTGTAGAAAAAGTTAGGTAGGATGTAAAAAAATCTTCAAAGTGAAATGTTATTATAACTTCATTATTAAGAGGCCGTATTGAATTAAAGTTAATTTAACTAACAGGTTTATTTTATGTTTATGTTATTCTTGTTTTCATAATAAGTCACACCTACAATTTTGGGTTGATTTTAAAATTCTTCGTAATTTCTTACTTTCTATCTGCGCATTTTTCTATCAAATTGATAAAATACTCACTCTCATGAAGTGTATCATGAAAATTAGATAGACAGCATTAGTCCGACTATTCAGCTATTAAATACTATAGTCGCAGTACTATTGCATGCATGTCTCTAAAAATTTAATACGCTTGGGCCATTTTCTTTCCAAACAGCGATCTCCATACGCTTAACCTGTCTTCTCAGAATATTTAATGAGATCCGGATACATTTTGAGAAAGTAATGTCGAAAATACTGCTGAAAACTGTTGAACTATCATTGAACGCTGAATTATTGGTTAAAAGAGAGATATGATATGATATGATATGATATGAGATATGAAATCTGTGATTACCCGGTATACCTATATTTAATTATGGGACACTAGAGATGAGTAAAAAATTATAATTAACAGTTGGCATATTTCTATTATCTAGTTTTGGTCATAGCGTAAATAACGACTTAAGTATCTAATTTTTACTACTTTGCTGCACTTATCCCTCTAGAAAGCAAAATGTACTTTTTGATTTAAGGTACTGGTGAAGATGCGGGACCCGCTGTGCAAGGCTCATACAGTTGGAAGGACACGGAAGGGAAGGAACATTCCATCTCATATACCGCCGATGAAAACGGATACAAGGCACAGGGAGAAGATATCCCCGTAACACAAGAGATCCCTCAGGCAATTCTCAAATCGCTAGAATATAACGCGGCGCATCCAGAACAAGAAGAAACTCAAAGCAAAACATAACTTGCTGATTCTACTGACTCACAATAGGGATATTAAAGGCCGTGATATCTTCAAATATAAGTACTTCATAATTACAACATGCTTAGAGATGTAAAACTATGTAGACTGAAAGTTATAATTTTGCTTTATGCTCTAGGGTTTTACTATAAGGATAGTGTGTATTCTGTGAATATGACTTTAGTTAACGAGCACATTTTTTAAATAAATATTTGAAATAAATAACAAATTTTAACAGTTGTTTATTGTTAATAATACCCCGATACTAATTGAAAACTACACAATTAAAAAGGGATTAATAACTTGTCAAAATTGGTTAATAATGAATAATGTTATACTGGACACCCTTGCATCGCAATGTACCATTATTGGGTTATTATGAAACTTATTCATAGGGTAAAAATGGGAAATGTTAATCTTTTTCCATTACTGATTGATTCAGAAATAAATTTGTATGTTCTTGAACTTGAAATAATTCTATATCTAATATCTAATAATCTAAAATACACCAACTTTAGGCAACACAAAAGTTTTATATTGCCAAAAGCTTTGTTCGGGCTCCTCGATTATCAATGACTTGGGAATGAACAGAAGGTGTCCAAAACAGTTATTAATAATTACAAATACTACTAGTGATTTTTAAAGAAACTTATTTTTTATAAAATATTATTTATTACTACGTTAATCTTTCAAAAAACAACATCTTTTATACATGAAACAAACTAAAAGCAATACAATACAGTAATAACAGAAAGCGCCTTTTCCTTTAATGAACCATTTAAGCGTGTGATAGAAATATTCCTTCCGAGTGACTTGCAAGGTTTTCGGACACTTCAAGAAATGATCTAAAATAAACCCGAACGCGAAGTGACAGGTTCCTGAAATGTCCTGTTGAAACCCGAACAAGCCACTTTCAATCGCGGACACTCCAGATAGTTCTGACACAAAAACTCGAACGAAGTTATTGGCAATCGAAATTAAAACTTATAGAAGTAATTTCTTGTGACTACCGATTTTGAGAAGATTAAATTGCATTTAATTTTTTAGGTATAACAATTTTTTTCTTTAACTGAAACCAGCCATCTTAGATACTAATTATAGTTAATACAAAATAATAAAAATTATGTATTCACTTACGGCACCCGCATTGCTGTTGTGAGCTAATTGTATAAAACAATTTACAAAATCGTTCCTGACATCTATCCGCTGACAATCAAACCCCAAGAAAATACTTACAATGTGTTCTCAACCGTAAACTGTTCAATGATTTTGATTTACAGATGGCGCTTATTAATTTACAGGAAAGAAGTATGATCATATTTTTAGCAAGCGATTGGGACAAAAACGGTAATGCAGTTAAAATATTGTGGATTGTCTTTTAAGATTAATATGTGCATATAAAGTGACGATGCGTTTCTCAATCTTCTTTAAAATCAATCAATCATCAATTTTGTGGGGTAATTTGTCTTTTTGAACTTAATAATTCTAATTCTTTTTTGCCATAAACCTCACTACAAGGGACTGTTTTCAATTAAGGTAACATATATGTTATACATAGTGTATAAAAATTAAAAGGTGCCTTCAATCTGCAGTTTTAGATAAACTGAAATATGTATTCTAAAATCAGTAAATATTTTTTGTTGTACTGCTGTGACAAATTCAGTTGCTTGCATTTGCCACACTAAGCAAATGATGATGAAGTGTAGATGCAAAAAGAGACTTCAGGATTCATAAATTAAGATTAATTGTTCAAAAAAAGTCTGTTAATTATCGAACCAGTTTTAAACAAATATCAATCTATCTCTATTTCACGGAGCATTGAGTTGTTCAGTACGTATTCAGTAAATAAGTATAATAAGTCAAATATTAATAAGTGCTAAACTCTTTTTTGGGGTTCTATACCCATATTTGCCTCAACCGTAATCATGATAATTAGTTCCTATATTTATATTATTTCCCTGTGACACAGCACAATGTACCAAATAGCAGAATGAAAAATGCACCAAAACTGAGGAACAGATTAATTTATAACCCCATGGAACTTGCGAGCGGGGGTGGAAGTCCATTTAAAAATAAAACTAAGTATACATTTTTATTGCACTGCTCAATTTTTCATGTTTGTACTTCTTTGAGCCTCTACTCCCACCCTCTAGATCCAAAGGCATTTAAATTTATCACTATTAAGGATATAGTTAAATTAATGAGTAGGCATAATTTTTCCCTCTTCAGTGTATTTCCGAAAGGGTATGATAAATTCAACTGACCCATTTACCAACAATTATTGTATTTAAGCTTCATCCAACAGAATGGATCAGTTTTGTTTAATACACTTTGTACATGCACCTTGCTTTGTTAACGAAGTTTACTGTCTTTTTCATACTTTCATCCTTTTTTAGCACCAGGTATATCGTGTCATCATGTACTTGAATTAAAATCGGTAATTTAAACGTTTAACGTTAAACGTTAGCTATTATTTGCAACGGTCGTTAGAGCACATTTTATTTAAAATTTCCTTAAAAAGTCGCAGCCATTGCTTTCGACATCGGTCACATTCTTTTCTTATTTCGTTTAACAGTTAAGTGATGAAATAATGACATTTGTTCCAATGCGTCGGCCATTTAAAACAGCATTTCAAAAACTGCTCTCTATAATTTTTTTCCTAATTTTATACAATGTGTTGCAGCAGTGGCCATCTCGATGACGTTTGCGTCACAGATTCCAACGCCAGTAGTATTACAACAGGTTTGTTTGTATGCCCCCTTTCAGCATATGAAAAAATGAAGATATTGTTGATCAGTTATCAATAAGAATTCAGGTAAACAACAAATAAAAGATTAAATTTACTCCTGCAAAATTATATCAATACAGGAGTGGTCAAATAAACATGCAACAGTTATCTCGAAAATTACTAAGGATTAGGAACTATTTCTGTTATCTAGAACAGACAGCTGCTCGAAGGAGAAACTAATATTTTCAATTTTCGGTGCTTTCTCGGAGTGAAGTAAACTCTAATTTTTTGCTTAAACACATTTCTAAAAACATTAATGGTTGGATTTGTTAATATTTATTTGTAAAATTAACCTTTAAAATGCTAAATCAACTTCGAAAAACTCAATATCGTTGAAATCAGGTTTATTTGAGCAATAAACCCCACTTTAGTTATAGCGACTAATTTGCACTGTCGTCGCTGCAAGGCATTGTTATAGAAATATTAAAATTGTTACTTTTTTCTCATGCAAGAAAAACAAAATCAGTTTGAGAAAATCCATAGATTAACAATGGTTAGGTAAAAAAAAGATACATTTTTGGAAGCTTTGGAATGAAGAAATAATTACCCTTCCCGGTAATGGTTTTTATGAATACCTTAATTTTGTTAATACTTTGTAATATTTTCAACTGCAACAATGGCTACGTATCTCAAAAAACGTTGAACAAAATTTTCTAAGTTTGGCAAATTCCGCTAACTACCCAAACAAATGAGAACTATTTTAAAAAATACCTTACCCTACAATTATAAAAAAAGAGAAATAATGTTTACACTGTTGCCCATAATCGTTTCAAGTATTTTTTGTGTATTATAGCAAGAATGTTGGGATGCAAGCAAATAATTTATTTTTAATCGAGAAATTACTACCATATCTTCGCATCGAGCTGCAGTCCCGAAACCTTGCTTACCTGAAATGAACTTTTCACCCTATAGGCGTTTTGTTAATATTTGAATGTCCCCTGTACTTTATTTTAAAAGATACAGGAAAAGAGAAAAATAGAATTTACTCAAACTTGGAAGTGCATGTTATCTTAATGAGGTCAAATTTCGAAAACATCACCATTTTCATTCATTTCGATTCCGGAACTATGGAAAACCAAACTAAGTTGCAGGATTTTCTTTTGTGTGCTTTAGTTATATTGTTTTACAGTGACTATGTAATTTAAGTTACGACTTTTTTATATTATCAATCAAAACTATCTTTTATATATGTCCTAGACCATCCGATTGCATCTATACGGTCCTAGACCCTACGTGTGCGACATGTTAATGAAGCAGAAGATGGAAAACCAAAACTAACAAATTAAAATAAATAATTTTCAAAAAATTCTATCGTTTAAATATAAATACTATTGAAAGACAAACTTTTTAAACATATAGACTAATATATCCAGCACGTTTGTAAAGGGACTAGACCTCTTATGCCGGGTCCTAACTAAGTCATAGAGATAGTATTGGTATCTCGCTAGGAGGTTTCGTTTCGTTTCTGAAAAACCATTGTCAGGTTCGACACCAGTTGTAGATTCTGTTAAATTTCTTGAAAAGGTTTTTTGGGCTAACATGCTTCTTGCTGGACATGGTATTGTCAATCAACATTTCGATAACCAACTACCGTTTTGTACAGTATAATAAAACACTATCTTATTTTTTTCCTCAAATCAACTGATTTTCAAATAGTGGGATATTTAAAATTAATTAAGAAAAAATTTCGCTACCACCCATACTGAAACCTTTTATTTATCGTGAAGTTTTATTTACTATGAACTGTGTTACATGGAGTGCTAATTTGTTCCTGTTTTAACCAATAATTCAATGTGACATAACAATGACAAACAATTTCTTTTCAATAGGGCATTTCGTCGCTTCCGTAAAATCTCTGAGCTCTATGATGGATTAAATTTAATAATCTTCAAAATCGTTATGATAATTCCCTTGACGTTACATAAACATTTCTTAACCCGAAAAACGGCAACGATTCGCGGTGGTATTTAAAAGATGTTACAATTTTACAAGAAGTGCGACCCATACCACACGATTTGCCCCCAAAGAGTGAGAGGAGTATATAAAGGAAATGACCGGTTGCATGCGAATTGTACAGTCTTCTTGCGTGTTGTGATCATCGCGTTAAATTATCGTTCGCAATGAAGATTTTGGTAAGTAACCTTCTTACCTTTTCGTCGGTGTTGCCGGTTCATTTTTTTTTTTTTACATTTTTTGCATGAAATGCGTAGTTACGAGATGAAAAAATCATGGCGTTATACAGCACCGAAATTTGATAAGATACGAAATGTAGACATTTAAGTATAATCTTAGAAAAATTATGGTTTAGCAAATAAATTTAACTTTCAATTATTGTTCTTATAGTAACGACGCAATTTATTTTATGCCAAAGAGTAATAATCAATGTATTAAAAAATCCAAGTCATCATTAAATGCTAAAATTCTTTTAGTTTTATTCATAATATTTTCATTAGTATTAAAAAAATAAAGCTAATAGTCAAAACATTGTTATAGATATAGAAGAAAAATTTATATCTAATACTTTTACTACTATGGAACCAGACAAAGAATATCAAATATTGACCATGGAAATAACTATATTGCACTTATGTGATTTTATTATGTGTATGTCATTAATTTGTCCATCTGATAAAAAATTCACTGTATCAGTTCCATGTAATATTTGCTGCGTTTAATTTTTACATTAGACTATTATTTATTAATGAATTCATGCTGCTAGTTACAGGAAATTTTCGTTTCTAATTATTGACCTTTCAAATCTCGCAAAAAGACCAACGTATCAAAACAAAGCTACTTAAGTCGGTAATCTTTAAATATATTCTAGATTTCTTAATTTTTATGTTTAACTGTTTATCTAATCAAGTCATTATATGTGCTAGTTTTGCAAACATGCAAAATGTAATTACGATACTTTTTGTTTTCCTAAAACACAATAGACCTTTTACAAAACTTTCAGTTCTTGATTCATTTGTATTCAATTGAAATTGCATGTAATCGTCGTGGTATAATACGCATGCCCCAAATTTGACTGAAACAATAGTCAAAATCGCAACAAGTCATTGTCTTCGATTGAGGTCTGCTTTATCGTCCTTAAATTCGACTTCATATCATATCATTTTAAGAAAATTCTGGGACTAAAAAATATAGTTCAACAAATATAGGAAGGTGATAAAGTTAAAAAGATTTTACATCAAATCTTGATTCCCTCTCAGTGAATTAAATATCTACAACTGCTTAAGTCTCTTTTGTCACGCTTGAACTGATATTATTCACCATTGGTCCACAAGAATAATTTGAATGATCACAAAAATCTAAAAGAAAAATGAAAAAAATACTACACAACGATATTATAGTATCACTTATTTCTTCATCATCGATAGATGTCAAAAGTTATTTGCTCTTTTCCTTTTACGAAACAAAACGCATATAAACGAAAAACCCACAGCATCAGATTATTCAGCAATCGCATTTCGTAAATTCCGATAATTTTGCTTGTCCGTCGAAAAAGAAAGCGATATTTTCGTAATTTCACTCCCGGGCGTTTACAAAAAGGATTAAACTATAATCCGAAGATGCGCTTTGGCAACAACGCCTTTTACTTGCTCAAATGACCCTTAACATTACTGGCAGAACGATTGATTTCTAAATGTTATGCAACGAGGAGCGTCTTGAATGCTTTCCATGAGAATTTGCGTGGGTGCAACTATGACCATCGGCAGAACGAGGTGCATAGCCATATTTGCCCTTATAAAGACGGTGCGGCCCATTTGATTTGGAGACGGTCCTATAAATTGCGCATTTTTCAACCAATTTTGAAGTTCGAAGCGTCCGAAATTTGCAAAAAACACAATAGCTACAATTTTTCTATTTGTTTCAGAATACCGTGATGCCTAATTTATATAAGAAAATAAGTTATGTAACAAGTTTTTGAAACACTTTAGTCACGAGTTTATTTGAGAACAATCGGAGCAAGTGTTTAATAAACGAGTGACAAAAACAATTAATAAATTAGAGTAGTGAGCAAAAGAAATGTACATTTTACATTACATGGAGTCGCTTGCCAAAGACCTTGTCATCTAAATAACAAAATGTCAATAGCGCAACATTAAATTTTGTTTTATTGATAAACACGCGCATCTAAATAAAAAATGATGCGCTTGAACTGAAGTTATCTTCATTCGTTCAAGGACTTTTCCTAACATTTATTGTAATTCAATTCAAAGGTCGATAAGAATTTTAATCGCTATGCAAATGCTGCTTTACTATAAACTACATAGTCGTGAAACATCATTTTATTTACTTAATATAAGTATAAACGTTAAACTCACTGGTTTAGATTTGGTTCGTATTTTTTTACTTTTATAACAAACACAAAGTATAAACAATTAAACATTATCGACAACGTCCTCTGCAATTTACGATGCGTTGCGATATTTTAATCGTTATGCCATCGATTAGTCATTGTGTTTCGACTATTTAATATGGTAATATAAATTCCCAGGGATATTAATGCCACCAACATTTGCAAATTCAAATTTTTAAGTCGAATGTGTTAAGGTTTTCAAATTTTCTATTAGCTATACTGTACAAAAAAATTATTGAGCGAACCATTCATTTATTGAATTAAAGACTGGTTTTAGTTGATTCAAAATATTGTGATATTGCCCTTACAAAAAAATCATGTGACCCGCAAATCCCTAAAATTTACAAACAATATCATAAAATCGTGTAAGTTAAGAAAAACTATGATTTTTATTAATTATAATTAATTATAATCAATTAATTATAATTAATAAGGGTCTCTTCTGATAGCACTAATTAATTTATGTTATCTTCTTATGCTTGTAACAAAACAATAAAATAGTGAGAAATTTTATTTAAAAGAATGTAACAAACAGTCTCCAGTCTCCCCTAGAGCTGGGTATTCCCTTAAACACATTTGTTTATAATATGATTATTTTCATATACAGTCTCCCCTAATTTTTCCACTGTAAAACTTTGACAGGTTTAATGATAACCTTAGCCTTATATTATTCCTCCTGAGTTACACATTTTTACAAGAAAAGGCTAACTTAAAGGTTAATGAGGTATTATTTACAAAAACACATACTATATCATACTACCAATAGCTTATAATCTTGTTGCCTCGAAACTTAGCTGCTCTTCCTTAAGGATTAGTGAAATGAACTTTACCACGATGTAAACTAAAAAAATTCTGTCCCAATTACATACTGCCACGTTATCTGTTCTTTAGATTACATAACAATTTGTAAAAAAATAATCTGCTTCAATTTTCCCACGCAGTATTGTGAAGCTATAACAGAGGCTCGGTCTGATACCGTGTACCTCAAAAAAATATAAGTATATTATCTTAAATACAATTCAATCAATTTTGTACCTGAGAATTTATACCGCGTAATTGACTCTGAATATCTAGTTAACCAATCCGTTTTATTTTTCATTTTAATTCATATCATATGGTCTCCATATATCCTGAAAAATGGTACTAACCAGTGCTGGAGCGATTTGCTGAAAAGCACATACAAATAGGTATATTAGGAAAACATTACGACATGAAAATGAAAGAAGGCATTAGCATCTTCAAGTGTTTCTATTTCTATCTACTTTAATTTTTTTTTGTTTTTTTAGCTTTTGATTAATGACCTATTCCGATAATTTTAGGTGACTTTGTCGGTTGTTATTGGCATTTCTTATGCCCAACAGCACAGGCGGTTAGCCCCGCAGTACCAAAATCAAGAGGACCAGTACGATGAACAGGCTCAACAGACTCAAGCTAGGCCGCAGCACTTTCAAAATCAGGACCAGGATCGGCCCAGGTTAAAAAGTGAAAGCACAACGTTCATTCCAATCATTCGATTTGATAAAGAACAAGGCAGTGATGGATCTTATAAAGCTGCGTAAGTTCCTAATTCTTATCATTGCTCTCTCTTGTTACGATTTAATTTTTTTTTTCGTTTTTCAGTTATGAAACTGGTAATAATATCATCGCCCAAGAGGAAGGATTTCTAAAAGATCTTGGACCGGATCCAGATTCCGAAGGGGGCACTCTGAACGCGCAAGTGCAGCAGGGCTCATATACGTACACATCTCCCGAAGGACAAATCATAACCGTCAATTATATTGCCGACGAAAAGGGATTCCACCCATCTGGAGACCATCTTCCAACCCCCCCACCGGTCAGTCCTGAGGTCCAAAAAGGGCTTGACCTGATTTTTGCTGGCATCAGAGCACAAGAAGTATGTATACGACCTTTCGTCAAAAGAGTCTTTTAAACGATTTGGCTGAAGTACCAATCATATTTAGTTTATTTTGCGATTGATTTAACTTTTAAAAGTTAAAGAAAATAAACATAAGAAATTAGAAAACCCAAAGTCAAAGAATACAGCAAATATTTGTTCGTCGCCGACATCGATAACTTCCTTTTCTCAATTCGTTTGGCTCTTTTCAACAAATTCTGAGAAAATGTGGTCAAGGCACTAGTGCATATTACCTATGTAGACACTTAGGAATCAAGATTCGGCATTTGAGCGTTTACAAATAAAAACTTTGTTTACTATTTATATCTAAAGAAAAATAAAGCAAATCAAAAGAAATTATTATTCAAACCATTAAAAACAGTTAAGAATTAGTGATAGACCTATTATTCATGCCTTTGCCATCTCATTGACAAGGCTAAGTTTCAGCTGTGGATCCTAGTTTATAAGAACTTTTAAAACATTTACTATTATATTTTTTAATGGCCCAGTTGTATAACATTTAGTTAAGAGCTAAGCTATGTCTATCGATAAGAGTTTATTATATTTAATTAGCACTTAACCTTTTTTCATAACTCTTCTTTATTTGCTTTTTAAACACATGGCCATATAAACTGTTGGTGATATTTAAAACTCTGTGACCATATAAAAAAATTACAAACTAACGAAAAACCTTGAATGCAGGTATCAAATTTTGTTAGTCATATACATTAGAGGTTTGTGAAAAAGATAAAGATATGAAATAAAAATATCTTTCAAATATTCGATTTTGCTCATCTTTAAAATTGTAGCATATTTGTCATTAATTTTGTTTGCAGGAAGAAGATGCTCGGGAAGCGAAAGAGAATCCCCAAGGCTTCAAGAACAGGGAAATTCCGGAAGACTACAACGGCCAGTACAGACAGCAATAAACCCATCATATGTGATCATTAACAGCTTATTATCTCATGTACCTACATTTCAATTCATTTTACTTCGACCGACTGACTACTTCGAATACCTGAGGTGAAATGAATAAACTAAAAATTGTTTAATTTAGGTTAAATTTATTCGCAAATTACAGTCTATAATAAAGTGAACCCGACCAAATTGTATTTCGTTTCGTTTATCTTTAAGACAATAGCTTCGTTAACTACGGTCGCAATTTTTCCAGGATTTTTGTAATTTTTTGGAATTTGAGAGCGACTTCGGTTGATTTTAGACAACTTTTCTCAATTTTAATGGCTATACTACACTCATTATACGTGCTATTTTGCCAAAATATGCTAATGGTAATAAAACTTCTTCAGTCACTCGTTTATTTAATACTCGCTCCGCTGCGCTTCGCTCGTGTCAAATGAAATTCATAGCTCAAATTATGTTATGTGTTGCATAATGTAGCATTATAATACTATTATTCTACTATTCCTACTATAATACTATTATAATACATAACTTTCTGTGTAAAATAAAAAAAAATCAATTGTTTATCCCGGGAACTAAATCTTTATGGTGAACATCGTATTACAATAACTTTATACTTTATAAAACTTGTAACAACCAAACGACAAATACAATAAAATCTATCATTATTAGGCAGTAATACCAATGAAAACATTTATATAGGAATAGGTATAAATAACAATCCGGTTTATCTATTAATTCGTAAACATATCAAGATCAAATCAATATCGAAAATGATTATAAAATGACCTTTACGGTAAGGGCGGTTGTCAACTATTTGCAATACGCACTTTCTGTCTTACCGAGAACAATGTCGTTGAACTGTAACTTAGATATTATTGTATTTTATCGCCGCCACACTCCAACGGCAAGTAGTTTTTTGTCTAAAAATAAATCGCGATCTGAATAAACAGCGGAATTTGTTGCAAAATTTGTCCTGCCAGATTCGCGTTCGGCATAGTGTGCAAATCAAGTGGACCTAAATTATCGCTAATAAGGGAATAACCGAATGAACGTAAGTTGATTTTATTTAAAATCTCTTGTAAATAAAAACAAATTTAATGCCAAACGGGAAAAGCATATATTGAATACGAATAAATTGTTATTACAGCACTATTACGAGTTTATTAGTTTTTTTATCGAATAAAAAAAGGGACTAAATAATAGAAATTAATTTATAATATATTATTTATAATTAAATTATAATAAAAATTCTTTATTTATAGTTTCTAATAAGCGCAATCTAATTTGCGCAACGAAAAATTTGATGATATTCCGCTGATGTTTATAAAAATAGAAATATATTAATTTTTTTTACCCACGATACACCGTTTTGACATGAAACAATAATTGTGTTTTGGTTAGTTGACATCTGTCTCTACCAATGAGTTGCAACAATTATTGGGAAATTAATGAATAAATTAATAATTAATTAGTACAAATATGTGTCTCGCAGAATATTAAGTAGTATATAGGCTGTCGTAGAAAGTTTTGACAAATTGCATCAAAACCCTCGCAGAATACTAAGTAGTATAAAGGCTGTCTTAGAAAGTTTTGACAATTTGCATCAAAACCCATTAATTTTAAGCGATCCTGTAGGAATAAATTTATCTAAAAAAACAACCCAAATTTCACATTCAATGGGGGCTAAAGTAAAATTTTAGTAGTATTTAGAGAAAAAGGAAAATAATTAATATTTCGAAAACCATACGCATCTAGTTAGATGCGTATAACAAAAGCATTAAGGGAAAATAAGCATAAAAAAGCAAGCAAAAAAGTGGCAACGTTGCATCGTCCAAAGTATCTTAGTTTGAAAGAACAAACAAAGAACAAACCCAAGTATTAAAATTTCCGGTTTTTGGTAAACGTCCAATCCCACCAATCACTGTGTGTGTTCAACAATATATTCCATTTAAAATACCATATATTTAAAGAGTATAGCTGATAAAGAGAAAAAAGTTTGATTGTATTTAGATTTGATATAATTTGATATAATAGATATAATTTGATATAATAAATTAACGAATTCATTAATTGTATAGATCTTAATCACTGAAATCTGTGTTTATTTTTAACGCCTGATAATATTTATATCTCTTTATTAACATCTAATAATTATTATCAGTTAAATTTGCGATATAGGGATTTACACAACACAAGCTTAAAATTAAATGTGAGATTAAAGTAAAGTCTAATAAGGAATAATACTTAGGTATGTTACCATAAAAATAATAAAAATTGCATGCATACTAGGTATGGTTTTTACAGCGGAAAAATTTCAACTAAACTATACTCTGTTGAGATATCATGCCTAACAAACAAGTAGTTGCAATTTCCTGGCATATGATAGGACAAAAAAAATTATCGAGTTGTTTCCCACAACTTGCAGAATTGCGTTTGCACGTTAGAAAATGCCTTTACAATCTGCAACGGCCAACAGCTTCATCAGCATTAATTATTATTGCTCAGCACAATCCGTTCTGTCATATTCTTAAGGTCGATTTGCACTATGATTAGTAACTAGTTATTAGTCATTAGTGCTAGTATTTACTTGTCAAATTGTAAACCGATCCGTAGAGTGGAAAGCGCAAACAAACTTGTTCCATCAATACTTAACATGTTACGTTATACTTAACATTTGTAACAAATTCAATTAGAACAAAAAATGTTCAGATTTTCACAGTTTTTAATGATTTATGACAGCAGTTTCGGCAATATCGTGCCTTTATCAAATACAAAATATAACTATATTCCGACACTTATATATAAAGCAGGTAGTAATATATAATTTTTTCTACTCCCGTCTGCAAAATACATAATTACCCACCGATCTAGCGAGCCGGAAGTGTCACTTTACCACGTCAGTTTCGTTTCCCACGAATCTGAGCCACTTCGGACATTTCCGGGATTTTACCGCACGGATTTGGGAGCAATCGAATGTTTTCGGAGATATTTCCCACGCTTTGAATTTTGACGTTTGTCAATTCTGACGGTCACGTCAGTGAATGTATTCGTGTTGTTTTGCGAAAATGTACCCAAAAACTAACGGTCGTAGAAAAAGTATAGTATGCAACACGTTCAGTAAACCTTTTGACTCACTCTTTTATTAAAAACTCGTGAGTCAAATGCCGTTTACCGCACTTGTTGCTTAATATACTATTCATTACAGGTATAGGGTTAAAATTTAAATTTAACAACGGAGACGCATTGGAATCCAATTGGTCATTAAGTAATAAATTCGAATATCTCATTTTGTTAATCTCCATAGCTTCCAACAAATTTAGTTTTTTTTGAATGAGTATGTAAGATATCGAAGTTATCGTCAAAGTTGTGCATTTCTGAATTTAAATGAATGGCATCGTTAGAATCTGAACTTTTATTTTTATACGCTTTTTTGTTGCTGTTGCTGTTTGTCCGATAAAAAATTTTGGGACAAGATTCACATTTCAACTTGTAGACTCTAGACTTTTGAGTTTTTCGTAATTTAGTTTTATTGTTTTTTAGAAAATGTCCTATGGTGTTTTCAGTTTTAAAAAAAATATTAATACCAAATTTAGATAGATGTTTCGCAATTTTCTTCTCCTATATATTTTATTGTTTTATAAATTTTGTTTTCGTTGTTTAATATGGGATAGATAGAGTTCAGAGTTATTTGAAACTGCTTTTTAGTTATAATCTTATCTATCAAAGAGCGGTTGTAACCATTGTTAAAAGCTATTTGTTTTGTAATATTTAATTCTTTTTCAAAATTTTCTTTAGGAAGTGGTACATTAAACAGTCCGTTGATAAAAGCATAAAAGGCAGACATTTTGTGTATACAAAACAATAAAATACATAGGAGAACCTAGCAAGAAAATTTCGAAACATCTATCTAAATTTGGTATTAATATTGCGTTTAAAACTGAAAACACCATAGGAAATTTTCTAAAAAACAATAAAACTAAATTACGAAAAACTCAAAAATCCAGAGTCTACAAGTTGAAATGTGGATCTTGTCCCAAAATGTATATCGGACAAACAGTTAGAACATTTATGTAATGCATTGCTGTTGAGATTAACAAAATAAGATATTCGAATTTATTACTTAATGACAAATTGGATTTAAATGCGCCTCCGTTGTTAAATTTAAATTTATAACCCTATACCTGTAGTTAAAATGTATTACTACCTGTTTTTATATATGTGGAAATATAGTCATATTTTGCTTTTGGATATAATATACATATTTTTATTTTGGATTTTCATCAAGTAAAAGCCACCTCAGTCCGATTCTTAACATTTGTACTTGACAAAGTGTAAAGCTTCTTAACACTTACTAACTTACTTACTTACTTACTTACTTAACAATTGCACTTGATAAAGTGTAAACTTTTGTTTTGATTAGTTTTGCTATGTAATTGAACAAATAGCTTACAACTTCGTTACTGGTAACGATTCTAAAAATAAAACGGGTATTTTGAATTTAAGGTACGTAAACATGCAAATATTCGGATCGATTAATTACTTTGGCACGAAGTTTTGCAATTTTGTTTGATTTATTTATAATAATACATTTAATTTCTTACATTCAAAATATCTCCGAGAAAATCGGACGTCAAAGACCATCAGAAACTGTGCTGTGACTTGAACGCCTAGTGGAATATGACCTTAAGGTAAATAGGAATTTCTTGAGTATTTGAAAAAATAAAATTAGATTTATTTCGATAAATGGGGTTCAGGTTAGAAACAACTTAATACTTATTAGTAAAAGGTTACTACGATCACTTGCTTTACAACCCCAATTGAGCGCAGATATAAGACATTCGAAGGGGTCAAATACCAAGTAGTGACGTTCACTAACGTTGTCGCAGATTTCCGATTGAAGAACGGAAAAATATTTGCTTAATAACCTTAGTAGCATCAATATGCTAGAGTGATATTAAAATGGGGAACTCGATGAAACTGTAAACAACATGTAGAGCTCATTTTAATTGTCGTATATACTGCTTGAAGTTACAAAGGGTAACTTTTGATGTTGCGGCAAAAAAACAGCAGAGCAAAAAATAACAATTTCTATCGACTAAAGTTACTTACATATATTTCGAAGTAAGTAGAACTAGAAGACATATATCTAATTACTGTTACAACGCGCGAGATTCTAACGCGTTATTAATGTAGAATTGAGCATTCGGCGAATCCGTCTACGATCATAGTGAGTATATGAACAAAAACATGAACCGTCACCGAAAACGTCCCAATTCTACTTCTAATTGCAGTGACCTCGTTCTTCGCGCCATACCATGAAGATCTGTTGGCCCGTAACAACGAAATAACTATCATCCTCTTAAGTTGAATTGCGTTGATTGCACCTACAGTTTCTATCAGCTTTACAACTCTAAGCACCGTTCTTTGTGATCACTAGTTCTTCTTAAAGTTCCAGTATCCGTACAACAATTATGAGGACAATGTACCACTGTAACCAACATCGCACTGCTGTTTCCAATTTCAAGAAAGGATATCCCAGCCTCTCGTAGTCCTACTATCCTACCTCGTTCAAATTCACTAAATTCACAAAACACTGCAAGTCTTCTCGCAGATGTATTGCTAAACGATATTTTCAATGCCCCAAATTCAATAGAACTGAATATCTCTAAGTAAATTTTTAACAAAAAAAAGCACTACATAGACTAAGATAAAAATGTTATCTTTTAGTAGGCTAAGGTTATCAAGCGACAAAATCATATACTGATCATATACTGGGTGTTGCGAGTCCTATGGCATACAATATATATTTAACAGGACCTTCTTACAAATTTGAACAAATTTGAACATTACGACTTACATGTGCGTCACTGTATTTTCTATATCAGCTGGACTTCTCGAAAGAGGACATAGAAGGTTGAGTATTTATTGATCAGAATGAATTAGTGGTACATACAAAACAATGGTAAATGTAAATTGAAATTACCGTATATCCAATCAGTTTTTAGCTTCCTTAAGCGTGTGGAGTACATCAGATATGTAAATATGGTATTTAGCCTAAAAAATAAAAAGTTTGTTGTTATAATCCAGATTAACTCGATTACTATTCCGTCCTATAATTATTTCTAACCAATGCACAGGAACCAAACACTAATTCACTGTGACGTGGTTTAGAAAACATCGTACATTATGTTGATATCTAGTTCCCATTTGATGATATTTTTCCCTAAACACTTAATGTGTGTGTGTTTTGGAAAAAAAACACTGTAGATAAAATGTCACATCAAAACTGTCGAATTCGCGATTTGTCAGCGGCCATTTTGATTATTGATCGCCGCAAGATCTTATCGATTGAAAGTGAATTTGAAATAACTCGTCTCATTGGTTAAATGAAAGTTTTTAAATAACTCGTGCATTTTACGTAGTAACGCCGGACCTGCATATCGCCAGCGCAATATATATATAGTTTTAGGGGTGCAGGTAACAGCTCAATTTTATTACAATAAAAAAGTCAAATACGGCGGAAATAAAATTTTCCATTCATGTTAAAAAACAGTTTAATATCCACTTGCCCTGTAACATCAAGTATAAATGTTAAAAAGATCGTTACTTATTGATCTCGATTGCTCTTGGCATTGAGCTTTACAATTTCATATGATTTAATTTACTTACCGCAGTTAGCAACTGACATTTTTTTAGGATTCACTGCCTTATGTGATAAATCAGCGTCACGAGAATGTTTGCATCTTGATCGGGTAAAATGTTTTAAACCCAGACGAAAAAAACCGCAACTCGAAATCGTCTGCAGCTTATCTATATTAAACAAACAGACAAATTTCATTTCTCTGGCAACAATTAAGTACTTATTTATGTTTTTCCAATTAGAGGACCAGCTTGGCCGTTACAGTTATCAGAACATTTGTGATAACCGGTTATTATTATAAAAATCTATATTTAATAAGAATTTAGTGTGGGACTGCTGTTTGTGACCGCCGTTTGGGTTTTCAGTTACGGATTTCCAAAGGAAAAAATTTAAAATGAATGGTAAGGTGAAGCTATGCGCTCAAATATTGACAATAGGTTTTCTCTAATATTAAAAAAGGAAAAATATCTTTTTAAGGACCTCGACCAATTCTCTTTATATATTGTTGATCAAAACAGTGCCTATTTTAACGGACATTTTGGTTGAGTTTATGCTTTGTATGTAACAACCGAATCTCTATTTAGTGGAATAACCAGAGTAAATTTAGGCGAATTACCTTTTTTTTTGGTTCAATTTTTGTAATTTGTTGCGGATCAAATTTCCCTAGCATATGCGTTTGCATTTTAGTGATTATATGTAATTAATTTCATGTTTATTTTTTCTTTACATACAATTTGTTTCAGAATCATTATTTCATCTTCATTTTATTTTTTGCTGTATTTGCTGGAATTATTTCATTTTTAAGAGTGAAATAAACTTGGGAGCAACAGTTTTACTTGTAAAAAATGTAATGTCAGTGTGACAGCTTATTTATAGGTGTGAATCTTTGAATGAGGAGAAATCTGAGTCCAATAACAGTTTTTTGTCACTCATTTTGATGGGGAACATATAAATTGATGCAACTTATTTATGATTGCATCCATCTACACCGTCAACGACAGCGGCAACGAAATAAGTTAAACGGTTAATTTAACGACTTGAACCAACAACAAAATATTCAGAAAGAACGGTTTTTAATACAAGAAGTTTTTTTTGTAACCGAGTGTATTTTATTCGAACGGAAGCGGCTGTTTAGACTAAATGAGAAGGTTTATGATAAAATTTAATTTCAAGTAACACTCTGGAAAATTTTCTGACTTACGTTACTGCGCTCGAAATTGAGTTGAAATTATTACTATTAAAAGTTGTGCCTAAAGATTTCGAAGAATCTATTTTTAGAATTTTTATTTTTATTCAAGCTTGAAACTTGAGTAAAAGACTTTTAGGATAGGATACAAAAGGTTGCGACTATGCCCATAATACTAGTTTATTGTATCTTTCGATGCGTTTAAGTTCATCTAATCTAAATTTACTATTTACTAATATTCACAAGTTCTTCGAGGACTTACGCGTAAGACCTGCGAAAACACATGTGGAAGTTTCCTTGTTACCAATTGCTCTATAGATGTTTAAACTAAGATTAACTCGTGTAAATTTCAATACAAATGTAAATTTGTATTTTTAAAAATCGTGCAGGTTGAAATCACGGTGCATGCGCATACTAGTTATGATGCGATTTAAACCAAACTGTTATTCTTTCTTTGATTACTTATTCAAAAAACTTTTCATTACTTCAAATCGGTAAAACTGGCAGCTGTCTTTTGCTAGGTACTATAGATTGTTATAAAACGTTACCTTAGTCAATTAGTCGTCATAATTTTTGTGCATGGTGGTAACGTCAATGAAACTAATAACAATAATACTAAAATAATAATCAGTACGTTTACAATTTTGGAATTACAATGAATAACAATTCAACCATCACGTTTCTCCCAAAAACATGGTCGGCTGTGTCGGGCAGTGTATCAGCGCATCAAATAATCTGTTTATCTTTGTTTACGCTGAACTTCTCCGTTTATCGAGTGCAAAGTAAATATTAAACCTACCGTCTAGCTGGCCAGCGAACATTTAAAGCCAGTTTAAGTGGATAGGCGATTGGTAACATCGGATATCCAACGCGTGAGTGAACCATCCTATTAAATTCAGTGTTGTTATAACCCGGAATAAACATCTATTTTCATCGAATAGTGTGAGCATATTTTGGCGCCATTGGCATGTGTTGTTAGCGCCTACGGATACAGTTCGTTTTTTCCTTGACTTATTTTGAATTTGATTCGGACGGTCAGTAAATTTTAAAAAGCGTCAGTGAGGTTGTAAAAAATGGGTTTCTAGAACGGCCGGGCAGCTTAACACCAACTACCGGAATTACCGAAAACGATGTAATTTTTGAGTTTCAAATATTTCAGTTTCTTTCAGTCTGCTTGGTCGAAAAAGTGTTTAATAGTTTAGTAGGTTGAATTAAGTTTGTACAGAAAATTTACATGTACCTGGTTAAAATGTCCATCTATCATCTATAGCTAATGAAATCCTGAACAATAGAACCGGGTAAACGAGAATTATTGTGAACTGTTTTAAAATATTTGTACATGAATGAAGGGTCATTTTATTGTAGAATTGGAACATATGAAAGAATTGTGTTTCACCTAAGATGACAATGAAAATTTTTTCAAATGAAAACATTTCAGTAATATATAGGATCGTCAAAATAAAAACTAGTAACAATTTATAAAAAGTAGATTTCAATATACTTTTTGCTGTTTAAAATTAACGTAAATAATTCAACAAATAAATATGTTAACAATTTGTAAACTCTTTAATTGTTTTCTTTTGCCAAACTAATTAAACGCATATTTTGCAAATGAGATTAAAACCTGTTGTTCACAAACGGTAGCAAATTTTTACAGAGCCTGTATATCATGCTTGGAATATGACATCTTCTGGTGAGCTTTAATTTCAGATTAGTTAACATCAAATCAAAGGTTAAGTATTAGAAAAACTATCCATACATATCACCGATATAAGCTACTAGATAATTTGATTTTAAATGCTGTAAATACGGTAAAACTATCATACCTCAGAGAGCAAAGAGACGTTTACCCAGGATCGAATTCAGTGTCGACCTTATGAGCTACAATGCTGTCAGCGACCATATTGTAATGACGCGCGCATGCGCAGATTGAATATCGATCCTAGGATTTTTTCATTTGAATATGCCCTGTCTATCGCCATAGACAGGGCATATTCAATTTATCTAGTCACTACATTATATCGCCAGAACTACTTGACTTACGACAAAAATCCATTAAAGGGACCAACGGTGACACAATGGCACCTCCTGGAATTACCAGTTCTTCCGAGTCGAAAATTCGGAAAAACTTGTCAAATGGTCAGTTAGATACTAGAGAAATCATAGTAATGGACGGCGGATTCGCCACCCAGTTAAGTTGCCACGTGCAGCAACCCATCGATGGAGACGTGTTATGGAGCGCCAGGTTTTTGGCAACCGACCAAGAAGCTGTAATTAATACACATCTGGACTTCTTGAGAGGTGAACATTTCCGTTTACATTACCGTCTATTTGCAAGTCATGTTTCAGCTGGCGCGGATTTAATCATTACCAACACATATCAGGCGGGTATAAATCTATTCATGAAACACCTTAATCTCACTGCAGACGAAAGCTACAACCTCATAAAAAAAGCCGTAGAATTAGCCCAAACGGCAGTAGTTCGCTACCTTGACGAATTTCCAGGAAATCGTATGTTAATACACCGACTGGGAGGCAATTTAATCGATCAAACACTTTCAGGCAGACCTTTAGTAGTAGGTTCGGTGGGTCCGTATGGAGCGTCTCTACATGATGGATCTGAATATACCGGGTCTTATGCGAAAACAACATCCGTGGATACAATGAAAGAGTGGCATTTGCCAAGAATAAAAGCTTTGGTGGAGGGCGGCGTGGATCTGTTAGCTCTTGAAACTATACCATGCAAAGTAGAAGCAGAAATGCTGGTTAAATTGTTAAAAGAGCAATTCCCAGGCGTAAAAGCTTGGTTATCATTTAGTGTTGGGGTAAGTAACCAAGTTAGATACTTGTTGGCCAAGGATCAGACAGAGATAACATGGTGTAATCCTATTCAGTTAATGCATTATATCACGTGAAACATCTATTTTAAAGTGAATCCCTTGAGTCCAATGTCGTTTCAACTAATAATAATTTGTTATGGAGTCTAAGCAAAACTTCACACTCAATTCTCATCGTCCTGTAGGGGGGCTCAACCAAAAAAGATAGATTGTACATTGTAATTCCTTGAAATTCTTTGCACCGGAATTCTTGAAGCTCCTTTGTGATTCTTCTCTTATTAGATGGAATTTCTCTGGAAATTCTTCATACCATACCTGCGGTTTATCTCTCCCTCCTCACAAGTTGAGAAAGGCCTGAGGATAATTTTGCTAAAGAAAGCTCTGAGGAACGACAATAAATTCGACTTTCTCTGTCCGTTATTGTTCAAGAATTGGAAAATCCTGGTTTTTAGAGTGACGGAAAAACTACGGCATTTGGTGAAAATTACCAGCAAACAGCTATAGCTTGCTACAATATGAATCCAGAACAACTTGTTGCCGTAGGAGTGAACTGCACAGCTCCAAGACTAATCGAACCACTAATATCGGGTATTAATGCCAACAGATCAAAGCCCATCCCGTTAATTGTATATCCCAACAGTGGAGAAAGTTACAATGTCGAACTGGGGTAAGTTAAATTATTATTAGACATTGTAATTCTTTGTCGCAAATCATCGCTTCTATTCATTGCATTACTATGCCTACTAACATTTAAGTTGTTTAATATGTAGTGTTCTAGGCTGGTAACCTTCACGTCGTTTGCAATGTACTGTCCGGTAAACTCGATTTAAACTGGAATGATCAAACAATATTTTCTTTACATATTTGTAAATAATACAACTTATAATAATCCAACTTTTGAAAAACCTTCGCGAGCTATTCATTTTGATACTCCTAGATATTCAAAATATTTTAACGTTTAAAAAAAATGGTTTGGAAAAACAAAAAGAAACTATATATAGAAACTAACCAATTAACCAATACATATTTTTTATTACTTGAACAAGGGAAAAATTCCCTTTTCAATTTGTGTAAATTTTTGTAATAGGTAAAGAATACCGAAATACTGATCAAGATTATATTTGTAAATAAAACGGAAAAATGTACACGCATCATATTACATATTTTTATTAAATGGAAATACTTATTTTGACAATTTTCATTGATACTTTGTCTATAAAATGGTATTTTCCTACTCCCTTCTGTAAAATACCTAATTATATACCGATATAGCATGCGGGAAGCGTCACTTTACCACGTGAGTTTCTTGTCCCACGGATCCGAGCCAGTTCGGACACTTCCGGAATATTACTGCACGCGTTTGGGAGCAATCGGATGTTTTCGTAGATTTTACTGCACGACTTGAATTTTGACGTTTCTTAATTGCGACGGTCATGTCAGTGAATGTATTCTTGTTGTTTTACAAAAATATACCCAAAAACTAACGGTAGTAGAAAAAGTATAGTATGCAACACGTTAGTTAAATTTTTAAGTCACTCGTTTATTAAACACTCCGCTGCGCTCCGCTCGTGCCAAATAAACTCGTGACTCAAATGCTGTTTACCGCACTTGTTGCATAATATACTATTATATAACTCAATAACCATTATTTATTTATTTATACTCCTCTCGTATTATGCAATAGGTGTTTATGCTTTACTTATACCTAAAAAAATAAATTTTCTCTTGCCGGATATACACGCCACTGCAAGAATGACCGATTGAAATAATTTGATAAAGCACCTTCTAGCAAACCATTTATCCTCAAAAACCTGAAAGAGGTAGAAAAATTGAAAAATAATAGGATTGACGTTATAAAGCTCCACATAAAATTTGCCTTCAAAAACCGCTATTGGCCCATTCCAGTTTATATAGAGTTCACTGGTACTGTCGCTTTATAATTCACTATCACCCTTACGGAAACTTAAAATAAATACGATAGAAGACAATTATTGCTTTAGATTTAACAAAACGTGTCAAAATTTCAACCACATAGGTACATCAGCGGGTTCATATCACTAACATCTCATGTTGCACTTTTTTTAATGAAAGTGATTCGCCAAACCACAGATGGATTAATCGAGACAAATGCGAACCTGTGGAAACTTATATCGATCGATGGCTGGACTTGGGAGTCACTTGGATAGGTGGTTGTTGTCGTACATACGCCATAGACGTAACAAGGATAAGGAGAGAGGTGGAGAAATGGAAACAAGCCAGAGAGTGTTGAATCTGAGTGTTGTTTTATTATTGTCAAATGTGTAATTATGTAATTTTTTAATGACTAAAAATAAAATATAAACCGATATAAATCATATTAATATCTAAGACATGCCACTCATTTTTATCTACCCTGTAATGCATCGGTATAATTATCAAAAGCATTATTAGCTCTAAATATACCTCTGACCAGGCCACAGAAAAAGAGGCAATCTACTCTCTGATCTCCCTTCCCACTCCTCCCCAGTAATCGATCCACGCCACTACTTAACATATAAAATATTTAAAATGCTGAAACATCCCCTGATTTTCATTGTAAGTTTTGGTTATCACATCCCATCTGCCTAGCATATGTTCAGTTCATTTCAGTTATTACTCTTATTAAGCAAGAAAGTGAAAGTGAAGTTTTTTTTGCTATATTTTTTCCATTAAAAAAAATAACAAAGATCACCAGTGGATGGGCAATAAAAATATGGATTTATCAAGTTGTTATAGAATTCCATAATTGCACAGGCGCAGATAATTTGCTCTGGCTCAATACATCCTAGCCCTTCTCGCTTATTTATAAATCAACATCTTCAGGGAAACATTAATTTGATTGAATAATTGATTAATAATATAGATAATTTATTTTAACTTTCCTCTGAGAGCTAATGAAATGTAAATTAAATGAACTATGTACAACTGGGATTGAGATTGGTTTCGAACTATTTTATTGAACTTCAGAAACAGAGTGTCCCTCTTGGTCTTTGGTTAATATTCCGTGTTACAATAAAGGAAAATTGGAGCATTCCTATACTATTATATTACACTCCTTCTGTATTGATGCTTAGTTTATTTTTTGTCTTACACATCACACAATGCAAAACATAAAACTGCTCAAATCTTTACCTCCACAAAAGTTGTTCAGGTGGAACAGCTCATAAAACAAATTTATAAAATGAAATCAGCTTGTTTCAATATTCAAAACGCATACATACTTTAAGTGCTTTAATCATTGCTTCATGTCATTGTATAGAAAATATAATACACTCTTATAGTACCTACTTTCTGGCACATAGTTTATGAAAAAATTAAGTAATAGAAAACATGCAAACTCACAAATTACTTACAAGACTATAAATTCTTGAATTTGAGGTAGGCATATTATTTTTCAATTATGCTTAACACTGTCATGGCAAATTTGATATTCCAACATGCGAAGTAATAGTTCTCTATAAACATCAGTCAACTGTCACGTAGAAGACCCTTGAGGTACGCTCATTGAAGTTAGTGTGCCTGTTTGACCTCCCATGCCTTGTGTGGTAAGTATACGTTGGGGTTGTGCTGTCCGACCTTGCAGGTGTTTAAGTTTAATTTTTTCTAGCTCATTAACCCGCGATCTTGCATGTTCCAGTCTATGCCAGGCCATTTGCAGAACTTTCTGGGAAGCATAACCTGACCCTTCATGAGGCTGCCCAGTTGAAACTTGAGTCAAATAATTAATTTGATCGGTTAATTTGTTTTCTACAGAGCCTAACGTCTTCAGAAAAGTCTGCGTGTGATTTTCTGCTTGTTTTAAACTCGATTTTTCTTTACTTAACTCCAAAAAAACTTGTCCTACATAAAAACAGATGAAAGAATGACAAATGAAATACTAGTTAACTGATTCACCTGCGCTATTCAAACACGTTATGATATCCTTTTCGATGGAATCAAGAACCTGAATTCTTTCCATAGGTGCGGTCATTCCGAATGATTTTCAAAATTTAAACTTTAAGTTGTGTTATTATCTCGCGAATATTACTGCCATATATGATCCACTTCTTACATTTTATGTACTGTTGGGCACGTATACTAGGGATACTCGCGTTAGCTGTTTATAGATTAAGACAAAAAACATCTCCAAGATATACCATAGAATATTTTTTTTATTTGCGCTTAATTGGGCTCATCATAAATTAGGATATTCACCCATTTCCGGCATCCGCCGAGGGAAATTTGATTACAATTTTCACGCACACAACACCCAAAAGCTCTCGGTGGAAATCAAACCCACAACCTCCGGTAAGTTAACGCCTTACCAACTGAGCCATTCTCGGGGTCCTCGGTCCCTACCATAGAATATATATTACGAGTTTTTACATTGCAAGAAAAACAAATTAAACAGAACTGATGACTGATTACGAAAAGATTGCGCGATAAAAAAAAAAGATGTTATATTTATCTTAAATAATTACATAATTTGGCAATGCGATTGTTGCAAGCTAAATTTAATGTTACATAGGACATATTGATTATAAGATGGTTTTTACAAGAAAACTTAGACGAGCTGTGTGAATTCGTGAAAGAATATTCCACATTTCTTCCTTTCTTTGAAAGTTGCTTACTTATTACTTAAAAGATATAGTTCTTTATAATTTTGAACTCGCAACATTAAATTTTGATTTAAACTGATTTTTTCGGTTATTCTTGCAACCACTAACTGTGCATTAAATTAATGAGCTATATTGAAACGTTCTTTATTACGACCTCTACCCCCATGCAGTTTTTCCAAATTAAAATTTGAAGTAAAAAAATTGCAGTCTATAGTGGCAAGATAGGATAGGAATCGCATTTTAACAATTATGTTTAGTCATCTAATAGAAATGATACATTCCTTAATGATCGTTTGATTGATGATGATCATTCAATAAAGAATCACATTTTGACAATTTATTTTTAATCAGCTAATAGAAATGACACATTCCTTGATGATTGATGAAATGATACATTCCTTTATGATTGATTGATCATCTTGCATCTTTCAATAATACCATGTTTAACAATTTATCTTTAGTCACCTAATAGAAATGGTACATTCCTGATATGCCAACGCATACAGCTAGCTATGAAAATTAATATAAAACAAAACAAATCAAAATAACCTACTGTAGATTAAATTAAAATTTATCAACCAAATGCAAAATATGCTGTTGCTCTTGATCTCTCCATTCTTTATCCCCTTCTTCACCCAAGTTCCCAGCATATTCACGCATAATATGCCTGATGGTTTTAAGAGAAGCTCCTCTTAGATTTAAAATTTGCATAACCCTTTGTTTAATAGATGCGGGCCCTGCAGCGCAGACTTCTAGTATTATGTAATCAACCAACTGCAATGTGAATAATCCACCTTCAAGTCGTTTCAAATAGTTTGCATCTTCATCTTCATTTTCATCTAAAGTGTCATCTATCAACTCCACTTTCTCAAGATATTTGAAGTGCAATTCCAGTAATCTATCTACTTTTTCATGGTCATTTTCAGTAAATTTGCTGATCAGTCTTTGCCTCTGGGAACCTCTAAACTCATTACATTGTGTATAAGTGCAAACCTACATTATTTACAAACCTGCAATTTCTTAACATAGATGCGATAATTGAGCACACATGTTCTTCATGTTGTTCAGATGTGAGGACCTTTCTTCTATTCTTTTTAGGGGTCTTCATAAATAAGGGAAATATTGTTCGAAGACCTAGAATATCCACAAATTTGTTGCAATTGTCCTTTCCCTGAGGGCCAGACATTGCGTAATCTAATACTTTTAATGAACCATTTCGTGAAGTCTTCTTTTCCCTAAGCATTAGATTCATAAGCTGAAGCCCTTCACCTTTTAGAAAACGATCCCTATTTGGCATCACCATCAGTGAGCTACAAAGACTTAAAATACAAAGTTTAATATTTATAATGCAAAAAGTTCACATGGCTAACCAATTAAACAAATTTTCCATAAATTCGTGTTCTTCTGCACTAGTAGGGTCATGTCTTTTGTAGAAAGCCAGTTGCTGAAGGAAAGTATCTATTCCATCTATTTCTCCTAATAAGAGTCGGTTTTTTTCATTGTCTTGTAACAAAATTGATAACATTTCACTTGTATATAGTTTATTGGGATCAAAGGGTACTTTCAGCTTTAACCGTTTTAGGAGCCAAGCTAGTAAACCTATAACAGAAGATGTATAAAAAGCCCAAAAAATGTAACAGTGACTTGCCTTGTTTACCAGCTTCTACAGTAATATCAGAGCGGAGTTCAGTTAAATTTTCTATGATTGATAGAGTGTTGTGTACACCATCTGCCTCCTCTTTGACATTTTCATCCAACCTTTCAAGATTTTGCACCAGTAATGCAATTATCTGATGATCCAGCAAAGCTTCAATTAATGCCTCTGCTCCTTCTTCTGATTCATTTAAAATATCCACATCAGAGAGTTCTTGCAACAACTCAACTGCAGCAACCTACCAACAATAATTTTAATTATTTTCCTAACATACCAAAAAAAGAAAACTTACAGAAACATCTGTGTTATCATGGGAAAGTAGTTCTAAAAGACTGGGTATAACTTGCAATTTAACTAGTAATGGGTAATAATCAGGAGCTGTTGCTAGAACTCTCATTTCTTGTAATATTTCGTGAAGCTCTATCTCACTTTCCATGAATTTTTCTGGAGAATCTGGAAACTTGATTCTCATTTCCCGGTTTTTCAAACTCCTTTTCTCAAAATTAAGAACAATTTTTTTAATAGTTGCTTCATCAACAACCTCACCCTAGAATTAAAACAAAAAACGGTTCAAAAGAAATAGAGTAGATGGGAACAATTTTTACCTGAGCCTGTTCAGTTTCAACATATCTCAATATTTCTGCACGTTCTTCTTCAGAAATTTGATCCAAATTCTGTATTGATGGTGTTGGTGATGACGGTCGGATCATTTGCTCTGCCTTAGCTCTAGCGATCCTACGCATTTTTCGTGCCTTTTCCGTTTCATCTTCTTTATTGTTAGCCTCTAATGGTCTTTTCAAAGCTTGCGGTGGCTATATGTAAAGAGATATTAACCGCAATGTAAAATAAAACTAGGTAAATTGTACCTTATAATCCAACAATTCTCCAATATCCATCTTAAAAGAAAAGCCGTAAATACTAGAAGATATCGCTGATGTCGCAAATGTTAGCAAACATACCACATAACCTATAAGTCATAGGGGAACACCATAGACTAGTTTTCAATAATATTAGTATTAATTAATACCAGTTTTTTATTTAATAATTATTATTATATTTTATAAAATAAGTATTTATTTCAAGGTTCTGATTTTATTCCTGCTTTAAAACAATTTTGTTTTAAATGTTTTTATCTAAAATTTGTAAACTATTCGCAAATTCGCAATTTGCCTGAACAAATTGAACACGTAGAAGTATATGAATAAAAAATATCCAAACCTCGCGGATCTCGGAATGGGCGAGCGTCTCTTATTGTGTTAATCATGGACATCGAAATTGTAAAAGAAGACCAATATGTGTTTTTGTGTCACATACGATGTCAACCTACTTTTTTCCTAAAGTCTTCTAATAATAAAAAAAATGTTTATATATAACGAGCCCTAAAATATTTAAATTTTTGACGTACTCATCACAAATTTTGTAGCGTATACATCCCTAGTAAGTACAAAATAAATCAATAAAAAATATAAAAACGCCAACCATTACAAGATTATTACAGATTGATTTGTAAATATTGTTAAATTTTCATTTTCTTGTCGTTCGTCGACAAACTAGTTTTTCCTATAATTAAAAATAAAAAGTGCATCGATTCGTGTAGCATTTTATAATTAATATTTCCAAATTTTTGAGTTTAATATATTTAACAAGCAAAAATAATTATTGAGTTAAAATGTAAGGCAGGGTTTTATTAATAATTCCGGCTAAACCAAATCCGTTCACAGTATTTTTGGCGCTGTGCCAACTTGATCTGAAAGCCAAAGCGAATGCCAAGAATGTGATGGCATTCAGAAATTATGTTTCACTATGTAATGACGTCCAATTTTTAAGCTTGTCTTAAGCGGACTTTTTTTAGCCTGCCATAAATGGAAAAATATTTAAATCACATATTCATAAGGGCACCCTAATAGAAGAATAATGGCGGCTGAATCTTTGATAGTTCAAGCACTGTATTCCTTCAAGGGAAGTAATAATGATGAGGTAAGAAAATGTATGCAGTACTTTAATATTATGAATACAGCAGGTTTTGTATCTTCGTTTCTTTATGACATGCACCAATAATAAAATTCAATTCTTATGTTTTGCAATTCGCTCTATTAATAGCACTGTTTGAAGCCAATTAAATATTTATGTTCCTAAAACATGTTTTAACTCCATTATTAATTTTTAATTAAATAAATTGATCAACAAAGCAGGGACAATTCTTTTTATATGTTTTCATTTTAATTTTATATGCTAACTATAATTATCTAAATAAAATAAAAACTATAAAAACCAATTATTTTTATATTGTTTAACTTAGTAACTTAACCTGCACTGCTGAGTAAAATTAAGTTAAAATTAGTTTATAATGTTCCATGTACTTGTCACTCATATTTTAATTTTAATGCCTATCCTTATATTTTTTTTTTCATTATTTTATAACAAAAACTTATTATTCTGAAAATTTGGACGGTAAATATTTCAGTGTAAAAAGGTTCTTTATTTGACATTTTTGGTGACATATTGAATCAAATTCTTGTTTCAAATTTCAACCCTAGGTTATTACTAATTTCGAAAATCAATGGTGTAGGCTATAGATTTTACTAAGTTAATTTAAAATATTTTCAACACATGAATTGCTAGAGATTATATTGTTTATGGCAGGCAGAAAGGTTTATTTTTATAGTCCAAGTTGTTGAATGTTTTATGAGTTATCGATTTATTTCTCCAAACACATAAAATCTGATTTTAAGCTTTTACTATTACCACTTTATGTTTTACCAGGGGAGTATTTCATAAAAAATGTAAACATTTCAAATGATCTGTTTAAAAACAACTTTAAGACGGGTTTTCTGTGATTGTCCTGTGGGCGTGATGGGTGTGACTTTTTCATTTGCTTGTTATCATTTTCTAATTCTGTAATGAGTATTCACAGAGGTCATAACTCAATGTTGTAACTATTATCAGTAGATTTTATTGCCCTGTTTGTCACATTTGGAAATACGTATATTGATTGCCATATCTTTGTAAAGTAGGCCCATCAAGTAAATAAATATTGTGTTTATTTTATAATACACCCGTTTTAATTTATCAATGGCTTTTTTTAAATTAAAAAAAAATGTTTTTGAGGTAATGGCTTAAGTGCATTTTGATGATGAGTTTGTTTCAGTTGTGTTTCAAGAAAGGCGACATTATCACTGTTACTCAAAAGGATGAAGGGTGGTGGGAGGGTACTTTAAAAGGAAAAACAGGCTGGTTTCCTAGCAACTATATTAAGGAATGTAAAGGTAAGCATGATATTTGTTTGTGGATAAAATATGAATTGCTATTATCTTATTTTCGTTCAATGTTAAATTTGTAGGGAGACTTTTAACATCATTTTCATCACAATTTATACATGAAGTGTTTGGCAACCTTGGTGGTGTCTTTTAATATTGTCGTTCTCTCTATATTTTTTTCCATTTTAAGAAGGGCAAAATTGTATGTAGAAAATTTCCAATAGTATCATTCAAAATTACTATAACTAACATCCTTCCACTAAGCTAACAGTTAGTGACAAAAATTCCTTCACATATTTTGTTGAAACTTGGTATGTATAACTGACTTGTTCATTTACACTTTTCATTTAAATTTTGTAAATAAAAACGGCATAATAGCAGAAAAAAGTGGTGTCTTATATTATAATACAAATATAACGCAACCCAACTTTCTCAATGTACGCCAATTATTTTAAAACTTTTCTTGTTGAATAAACCTCTTGCGTTAGAAATTTGTTTTCTCCGGTATTTACTAATTAATAAATTAAGTTTGAAAATGACCATTAGAAAGTAACATATATTTTGCAGGAGCCTCTTTTGCCCGCCCTTTTAATAAGTAAAAAAAAAAGATGTCGTTTAAGCGAAATCTTCCCCAATTGATGGACTGAGTGAGTTCACAGTTCACCTGTTCAATAGCCAGCGTGTTCTCCGCCCTCTGGATAACAGTTTTCGATGGTTTATGAAAGATTCTGTTTATGCGGCTGCCGTCACTTAAAAAAATTAAGATATTAATAAGATTAATTAGTAAATTGCAAAACTTTTTAATATAATAAAATATCTTTAAAATGCAAGAGAGAAAAATTTATGCAAAGTAAGAGGTTTTAAGGTTCTATTCGTACGCAAAAAATTTTGGGGGGGAGGAACAGGTTAGCAAAGGTTAGCTAAAGCACACTCTAATACCATTTGACAATATTTGACAGAACATTTGTTGGTAAAAAAATTTTTAGATTAATCAAGCCACTTTAATGTTCTTATTAGATTATTTTACATGTTTGAACACACGGTGAGTAGTTTATTACGTAACTTACATAACATAATATAAAATGATTCCAAAAAACTTATTTTATGATTTTAAATTTTAACCTTAATAAAACAGATACTTTTACTGTCTGGCACTTCTGGTCATAAGTAGCAATTTCACTTTTTACAATTTCACAATTCACATTTTATACAGGGCGCACGTGAAAAGTGGAATATTGGAGTCTATTTTTTCCATTGGAACCAAAATCAAGCAAAACGATGCAAAAAAAAATAAAACAAAAAAATCTAATTGCCATTTGCATTAAGAACGTCAATAGAATCTGAAACAGGAAAAGAATTTGTAAGCTACGGTGATAATAAAACGTCAAACAAAAATGCTAACACCATTGGATAAAGCAAAAAAAATGGAAATGCGCCAGTGAACTAAATTTCGATTTCAAATAAAGCAACAAAAACAAAACAGAAACCAAAAATCTTCAATACCCTTTGGATTAATAACTTTTTTCTCTCTTAATTGACCTGGCGAACACCCTTCCGCCGGTTTCGGTTAAAAATCAGAGCGTAAACTTGGTTTTAAAGTCAAATTATGGTTTTGATGAATAAAATATGTATTTAAAAAATTATTTTATTTATAATATAATTTTCTGTTTCTAGATGTACCAAAACCTATTGTACCACAAGAAAATCAATACAAAAACTTGGTATTAAAAGATTTAATCGATTCTGAGAAAGCCTACATCACAGAACTAGAGGGACTTGTTACAAACTTTCTACAGCCATTGGAAAAGGGTGCTGTGTAAGTTAGTTTCAAAGTACTCAGCCAGTCTCGACCACATCGTTAGTGTATAGTATTTTACGTGATGGAAAAAAATTGTAAATATGAAAGTTTTTTATGAAGCCTGTATAATGTTTTAAGCGTTTATAACTAATCGTCAATTCTCGTTGAATATATTTAAGCTTTATTCCAACCCCAGTCAGAAACCGATTTGGAACTCTAAATTCCTGTCACTCAACTGATTCAACTGAATATTCATCAAAAATCATCATCTGACAGGAATTAGTAGTTCCAAACTGGGTTCTGACTGCGGTTGGAACAAAACTTTTGTGTACCTATGGTGGCTATTTACTAATACTGGCTGATTACTAATCACTAGTATCGTAATATCAAATGAACCGCTTCTTGTAAAAATGTTTAAAAAACATCCTGGTTTTTATCCTTATATTGCCACTGAATTTCTTTCTATGGTATTGATGTTTAAAAAAAGCTTTCACTGTTATCTATTGGAATAGTTGCTTGCCAACTTATTAATTAAAGTTTGGTGTTTAGACAGCAGGATGTTAAATATTCTGGTAAGTTAGAAAAACCCATTTTTGGTTGATCAGATTATATGACTCTATTTGTTTAATATTTCCTATGATTTTATTGCAGGCTGAATCCAGATGAATATAAACAGTTAACCAGTAATATAACTGAAATATTGGAAATTCATCAGCAGTTACTCATGCTTGTTGAGCAAGAATCTGCCAAGCCTGGACTGGAACAAAGAGTAGGAAAATTGTTTTTAAGTTGGGCCCCAAAAATTAAAGCTGCTCATCAAACCTATTGTTCTTTGCATCCTAGAGCCGTCTGTATATTGGATAAATACAGGTATGCTACAAAAATAGAAATGATTATTATTAACTCAGAGGGACTGTGCAATAATCCTTTTTTGTCACCCCAACCGCTTAGAATGTCTTTAGACCTTTACCTATAAGTGAAAAAGTTTTAACTTAGGGATGATCTCACAAAATACATGGAATCAAGAGGTGCGGCCAGTCCAGGTGTTTTGGTATTGACTACAATGTTAAGCAAACCATTTAGAAGGTTGGATAAATACTCTGGAATGTTACAAGAGTTGGAAAGGCATGTAGAAGAGTGCCATCCAGATCGGGGTGACACTCAGCGATCAGTTAGTGTTTACAAAGATATCGCTGTAAGACAGCAAAAAATATTTTTGTTAAGACATATCATTAGCCTCATAATGTTTAGATGACTTGTTCCACCATAAGAAGACAAAAAGAACTTGAATTACAAGTTTTGACCGGGCCAGTTAGAGGATGGGAAGGACCTAGTTTAACGACTTTAGGAGATATCATATACATGGGTTCAGTAGCTGTTGGTAATCAACATCATGACAGATATTTCGTATTATTTCCCACCACCTTAGTTATCCTTTCTGTTAGTCAAAGGTTGAGCGCATTCATCTATGAGGTAACCATCAAGATCAATTAGTAGTTCCAATATTAACTATGGTTAATTCTTTTAGGGAAAACTTTTTCTTTCTGGCCTTACAGTAACAAGGCTGGAGGATACTGAACAATTTAAAAATACCTTTGAAATCAGCGCTCCTATGATTGATAAGAGAGTTGTCGTCTGTCAAAGCAAACAAGAGGCAGATAAATGGGTAGAGCTCTTGACAAAACAAGTTCCTAGAAATTCCAGTGCATCTAATCAGATGGCGTCACCCTCGCAGGCCCAGTACGTCCCACAGCCCCCTCCCCATGTAAGTTGGTGCATACTTAGTGTGTATGAAAGTCTTTCCGTTTTTTAAAGTACATGTTAAAGCCATAATTTTTCGCAAGTGAATGAGATGTTTTGAACTTTTTGGTCCTTTACGGGTGTGAAATTTTATTCTAAAACGCTTTGATTGCATAAGTGATAACAGTTTTGCGAACGCATTACACAGTCGGTCATAAACTAGTCGTTAGTTATCTCAAAAAATATTAACTTTTACGGAGCGCATTAAAGTAAAAGCAGCGTTTTAGGTTTTAAAATCAAATTTTATAAATAACTATTGTAATGCGCAAGTGATAACAAAAAATCTGTGACAAATATAAGAATCAAAGTTCAACAGGTAAGGTAAGGTTTTTATGTACATGTTTTCTGTCAGTCGCTTTAGATGGTAAATTGCCCCTATTTTTATCTGCCTTGAAGGGAAATTTAAGTGCCTTTCTGTTATTGGATGGCATTTCCTTATTATATTGATGATGAGATTCACTGATCTATTGGTTACGATATTTTGGCAGTACTTAGTCAATGTGGTAATGAATTAAAAAGAAAATTTTTTGTCGCTAGATGTCTGCTCCTATTTTCAATGATATTTTTGTTGGTTTTTGAAATAGTCCATGCATTGATAGAAGAACATATGGGTCATTTGGCATGTGCTTTAAATAGGAAAAGGCTTTATAATGAGACTAGAACAGTAATTAATAATCTTTAAAGTGTTAATTTTTCTGTAATTCAGGTAGCGAACTTGAATCAGAGGGGTTATTGTAACCGATCGTCTGTATTGTCATATAGGACAAACATTAATTATACGCCATCTTACCCCCCATCTACTTATCCGTCAGCTGCCCCTTACGCTGGGTTAACCAGATTCTTCAGTAAAAACATTAAAGACAAAAAGCTGACCCGTAAATTGCTTCAACTCCTACTTTATTCAGAATATTTGAACAAAATTAATCTTAGTTTGGTGAAAATAAGGCATCACAAAACAGAGTGTCTGATCATGACCAAAAACATTCATATACGCGATAGTGTAATTGACTGTGATAGTGACTCGGACTCAGAGAACTCCGATTCATCGGAAGATGTGAATTTGATAAGGCAAGATGCTGTTGATCGTCGATCCGATAGCAGCTCGAGTAGTTCAAGTAACCCGTTTGGGTATATTAGATATTACAATCCGCAAACAGGTTTGGAACGGCAGGAGTCGCCGAAATATGAAAGTTTCATAGATTACGGCGAACCATACAAAGTGAGCGAACCAAATGAAGGTAGCAGTGCCAGTTATGGTCTGAGAGTGGTTGAAGACGAACCCAAGAAGCAAAGCGTAGTTTTAATCTCAACCGCCAGAGTAAATCTACTAAAAAAACAGTGGTCAGAAGATTCGGAAGCAAGCTCTTGTCTAGTAGCTCGCAATCCGGGACTAGCCTGCGAGAACCTACTAAATATCGACGAAAATCTTGAACTAAACACTTTACATGTTCCAGAAAATTGTATGCCGATTGCAAGGCAAAGTTGTCCTACCAAGCTTGTTGGCAACAAATTCAACAAAAGTAGCTTAACTACAATTTACATTCCAACTTGGTCGAATAGTGATAATAATATTTCGTGTCGAACGAATTTTGATGATAGCAAACCCGAAAGTGTTTCTAGCACGGCAACGCACTCCAGCAGTTTGGAGTTGCCCGTGAATACCCTTCCCCTCCCAGATAAAATTATTGGTGAACTTCTTTACGGCGAGTTTGCAAAGTCAGAATCGGTAGAGAGTGATTTAACCGAACATTCGTCCAAAACTGTGATAAAGCCGCCGACAATGTTCGAAGCGAAGACGGTTAATTTGAGCAAAGAAAACGTACCATTTAGGAAACACAGTATTAACTCAGACAAACCTAAACGAAGATGCAGTATTCAACTGAATCCCACAGATCTCAAAGATAAAGCTTTAAGAAAATGTATAAGTTCGCGATACTTGCAGATGAATCCAGGCAGTCAGCCGGGGCCTTCAAAGAAGTCTGTATGTCGATGCGGTATTGATTATTGCAATAGCCCCAGGTCATCGGATTCCGGCATGGCCGGAAGCTGCTCGTTGAATTCGCCGGATTTGGCCAACACAGCGGACGCTGATCTAGAACGTAACAGCGGCGATATGATCAATATTTTGTATCGAGAATATGATCTGAATAACGGTCTGTCACTAAGCGAAATCGAAGCGAAAAACTTTGAATCGCAGTGTCCTTGTTCGTCGCCGTTCGGTTCCACCCCGAGAACATCTAGCGAAGCCGGCCGGACTAATGATAGTCTCAGAACGACTTCGGTCAATAGTATCGACATATTTCCTACGCAACTGCAAATGCATTCCAGGCTTTCAACAAGTTCGGGACCGCAACGGTCAAAATCAGAAAACTGCCTTTTGGATAGCGATTCAAACGAGGTCGAACAACTAGATGGGAATGAGAACGCTACGGGGCCTCTAATGTTTAAATCTGGGTTATACGCGCACTGGTGGCTAAAAGCCAAATTACCTCCTGCCATCGTTAGAGGAATTTACGAGGAGACTCGTTCCAATAAGCAGACTGCAGGCAAGGGCGCATGCGAGTGCTGTGTGTCTGAACTGCTTTTTCATTATCACAGTTTCGCGACTAATACATTTAGCTTGTGTTTTGGCCCTTGCCTGTATTTCTCACGATTAACAACACCATCAATTTCGCATATTCGCGCAAATGGTTCGGATACCTGAATTATAAATGATGTAGGCATATGATCTCGGATGCAAAATGTTTTTAGCAACTTAATGTTGACGAGACCCGTTTTTAATCCTAAAAATGATTCGTTAATCGTGAATCGTTAAGAAAAGCGGCGATTTGGGCATATTTTAAAATTTTACAAACTGCATTTTATTTCATTCGTGTTGATTTGAAGATAAGTTGTTGGAAATGTTTTTCCCAGACAGGGTCCCATTTGGGAGTATGTCCCTTATCCTTAAACCTAGAAAGATGCGGTTTTTGTAATGTATTTTTTTGAAAATGTAGCCCCTGCATCGAAAACCTAATATACCGCTCCACTCTCAGAATAGGGTAAAAAAAAATTCGGGTCATACTTTTCTGTAAGATTTTTTAAATTTTGTTTGTTTGTTGAATTGTTCGAGATTTTCAAAAACATATAATTATTTTAAATCTCAAGGTCAGAGTAGACTATCTTCAGTAATTTGCTTAATTTTAAAAGAGTATAAGACTAGCCAATCTATTAAAAGCATAAAAAGCAAATTTGTCTTTGATTATTTGGAGAATATTGCTTTGGTGTGTATTATTTTACTGATTTATCTATATTTTGACCGAAATTATGAAAGTATGTGTTGGAACATTTTATGCATTTTATTTATAGAAGCTTCGGAATTACTTATATTTTCGCATTTTAAAAGCGCTATAGCTTATTTTCTAATTATCAGTTTTGTTCATATTAGAGAAGGCGTCCTCCTGTATTGTTTGCTGACCTAAAAGCAAAACATTGTAATTTGTTCCACCGCGTCCTACAGTTTATGTTAAAGAAAATAGGAAGAGAAAAGAAATTAAAAGTAAGAGATCATATAAAAAAAATCAATGAAAAAATTTGGTAGATTTTTTATCTGGAGTGACGAATACTGTTTTTCATAATGGGGGTTCTACACAACGAATTGCGGCCACACACTATTCGGGTAAACCTCAAGGTTTACCAGTTGGTGGGACCTGCTGCTGTGCGAGAAATGAAGTTGGCCTTCGCACTTGCTCTAAAAATTAGACACAATCTGATTCGCTTCGAGCCGCGCTTGAACGCGCCGTGAGTTTTGACACATACACATTCGCACTTACTCGCGTGTCTCCACCGGTACATCCGATAATTTGATCGGAAAATGATTTTAAATAAACATTTCTAACTACAAAGTTAGCTTGTTTCGGTTGTTGTTCGCTGTTAACTGACCAAAATGTATGTCGTTTAAGAATGTATTTTTCAATTAAATGTTTTCCCACTTCACCAATTTTTCAAAGGTTCAACTCGCCATTAGTACACAAAGCAGCACCTTGTGTTTTTCGTAAGTTACTTTTCAACTGAGATCTTGGCCTAAAATCAGTTTTTTTGCAACACTGTCCATTTATTAATAACTTTATTTGTTTTTTTTCTCAAAATAATGCACTACATCTGATTTTAGTTTATTGCCTGTACCCTCAAACCCGACATTCCCTAAGACGTACTACATCCTTATTTAAAAATACGTTCTGAATGACACACTGTGCACATCTAGCCTACATTGAGGCATGCCAATTTAAAGTGATTAAGTGTACATACTTTACTTGTACATACCAGTGGTCATTTTCAAGACCCAGTTCACGCATACCTAAATGGTCAAGATGAATAAGAACTAAAAGTTCAGATTTTCACGAAATTATATATTTTTACATGACAATTGTTTCGACAACACCGTGTCTTTATCAAATGTAATATTTACAAACTACCTTAATTAATGTTGTGAAAATTTAAGTTCAATAAAGGAGATGTATTTAAATCTAATTGATCGTTAAGCAATACATTTGAATGTCTCATTTTGTTAATCTCCATGGCTTCCAATACATTTAATTTTCTACTTTTTGTGGCTGTATGTAAAATATCAAAATTATCGTAAAAAATGTGTTTTTCTGTGTTTACGTGTGTAGCATCATTAGAATCTTGACTATTTTTTTTAAACGCTCTTTTATGTTCGTTAATGCGTTTCTTGAAGGATCTACCTGTTTGCCCAATATACATTTTAGGACAAGATCCGCGTTTCAACCTGTAGACACCTGATTTTTAGAGATTTTGGTGGACATTTCGTTTTATTGTATGGTTAGTTCTGTAAGCTATTTGCGTTAAGTATAAAAAATTAATAGAGTTGTCCTGTTCAATCTCGATAGTGAATTTTATACAGAACACGAACAATTTAAAACAATTACATGCATAGGAGAACCCAGGGAAAAAGTTTCGAAACATTTGTCACAATGTGGGTTAAAAATAGCTTTCAGAACTAACAATACAATAAAACGAAATGTCCAAAACCTCAAAAATCAGGTGTTTACAAGTTGAAATGCGGATCTTGTCCTAAAATTTATATTGGACAAACAAGTAGTAGATCCTTCAAGAAACGCATTAACGAACATAAAAGAGCGTTTAAAAACAATAGTCTAGATTCTAATTATGCTACACACTTAAACACAGAAAAACACTTTGACGACAATTTTGATATTTTACACAAAAAGTAGAAAATAAAATTTATTGGAAGCCATGGAGATTAACAAAATGAGACCTTCAAATGTATTGCTTTACGATCAATTAGATTTAAATACCTCTCCTTTATTGAACTTAAATTCTGGCAACAACATTAATTAAGGTTTTATTGTCATTTTTCGGTATATATAATAGCAGGTAGTTTGTAAATATTACATTTGATAAAGACACGGCGTTGTCGAAACAATTGTCATGTAAAAATATATAATTTCGTGAAAATCTGAACTTTTAGTTCTTATTTATTTTGATAAATCGATTTTCATCAAGTAAAAGCCACCTCAGTTCAATTCCTAAATGGTCATGCTGATTTATGCACGGTCGGTAATTTGAAGAAGCCATTGACCTTTGCAAGAATTTCAAAAATATATTGTTTGTCTGTATTTGGTTTAACAGTTTTCTAATAATCCAAGTGGATTATTTAAATTTATAATTTAATAAAAAATAATTGTTTACGTTGCTTCCTTTTGGAAGGATGTTACATTGTTCTTATAATTTATATATTTTCTTTTGTTATAGATGTCTCCACTGGTGTCAGGAGCCAGTGTCCACAACAATCACCAGCTGAACCCGGCAGCCGTGCTCCCCCCCACAGGCGGCAGGACCGCCAGCAGTACCAGTATTAACCTTCGTTGCTCGTCCCCGCCAGCAGCACCGCTTCACGGCAACGGTCGCGGTTGGTCCGCAACTTGCTTACGCCCCACACCACCACTTAGACCATGTTTGGCTTTAGGAGCTACACCTGGAGGTCCTTATCAGAGATACAGTCGTCGAATGTCCAATTATAAAGAAGACGGGATGATACTCGATGTAATTGAAGCTTATTGTTCATTAGGCAAACCCAGAAGTACTATCAATTCTGGTAAGAAAGTTTATTTTTCACATAGGGTAATAAAGTGTAGATTTACCTGTTAGCCACAATGTCGTTACATTTTCATTATGGAAGTTCCGTCAGCGTTTAAGGAAACAAAAATTATAAAATTAATTGCGTCCACCCAACGTACAATTTTTCCAGAACCTTCCAAGTTTAGTGGGATATAAATTTATATTTTGACATCTAGAAAGTAAAAGTATTTGTTTAATTTCTTCATAACCTTAGCATGAATCATTTCTTTCCTATGCTTTTTTATTGATTCTACCAAAAGCAGATACATCAATGCGATTTTAAGCAACATATGAAACACGTCAAATAGTTTAAAACTGTGGACAATAAAAATTTGAAACACTTTAAAGGAAATTACCCCACTTTTTCCTTCCGTTTGCATTGTTTTCTGTCCTGGGTAAAGACGTGCTGGCCGGAGGTAATGTCCAACTGCCCAACAAACTCGCCACGGCACATCGTTCGAGTCTGGAACTAATCTCGCAACCGCTGCAACCAAGACGTTTTAGACCACACGGCCCTACTAGAGCGTCGACCTGGTGCTGCGGTTCGTTTGTGGCAAGACAGCTCAAGAAGACTCAACATTTGGAATAATTATTCTTCTGTGTGTGTGTATTTTGTGTCGAGTGGTGGAGTTTGGTGTGGTAACAACCAAATTAGTTACATTTTCAAGCTGCATCGAGTATTATGCTCGTAAGTTTTTTTGTTCTACGCTGTAACTCATTTGGTTGAAAAATAAAGCGCTAACTCCTCTAATAAACTTCATGTCATGGTTTTAGTTTGCTAACCGTTAACACATTTCGGCTTTCCCTTTAAAGGGACAAATGAAATAATACGTATTACTGGTGCAACAGGGAAAGTATCGTTTTTTTTTTTATTGCAGTGAGTTTAATAGACAGCTCTAAATCGGAATTAGTCAAAGCAATTCCGGAAGCAGTCTGTCTTCTCCAATCCAAATTCAATGTGCTAGAATACAAAATAACGGCATTTGCAACACAGATCAAAGAAGAAAGGGACGCTAGATGCGCGTTACAAAAAATAGTGCGAAACTACATGGTGACCAACGCAAAAGACTTTGATAGTATTCAGTGGCCACCCATGGAGAGCGATATATGAGTTAAGACTTGCGCGGGTTTGCAAAATGTGTAATTTTTTATTTATTTGTATAGATATTACGGATAATTATTTTGCCGTTTTCTTGATTGGGTTTTTCCATATTATACACATCTCGATTTTCCATTGTCTATGATTTCTGACCAATTTTTTTCTGTTTGTAAATAATGGTTATTCACATTTCCAGACAAACGAATTTATTTGTGATTGAATAGAAATCAAAATTGAATTTGTTTCCTATTTGCCTTGGCTTGTGTGTGCAATAGTTTGCATGTAGCATTATCTTTAACCTAAATATAAAAATATGTTTTGTTATCCAGTCGACGCTGGAATCGGAAAATTGTGTTCAACAAATTGTATGTAATTTAATATTTTTTATTAAAAATTTGATTATAATTGTTTTCTTTCCTAGTAGCGAGCTGTTTCATTTCTCCCTCTCCATTGGGCTTCTCTTTCATGCGTGAGACTCAAAATCTATGCGAAACTGTAATTATTTTTCGTTTCAATTATCACAAACGAAAAAAACCGCCCCATTCCAACTTAAACAAGTCTTTTATTTAAATATTGCTAGGAAAAACTATCCATGTCTTAGTGCATTTAAATAATATGTTAAAGTACCAAGCGTGATAATAGAAACATAAGACAAAAAAAACTAATGCACTCTCAGTCGCATAATGGACCGAATACGTAATATACAGATAATATGTATCACTAAGGCCGATAATGTTTACACAGTTACTTCACAAAAGAAAACTACAAAGAATTCAATTAAAATATCACAGTGACAATATACCAGGGTTCGTGTAGGCAGAGTATATTTCCTACGAGTATAACTATGTTTGATACTTTTCCAACAAAATTTTAGGAATACTAATATTCGAAATTTAATAAACAATTTGCCAGAGTGGGATAAATCTAAGTGGCGCGCAACCACCGGTTGATGTTTAAGCCAACTAGTATAAGACAGAGGGGAAGGCTACCATTAGTGGCAAACGCGCGGGACGTACGGTTCAATTCAATTCAAAGTTTGAAAGGTAAAATGTGAAAAAAAAAATTATGTCGAAATAGTTTTAATTTTTTTTTTTTTATTAAAATATAAAAGTTCTAATATCCGTTACAAGCTATTGTAGTATTTTCAATGCTTGGGCACAAAATATTAGATGCCATTCGTAACAGTATACGCAACCTTCCCCTCTAACCTATACTCTTTGGTTTAAGCGTCGCTTCGCCTTGAACCATTGTTCACCTCCACCAGGAAGGCAGGTAGAAGGAAGTCGCTCAGTGGGACGACTTATTATAGTTGCAGACTTCCATTGGTCAAAATTTGATTTGATTCGATTTGAACTTGATCGCTGCTGTGGTTGCAATGCAGAAGGAAAAAAAAGAAAGTCTAGATGTATCCACATTTAAGAGATAATGCTTATTTATATTTATTATAATAGCTTCTAATATTTGGGATGGAAAGAACATGGACATTGGATATGTCTTTAGAAAAGTTCAAATGGCCATGCAAAACTAAGTAAGTAAATCGGTCAAAACAAAATGTTAGAAATTACTTTCTTAACTTTCAAAATCCACTTTCTGTATCACTTTCTCATATCAACAACAATTGGCCTGTCTGTCACTGACAAAAGATGTATTGTGATTTTCTCTATCGTTATAGACCTTTATATAGGTTCATCTCTATGACTAGAATCCACAGCTTCAATAGTGGCTCCTTCATGTAACTTGTTACCCCTGGTTTGATTTCGACCAGAAGATGGAAACACTCTCTCGATATAGCGTGGAATATCTGTGGGTGTTTCCTCTTTTTCGTGGTAAAATCTGTGTTCAGTGTTTTTTTCCACTCTCATTAGACTTAGATACCTGTTAAGTGGGCAGTAGCCCGTGAACAGTGATTATTCTATTGTTGTTTAGCAGGTCTATTGTAAATTTGGACCATAGAATCGTCCATGGCCTGTCTTTGTCCTGGCATGTCCGTCCACCATTTCCGACATTCTCTTTCCATCTATTTATTGTTAGTTGAATTTTCAAGGGTTTTGTTTAGCCACCCAACAAAAGGGTCTGAACATGTGGTCTGACTAGCATTCGCGGCGCTTTCGTTGCCTTTGTGGCCTTCATGTTCCAGGCCAAGGCCGCCGTTCGTGATCCAGGTTTTTAAATTTTTGGTTTACTGTAAAATTTCTTCTGGATTGCTAATAGTGCTTTGTTTCTGGCAGCAAAATGGGATTTTCTATCCCTGCGGCTGATTTCTGGAACAAACGCAATGCAATAATTTTTTTGCGCCAGAGATCTCATTAATTTTCACTTTTTTGCGCTTTCAAACGCTGTTCATGTGTAGCAAAATTTTTAGTATCCAAAATCAATTCGATAATACTTGTTAAATTTCAAATTTATACAATTTTTAGAAGCGTTCAGGATACAAGTTTAATAACAAAGAATTTATATCAAATTTGAAAATTTTGTAATAATGACACTCTATCTTAGTAGTTCTTGAAATTAGCAACGAAAAATAACTAAAACCGGTATTGCACCACACTGCAGCCTTTTACCGATCATCACGGGATCAAAACAAAATTCTAATATAATCAATAATCAGTAGAAATAAGAAACTTACTGTAGCGCTAGTTAAACAGAAACAAAGATCAGTGGAAATAAAATCACAACCAAAATAAAAGCATGAAAGTCAACACAAAGAAACTGTTGTTAGCGTAATTTGGCTTAAAATCTGGTGGAAAAATATGTTATACAAATGGTTCACTGGGTATAAAAAAGTCCATATAATCTAGTTTTTGGCAGCATCGTCAGAGCGCGAGTGGAATGCATAGTCGGCTCTGAAATTGTCGATGAAACTTTTGAGTCGTGATCTTGGCTCCTGAAGTGAAATCATTAACAGTAATCACCGACACCTGTCTTAAGTAGACACATCAACACTAAACGTCACCAAAACTATCCAACAATAACCAAAAAAAATTTGAGAAGAAAATTTTAATCATTAGCATTTACATGCCTACGAAGGCAAACTAAGGCAGCATTCCTAGAAATCCTAGAAGTAGGGTAGAGATACTCAATTGTACAGTCGATGATGTTGTGGATCAATTTGAGCTCCCTCAGCATCCTTCTAGAGGAAAGGGTTGAAAAGTTGGCAAAACTTATAGTTCATATATCCCCAAAATGTAACAATTTTGATGAAAAACTTTAAATTGTCAGTAATAGAAATAAGTAATATAAGAAGCAGAAAATTGATGTCATCGATGAACATGTTGAAAAGCAGTTGGCCCAAGACCGACTCTTGAGGCACACCTGGCTAGACTTAGATTTTAGACGAAGTAAAGTTCAGTTTATTTGATAAGATAGCTTTTAACTCATGAAAATAGAATGCCTCTATGATTTCTTAAGTTTTTCACTAGCACTACTTATATCGGTATATATGCAACTCCAAAGTATCATCAGAAACTCAATAGATGTATAGTTTAATTATGTTGAATTGCTTGTGAAAACGAAGTGATCATAGATCATTTCAGAACACAAGCGCATTAGCTGATGATGCAAATATGGCGGTAAGTTATCACATTTGTTGAGTCACTAGATTTATGAATTGATACCACTGGTTTCTGATATTCGGAAATGTTGCCATGTTTCATTGAAGATTATATGCAAAGGTCTTAATCATAAAAGTTAAAATTTGAAAAGGGTGTCCAAATTGTTCATAAAATTACGATTATGTTTACTAAAGTTGTTTTATCCTTGTGATTATTTATAATTATGATTACAGTTATCTAACCCGCCCATTCAAATCTTTCCTCAGCGAATTGTTGCGCCGTGGCATTATTTTATTAGGCACAATTTTAACCAGACCAGGAATCGACAATATCATTTTTGTATTCCTTAGTTGATGAAATGCAAAAAAGCATACACCTCAATCATCCAACCAAAACTATTTTAAAGCAATCACATACTGTTCCAACTACCCCAGTTTTGTCCTTATGGATAAAGGTCATGAACAATAATTGATATTGCCAAATCACCTTTGCGTAAGACTCTGCTTAAACGAACCACAAGTTATACAAAAATTAACAGTCTTCATGTTTGGCATCTAATTGGTGATGCGCAATTGTATGTTGTTTAATATATCTCGCGTACATCTGCCTGGCCTGATTCAACACCCGCGTCACATCGTGCTTTCTTACCATTTTGTCGAAATGCATGGCCATCTCGTTGTAGTCCATACCTTTGCTGATGATATGATCCCGATGCTGCAATAAAACCGTTAAACACAAGAACATCAGAAAAGGGTTTCCTCCTCCGAACTCATTTGGTGGCGGCAGCATAGAGGGGGCTTTAATAGACTCCGTCACCTCTTCGCAAGAGTTGGTCAACATTGGACAATTGGCCGGTATATGATAAGTATTCGGTTGACTGATGGACTGGGCAATGTTAATCACAACTCTTTGAGGAGTCTCAATTTTACTGGTTGTATTAATAATCTTTATTGGAGTTACAGTTTTAGTGGCTGACGTTTCATTGACTATGGTTGGAGTATCAAAATCGATTTCTGCCTGTTCATCTGGTGTATGAGAATAGTTCAAAATATGTTTAGGGCTACCTTGATGTAAAGGATTTTCCCAAACAAATATATCACCGCTGGTCATCTTTTGTGCTGGCAGCTCATCTAGTTTCCTAGTTTTTGATTCACACTCGCTTGGTGGCGAGTCATCAAATCGATTTACAAATTTGTCCCCAAAAACTTTTCTATCTAAATTCTCCAGCTCTAAACGCAGTTCTCTAGTTACTGAGGTAGTTAACGGAAAATACTCTTGAGAATCGTCTGGACTATACTCATCGAAAGTATCGGTGTCGTCAGTGAAAGTGTTCGACGTGGAAGAATCCTTAGGTTTGTCAAAACTTGAGCTTTCAGAATCGTCCAGGCTTGACCTAGTGAGCAAAATTTTAGGTTTATCTTTGGCGAACTTGGTAGATTCTATAGACTTATCGGCAATTCTATTTTTGTTGACGCCCGCAAGGCTTAAAAACTCATTCAGATTTGTAACGATCCTTCTTGGATGTTCCTCTTCCTCTTTTATTGATGGAGTAAGATCTAGTCTATCCAATGACGAGAAAAATTTAGCGGCAGCTATTTTGTCCTTCAAATCTTTAAAATGACCAGTTCGTTTCGTATTTTTGATCAGATTTGACATGCTAGAAGATAAACTAGCACTTTTCGCTCTAAATGCCATCTGGTGTGTGTTAATCCGATTGTTAAGTTCTATAGAGTCAGACTTAACCTCTAAAGGCGAAACGGATCGTGGTCGAGGTGAAATAGATTCATCTTCTTTGCAGGCTGTAACAATGGCCCTTTAAAACAAGCAATAAAAATTAATCTGTTGTTATAATTACCCAGTTTACTTGGAGATTTTGGGCTTACGTCATTACTTTTACTTTTTGCATGGTGAGTGAGAGCCGCATCATCCAAGCTCTGATTCTTGTTAAGTTTAAAATCTATAATACCATTCCTACATTGACTTATTGTCTCATCTAAGCTATGATTCTGTCTTTTTACTACGCCTGGCTTACAACAACTATAATTACTTAATGAGATCGATGAACTTTGTCTCCGCAGAGCACACACTTTCGTGTAGGCGTTTTCTCGTGGTGTTTTGACTAACGGGCTTATGGGGGGTGTGCCCATTGGCGGAGTCAAATGAAATTTTACATCAAATAGAGGCAATTCCTTACAAGGCGGGTCTGCTGGCAAAGAACTCCAAAGAACTTCAAGCATACGCAGCGAATCTTCAAACGCGAATTCCCGTTTCATTTCAAGGAGCAGCCAGCGATAACAAAATAGAAGATCATCAGCCTGCAACGCGTTTCATTAACTACTCCCTAAGCCGTTCAAATGAATACCAATATACCTGATGTATCTTCAAATAATTATAAAATTCTGGATCATAGTACATAATTCCTTCAGCTAAATGGGTAAATTTTTGCGTCATCGCTATCCCGTCGATCATAAAATTTGTCGCAAGCCTTTGCATCAACGCACAAAAACATATATAAGCGTGTGCTTCGTCATTCATAGTTACGAGAAAGGGAGATGCTAGATCACTCATTCCTTGACAATAGGATACCTTTGGATGGTTTAAAGCATAACTGTAAATAAAAAAAAACATAGTTTTAAACTGGATTTTTAAATGCATAATATAAATATAACATAAACAGAAAAAAACTAAATATATTTTCTAATATCCACTCTTATATAACATAAATAGATAAACTTAGTCTTACCAGTGAGATAAAAAAAATTCGGGATATCTAGGTAAATTAATAACTGGGGTTTTAAGTTTCTGGGTTATTAAAGGCAATATTTCTGAAAGGAATTTTAATACCAGTGTTGCAATATGTGTTTCTCGGCTTTCAGGTTATTGTAGAACTAGATGTTGGACTATGATTATAATAAGAATTATACCCATTTATAATGACGTCATGCTAATCGAGTTAAAAGTGTATGTTCCCTAATTATCACAATTTACAGGTTGCTAATCGACAGTGATATTCTCACTATCTGTTGTTGGACAAAAATGTAATTTTTAAAGGAACCAATATATTTAAAAATATCAGCTATGATTGTACATTATACATCATACATGTTATCTTTTTTGTTGGCAAACCAATGTTTTTAAGTGACCCTGATGAATTTTAACATAACCTTTAATAAAGTTAAGGGAAAAATGAATAACCATCCCACAATTTTTTTTCTAATTTTTTTTGGAATATATTAAATAAAGATAAAAAAACTTTATATAGGGTTTTCTGGCAAACACTTTTCTTTTAGAGTGTGTAAGGGTTAGTATAATCACTTTGCCACCATTTAGTATTTATAAAATCTTTTTTTTTAACAAAGAAATTGAATTATTATTATTTAATTATTACCATATCAGTTTATTACCTAATTAGCCTATTTGAGTTACCTAATAAATTTCAATTTTTCAAAGTTGTCTAAAAACAGACTTGCTGGCTTTTCTTTTTAGCTGTAATCTTTTGACACCATTTTTTGTTATCTTTATTTTAAACCTATATTTTACCATTATGATATATGTAAAATTTTATATTATTTTTACTTGCAAGCAAATACTCACGTAGTAAGAATATTGAACAGGGAAGCAATGTTTTGATTATCGTCGCTGCCAGCGTAAAATGGGTGATGCCTATCAGTGCGCAAGACGTCTTTACGCACCATGCCAGTGGTATAAGCCAGTTCCCCTACCACTGGTCCCTGTGCTATGGCCTGCCTCCAAGTTTCGCGCAGGGATATATATTCCATAGCCTTCTTTTTAATATAGTCCATACGACCTCTCCCAGTCATGCCATCAGGATAGATATTAAGCAGGTGTTTCCATACCACTTTTCTAGATAATAATGCCAAATCATTAGTCAATTTAATGTGTTATAAAACTAACCTTAGACTAGGTTCAATTCCACCAAAATAAATAGCAGATCGTAATTCTTTGGGGTAAATAATTTGCCCCACTGCATCACAGTACTTCCTGAATTCTCCATCAGAAAGTGGTGCTCTTGGGGGTTGCAAGACAGTATTCCCGTCTTCACCAAAATTCAAGGCTTTCTGAACCATATTGAGGGTCTTACCCACCTAATAAAAACAACAAAACCAATATACACAAAAAACTTACATTTTTTTCCTTTTGGTTAGTTGAGGCATAACTGTTGGATACCTTCTGGAGTGTGGTTTGTTCAGACATAATGAGATCTCGGACTTGCGATTTTATAAGCATACATTTGCACTTAAAAACTTTGTCAATTCACAGTAATATCTTTAATTTTTTATTAACTCTTTTTAAGTTGGTGTACAGGGGTGATCCGCTATAAATGTTCCCCATTTAACTTTCTTATTTTACATTTTAGAAAAAAAGATTTTTAAAAACATCAGAATCAATGAATTAGCGGAAATTATATGGCAACAGGATGACACCCCCTCTCACAGATACCTTTTTGTGATTAAATTTAAACAACAAATTTATTTAGGAGTAAAATAAAATAAATAACAATATTAATGATTTACATCCTGACCAGATAATTAAAGTTTTAGATAAATTGAAAAAAACAACAATTTTACAATTTACTCTCACGTGCTTAAATTTAGCAAATTAATCGTATATGGTATGAAAGACTTAAGTCAAAATGGTCTTCACAACAGTGTGCACTGGTTTTGTCTGATCAAAAAACATCTTAAACCATCACATTCTGGCAAACTCTTCACACTTTCGGATCGGAAGGTGTGCTTATAAATTGTTTTCCAGAGGTATTGCTCAAAGTATTGGGGCAATTGGGTACCACACAATACCTATTAGCCACTCATTTTAAATTATTACGCTCATACTAAACAGTAAACTTAACACTTTCCAATTAAAACCACGCCCCATGTTCACAGCGCCCAAGTTATTTTATTTTATTTAGGGGCTTTAACATTTTGCAAAAAAAATTAAATTTTGTATATCGCTATAGAGTGTGTTCTAGTTTAGATTTCGAAAATTCAAAAAAAGTGAAACAGGCCCATTGCCATAATTAAACAAAAGACGTGGAGTTAACGTGATACCATAATAATGTAAATGTGTTAATAACTGTAACATATTACTTATTTTCGAAATCAACATAAAAGAACCTTTATTTATATGAAATAATATACACACCTTGTATATAAATAAGTATGTAATAGTAAATCTACACATTAAACCCTACAAGTTTTGAATTTTTTTTTTTTATGAAAAATAACACAGTTAGAGGAGAGTAACATTTGCAATAGATCACACTGATTCGATTTTTAAAAAAGCAGAAATTTATATATTTCTTAGTGGCATCTTCCACTGTTTAACATCTAATAATGCCTGTAAAATTACTTTAAATTACTACCTGATTAAACACCCCATGAAACCGTGAGGAAGGTTTAGCTTCTTGACTTGTAGCTGTACGAATTTGAGTAATAATTGAAACATTTCGTCTCGTTTCCCAATCATCTACAGATTCTTCAAAAGGTTTTAAATCAACTCTGAGGCACAGACAAGGTTCCACATTTGTAACTACCGACGCATTATGCGCTCTATAAGAATAAGCATCTGAATACTGAATAAATGTTAGCTCTTGCTTACTTTAAAAATGCAGCATCTAAATCCCAGTCTGATAAAAGTCTCATATATATTTCCTGTCCATTAGCATCATAAGCTCTGTAAGATATAGCAAAATCCCCCTTTAAATCAAACGCTTTAGCCAAAATGCTTTGCAGTACTTCAAATGATGTTATTTGAGGGTCTACACTAAACTTCCTTAGTTCTGGTTGGTGATTCCCTTCACATTTCTGAAAAAATTATCTTATTAACATTAATTTAAACACCACAAAAACAATACCTTAACTTTCACCCTAACAGCTTCGCGGCTGTATCCAAAGACGCCAGACATTTTTTCATTAAATCTTTAAGGACCCATAAGATCGATTTTTCTTGAATCAATCATGTATTAAAACACATACTGGATAGTAAAGAACCATATTGGAGAATTCGACTTATTATTGGAAATATTCTAAAGATCCTGAAGAGGTTGTAAATTAATCATTTGGAAAATTTAAACAACCTTAAAATCAAAACGTCAAAGTCAGTGGCGCACGATAGATTCAAAGACGCCTATCGATCCAAACCTACCAAAGCATTATTTTGCGATACGTTATATATAGTATCTATAACAGGAAATAACATGAAATGATGAATAATAATAATAATAAATAATAAATATATATGTCTATAACAGGAAATAACATAAAGTGATAAATAGTGATAAATTAATGTCTCCCTTCAATGACAGGCTTATCCCCCAATTTTGCCGATGAACTAATGGGAATCAATCTGGAGAATTTTAAAACCGGAACCGCAGATATTCTGAGAAAGGTAACATTTTGTTGCTCTCGCTAGAGCCGAGGATTATACTTCTAGCCCAGAATACATCTTCTAGGCTAGAAGCACGCCAGAAGTCCTTTGTATATTTCTTATCTATGGTTAGAAGTCAATTCCGCAACCTTTGATGCTCTATTTGGTATTTTTTTATAGTATGTGACCCTAGCTTTATTTTTCTGTGATCCTTAGCACACTGGGAGAATGAGTTTGTTTGACCGTAGTCTAATATTCCCATTACCGTTCTGCATATTAATTGTGTAGAAATCAACAAGTATTTGGTTAATTTCTATTATTCTGTTGTTAGGTTGATAGAGAAGAGAGGACTATTATTTGAAAATATGTACACAGGAGGCAGAGTATAACAAGGCAACAATAGAGAAAAGTCTACATTTAACGTCCACTCACTGAAGTTCAAACAGTGTTTTCGTCTTTTTGTATAAGATATTCGCACATATTTATCCAAAGGACCACTCGCTTCAAACATTGGGATAGTGTTTTGGTTAAGTGTTTGTATTCCGTGATTAACCAGAAACAATGATAGATACATTCTCGCGCCTTCTGGTTTCAAATGATAGTTAACCTAGAAATTTAATGATGGGTGTTTTCATTCCCTTTTATTAATAGTGTCTCACATTCAACAGTTTTTAATAATTTGCTTTAAATGGATGTTACGATATCTGTGTCAAAAGTACTCAAAAAATATTATGTTGTATATATAAATTTTCTTTTCTAATTTCATTTGGTTTTAGGGTGTTTTTCCATTTAAAAATGAATTTAAGAGGAATAAAATCAGTTCAAAGCCAGGAAGGTTGCATACAGCAAGCCATGCAATTAGCCGGAACCTGTGGTACCAACAGAATCATAATTTATGGTCTCAAATATCAAAACAAATAGATGTATGTATATTTTTAAATCTGTGTTTTAACATAGTGCCAATAATAGCTGGTATTTGTAACTATTTTTTGTAGCAAATTACCCAAGAAATGTTCACCTTAAGAACGACAGGTCTTTTGTGTTTTATAAAGAACAGTTGCCATCTCCAGAATGAAATTAAAACTGCAATTCTCATAACCGGTATAAACATGCCAGATCATGATATTCAGTTTAAAGCACTTGAAAAACAGATTCGAACAGAAATCACACCTTATGTTGCATGTTTATATAGTCAAGATTGTAATAATTTGAAATATCTCATGGAAAATATGATCAGTCAGTTCATATACAAGGATGTGGATGACTCTGCAGATGTATGTAGTAAATACAAAAATGTGAATTTAGTTTTATATAAATTTTTCATTTTAGGATTATAGGAATGGCCAAGGCCTAGATATTAAAAAGAATAACTTAAACTTGCCCCTTCTTCAAAGCTGGTATGAGAGCATCAACAAAAATACTTCAGAAAAACAAAAAAATCCTCTAGTGATAATCATTCCAGATTTTGAAGGTTTCAATGTCAGTGTTTTACAGAAATTTATTTTAATAGTTAGTTCTTACATAAACCGATTACCATTTGTATTTTTATTTGGAATTGCCACATCTTTGACGTCATTGTACAATTTATTCCCATACCATGTCACATCTAAAATGAGCATAGAAGTTTTCAAATGCCAATTGTCATCAGTTCATCTTAATATGATTTTGGAAAATGTCTTCCTGAACCCAAACTGTGCATTTCAGTTGGGGGGCAAAGTATTCAATTTATTTGGTGACATTTTTCTGTTTTATGATTTTTCTGTGAACAATTTCATCCAAAACATTAAGGTGAGTTACGATTTTATTAATTAGTTTTTAAAACACTGCAATAAAATCAATTTAATAGTATGCTGCAATGGAACATTTTGAATATGGAAATGGGATAAGTTTGTGTACTTTAGACAAATATGAACTTCAAGATCTTATAACCAATCAATTTGATCATGAGGATTTTGAAAATGTGCGACAAATTTTTTCCTTTCGAAAGCTTGTAGAAAATGAATCACCCAAAAATAAAATAAAATTGCTAACTGATGATGACTACTTTGGACAAGTTTTATATGAAAAGGTTTATGATCTTCAGAAATACATTAAAAGATTTCATATATTTTTAAGATGTCTGCATGTTTTAGTGAGAGATTTGCCTGGACATCCTCTAGGACAACAGGTAAAGAAAAATTGTATTATCAATGCATGTCTTTAAATCAAAATTATTTTATGTTTAGATTAGGGAAATCTACGCAGTTGCTGTTTCAAACAATATAACGAAAAGTGTGGAATATATGGAATGTTTTAAACTGCTCAGTTTCCAGTCAAAAGAAGAATTTTGCACAAAGCTTAGAAAAATTACTGATATATTAGGGTGCTACTTAAATGAAAGAAGCAAAGTTACTAAATTGAAAGAGTTCCAAAATGAATTGAAAATGTTCTTATACGAATTGGACAATATTAAATTGGTGGAACCAAATTCCCAAGAACCTAATGGGAAAGTACATTTGGCAAAATCTACTGATAGGAAAGCTCTAAAGCAGGTTAACTGACGAACTATGTAATTTGCAAATATTTTTAATTATCTACTTTATGTTTATTCAGGTTTTATTTTTAAAAGCAAAGGAGAAACCAAAACTAGACAGGTATGACATTATAAGACGAGAAGTGCTGGCTTGTTTGTCCCAGAATTTCGAAGTATACCTCCTTGAACCTTCCTCATTTTGCTTCCATGAAATTTTTTTCTTTGATGATCTGTCCATCCAAAATAACATAACAGGAGTCCAAAGATCAGCAATACATAATGCTTTAAATGACCCACATAGTTATTTACAAGTATGATCCGTTTTGATAAGTAATTACAATTTTTCAATTTCTTTTATTATAGTGCTCCTGCTGTGAAACAAAAAATAATTCCTTAATAAAGGCCTGCATGCCAGATATTTGCATAGCATATAAATTACATCTAGAGTGTGGCAAAATAATCAACTTGTATGACTGGTTGCAAGCTTTTTTAAGTATCCTCGATCCTATAGAAAACGATGAGGAGGAGGAAGGTTTGGAAAAAGTTGTGGATCCCAGTCTACAGTATCCTTTTTAATGCTTTGATGCTGAAAGGGGAAAAAGATTTTAGATCGCTTTTTACTTAACTTACCTCAGAGCGCGTTTTACGCAGGCAGTAACAGAATTGGAATTCTTAGGATTCATTAAGAGTTCCAAACGAAAATTGGATCATGTTTCCAGACTGACATGGGGCGGGTAGCTTTTTAATTTAAAATTTTTATAATCCACCTTGCTTTTTAAAGAATTTTGGATTTTTGTACTTGTTTTTAATAGTTGCTATGAAGTAATTTATTTCTTTATGTTACTATCTACCTATGTCTATCATTGGATAAGTTGTTCCTATATGAGTCAGAAACAGTCAGATTTCTGTACAGTAAGATTAAATGTTCAATAAGGGAAATCTGTTAGTTTGACAACTCAAAATTTCACCTAAATCCTCTTTTCAGTGTTATTTGATTTCAGGTAGGTAATCAGTAACTAGTTAATATTTCTAATAACTTTTGTAAATGTTATTCTATCTTTCTTAATTTCTTTTGCTGAGGGCAATTTTATAATTTTTTCGTTTCACCTAATCACTCCATTAACTTTAATGTTAATAAAAGGTTAAGTTTTATTTTAGACGACTTTTTCGATACGAAATGGCTAATCATTTTGCTTTAAAAGATGGTTTTTGTCCCTTCGCTATTTTCAATATATACGCAATAATTAGGTACGTTAATATACAAATTATTGAAAAATATTTGCAACGTGGGCCAAATTTGACACTGGAAACCTGCCTTCTCTCAAAAAGTCACGCAAAAAGTGATGTGAGTGCCATTTCCAAAGTCAATTTTTACAAAAATTGATTTTTCGTATGGGAAGCTGTATATATTTTTAAATGATTTAAAGGAACTTCAAATTAACTTTCCAAAATGTATTGCAAAACAAGTAGGCTTTTGGATGGTGCAAGATATTAATTAGTTCATTTGACACGAACGGTTAATAAACGAGTGACTTAAAAAGTTTACCTAACGTGTTGCATGGTATAATTATTCTGCGACCGTTAGTTTTTGGGTATATTTTCGCAAAACAACACGAATACATTCACGGACATGACCGTCAGAATTGACAAACGTCAAAATTCAAGCCATGCGGTAAAATCTTCGAAAACATCCGATTGCTCCCAAACCCGTGCGGTAAAATCCCGGAAATGCCCGAAGTGGTTCGTATTCATGGGAAACGGAACTGATGTGGTAAAGTGAACCTTCCCGCACGTTAGACCGGTGTGTAATTAGGTATTTTACAGACGGGAGTAGAAAAAGTATTTTAAATACATTTCAAATCTTCTCTGCTAGCACAATCGACTCGTTAAGTGCAGTTTCAAAAACTCGTTAATATTGAGTTGAGGTTTACATTTTTAACGATAGAGGGAATCACGAGCTGTGATTGAGGAGTTAAAGCCTACCCAGGTAGCGGTCGTCAAAATAACGTCATTAGCTAGTCACCAAGTGCGGAAAATGATATGTCTGACGTCAGCAGGACGTGAATTTGACCTACTAATTCTGCCGAAAAATATAACGATTTTTACATTTGTTTTTTTTTCTTGGATTGGGGAAAATCGAAAGTAATATGCTATAAATATTTTCGAATTTCCTACCCCGTTTTTACTTCCACAAAGGATGAAGTTGAAAAACTTGAAACGAAAATCTGTATCAAGTAGAATTCTTAAAATTTTAAAATAAGTTCATAAAAAATTGTCCCAATTTTAACCTACTCAGATTTCTTATACGTCTCTTACAGAAACTTACTAGACTTTTTATGTTTTTAACATTTCAAAAGCGAATATTCACAAACTGTAGATATAAAGTATATTGAAAGAATTTTACTTAAAATATTTCTAAGAATTAAATTAAATTGATATATAGGGTGACCCATTTTTCAGTACTACATAATATACACTTTAAATAAATTAATGTGTGCCGATTATATAGCGAATCACACTGTACTTAAAAAACATTCTGACGTAAGTAAAATTTTTGCGGGTACGTAGCAACCGAGTTTACCTTATTTATCATTGAGGTTTCCAAGTTATCTATGGTGTTTTTTTTTAATTTTTCTGTACTGTCCATTTTTAAATGTTGACGTAAATTCAAGTTTACATAATTTTTCTTCAAGGGATATGTTTTACAGCAAGGTAGGTACAATCCATTTTTATATTTTAATACTATCAATATATGAAATATATTACGAAATTAGTTTTTCGCAACCTGAGACATTTTTAAGGTTATAGGAAGGGCACTTTTCTCGGCTGCGGCGGTGGTCGTAGAATCCGATGTGAAAGTGGAAGAAAATAAAGGGCTTAGGTGCAGACCTAGCGAACTTCCGATTTACACTTCAGATGTTCCCACAAAAAATCAACCCGACGACCAGGAACCAGTATTACTGGAAAACTCTATTTTATCAGCGGTGAAAACTATAGAGAAAATTGCTGATGAAATAAAGGCTTATCAGAAAGTAGCGGTTCAAAGTTTTAATGAGAGTAGAGACAGTATCGACGGTATAATTTTTGTAATAGTTCTTACAATGCAGAAATTTCAAAAATTGTTTTTAGCTGTTGTCGAGTTCTTACGCCAAGAAGATAATACATTACCTAAAGTAGGTGCAGTGGGAATTGGTGCCTTAACAGGATTAATTTTTGGCCTTCGTGGTGGATTTATTAAAAGAACAATATATGCTACTACTGGGGCTTTGGGTATTGCTGCCATATGTTATCCAAAAGAGGCATCTGAATATTCTCAAGTTGGCCTTACACAAGGAAAGAAATATATTACTGTAGCATATAATTTTGTTTATGGAGGTAATTAATAACTGTAACGATATCATAATTGTGCAGAGGTCAATAATAGTTATTATTACAAAAATGAAAGAAATGGTATTAATTTTTTTTTAAATTTTAATTGAATATTTTTGGAAATGACCATGAATGATTTCTAATAGAAGTTTGACTTTTATATCATGATTAAGAAACAAATTTATGTTCAAGTGCCACCTACAATATGAGACTAAAACGATACTACACATCAGAATACACGGTACATTATATTCTTATTATATTTTTTCTAAAATACCCTACATAGTTTATTTTAAGTCATAAAATTTTTGAATTTGTTTTTCAGTTTTTCTACAATTTAACATTGGCGTATGTTTTTCAGAAAACGCTGTATTTTTTAGTACTATTATATTTAATTAAAGATTGTTCATCAATTTCTCATAAACTATGATATTGTAATGTATTACAGTGAAAAAAGATGATCCACCTTTAGAGTTACCAACACTACCGAAATTACCATTTGAAGACTGGGACTCTTTAAAAGCAAAAATAAAATCGTTTATTTCAGAGGATTCACAAAAAGTAATTGAGAAAGAAGGTAAAGGAATAGAGAGTGTAAGTAGTTTTGATACTCAGATGAATGTTGCCAATGAAAAGACTGAAAATGCAGAATCAAATCCAAAACCCATCCTTTAGTTCCCTGTGGTTTTCCTTAGGAGATGGTATAACCATTATTAGATATATTGATGTTTTTTTTCTACTCCAGCATAATTAAAAATATGTTAAACTTTATTGATTTTCAGGTTAATGAAAAGTAACAGCAATGGGAACCGCTAGTCACATCTTATTTACTCTATGCAGTAGGTAGTTTCTTTTAATTTATTTCCATATAAACAAAATTGTAAGCAAGGAAGTTAATACAAACCTCTATTTTATACAAAGTATTTTATTTTAAAAAAATAAAACAAAACGCTGTCAGAACACAGCACAAATAATTTCTAATAGAATTTACATAACTTTTTCAACACAGAACAGTTATATAATTTTCGAACTATGGTACACTAGTTTTATATTTACAATGGCGACGTAAAGTGTTTGTTACAAATAATATAAATTGGTTTCGTATGAAATATAACGATCACAAAATATATTATCACGTTAGTATTTTATGTCTATAAGATCTAAGCAAAATTTAAATTAGAAAAAATAATTTTGGCCGCTAGACATAGGGTTTGCTTGAACTGAAACTTTTTATTAATGAAAAATATATCAACCAATAATATATAACCAACTTATATAAAATTTTTAGGCTAGATTTATGTTTTGATAACACTCTAACTAAATCTACCTAACCACCGATTTCTCTTCAACTCAATGTTGCACTATTTTTTAGTACCGCTGACTAAAATCTTTAATTTAATTGAGTCGTAAGAAAAATTTTATTGTGAGTGTATCTTTTGAACATATTTTTGGTAGAAGTCTCCTAAAATTGATTGATTGATATAATTTTCATGAAAATTTATTTTTGGGTGACTTGGGAAAACCATTAAATTAATAAACTTCATTTTGATTTTTAGTATTTTTTGATGCTTCATTTCAAAATAAAACATATTTCAAATTATAAGAAACATTTTTAAATAACTAAAAAATTTAGTTTTCTAAATTTAATGCTGTTGAATGCTTATACAAAAGTGGTTTAATCTAGCCATACCTATAAAAAGCAAGTTTTGTTTTTATAGGGAGTTTCACTTTTAGTTAGATTGATTGTAAATGTAGATCATTATATCAATACTGAAGTCTTTCCGCTCCACACTAATTAAATATATTGCCAAACGTATATGAATTTCTAGACAGTCAACATCTCATCTATTCTGACCTGCCTTTGCGCCCCTCTCCTAGTTCTAGATGAAACCGCTATCTGATCAAATTCAGCTTGTAGTTTTTTGGCCAATTGGAAATCAGCTTCTTCCTGCAATTTTCTCTTTTTTGCTTCATTTATTCCATTTAGTAATACATCTGAAGTTGAATTAAGAAAATTATTTTTATGTTTTTTCTCTTCAGATTCTGGTGTTTCAGTTATAGTAGATATATTTAATATTAAATTGCTGGATCTTTCAAAACCATAAAACTGTGGACTTTCTGATCCTTGCCTGTCAAATATACTCCTCGGCAAAGATTTTTTCCTTTTAGTAGGAATTTTTGTGTCATTACTACATTTTCGTTTTTGCCAATTACAGCTTGATTCCTTAGATACCCTGTTGAAAGTACCAGTCTTACTTGTTTCTAGATTTAATCTATGCGAATTTGCTTCTGCATAATTCAATTTGGTTCGGCTAGGTAATAACTCGGCTTCACTTTCAACTGATTCCTTGGAGTAGGTTACAATATCTGCTGATCGATAAGTATAGAATCTCGAAAAAGCAGAAGTACCACAGTGTAATTTGGTAATTTTTCCGGAAGGAGGCCTGTGAAGTAATGCTAATTTATTATCAGCTTATTTTAACAGGAAATAAATAGCACATTTGGAAAAAAAATTGTCGAACTAATTAAAAATATTTACAATGATATTCTTAGTTTAGTTTTTTTTCTATATTTCTTTTAAACCTATCCTTACACATACAGTTATGTTTTTACTTGTGTCCAACAACCCTGCCAGGGTATTTTTTTATATTACTTAGATTAGATAGATTAATTGATAATACATTCTATAATGCATAAGATGTGAGTGAAATATTTTAGAATACTAAACAAACAAAACTTGATTTTGTTTTGCTCAAATATCAAATTAATGTAGGTGAAGCAAAAATACTTACACAATTTGTACTGTCTCATTGATCATTGCTCTCCTAGTAGGAATACAAACTGGAATTTTTCCTTGAGGGGGATATTTCTTCTGAATATCTATTGGTTTGAAATAAAATTTGAACTCGGACTCCATGTCACTGGCACTACTTTTATTTCTGCTAAATCTTTCTTCAGTTTCAAGAATTTTGTGTATTTGTTGAAATTTTTTCTGTACAACTGGCACAACTGAATTACATGAGTTGATATTTTTCTTTTTTTCTTTATCAAGACAAATAACACGTGAGGTGTATTCTTTTGTTGCGAAATTATTCTTGAATGCAAGTTTTATATCCTCATTCTTAACAAACTTGTCTATAGGACCAATTTTTTTTGATTTTTTGAGTATTTCGGCTTTTGATGTTGATGGACTTAATTCTTCAGCTAACTTTTTCGCTAATTCTGCATCGAGCTTGATTTTTTTTTCTTCAGCAGCCCGCCGAATTTCTTCTTCTTCTCTTAGTTTTCTAATAAGTTCCGCACTAGCCTTTTCTTCTGCATCTTGTAACCTGCGTACTTCTTCTGCATCCTTCTGCTTTTGAAGTTCATATTCTTTCCTAATTTCTCCTGGCATTGCTACTATAATAGTGGGTTTATCTGAAATATCATATTATTTTTTAAATGAATGAACAACAAAAATAATGCCTTTACCTTCTTCAATGACATTATCAATACCTTTATATTTATTCTGCACCTCTTTAGGATATTTTTCTTTAATGGCTGTCCAGAACAGTTCATCAATTAATTTGTTCTCCTTTTTCGCTTTTCTAAACCAGGAGCCAACTCGGATTCGGCATAGGGGACAAACGAGATTGGCTTTTTCCATAGTGTCATTAAAACATAAATTACAAAAGCCATGGCTACAGGGCAACGTTACAGGCTCAATGAGAATGGTTCTACAGATGGGACATAAAACATCTCCAGCCTGCAAGTTACTGAAGTCGATTTTCTTTGGTGTTCTTATGCTTTTTATTTTCTTCCCTGCCATGTTTATATTCACTTTTCCCTTTTGACAATTGGCAAACCACAGAAACCATTAAGAGAGTTTGTATATTCAGAATCGCCACTTATCTTAATAGTATATAACCTTAGAAAATTGAAATAACCATGACTGGCAACGGGGGGGAAAAGTTAGATCGCGCCGCTGCCGTGACGTCACCTATCCTACTCCAATAAATTTTATGCCTTATGTAATGTAGCTACAGCGTATTGCACAAAGGTATCTACTAAATTATGGAGCCTACTCCATGACTATTTGGTTTTTAAGTTTTCAAGAGTGCTAATTGTGAATAAAAGCTGCATTTTTTGACTAATAGCGTAAGGATTAAGGCTGTGGTATAAAGTTTAAGAATGTTGATAAGGGCGGAATAATAGTGTGCCTGTAAAACTTTCTTCCTGTGCGCAATCTAGAATGCGAATATGATATATATGATCTAATATGAAACATCTATGAACAAAATTTTGGGAACGTCCAATTAATATTTTCTTTTCACCCGTCATCTTGCGGTATGTAAAAATCAACATGGCCGTTGACACATAGTAAATAAATTTGGATTCAGTATTTTTACCGCAGTATTTTATTAAAATATATCCAGATCCTGTTAAATCTTCAGGCAAAAAGTGTGTGCATATCGCTGCTTAGAAAGCAAATGCCGCAAACTGCAGATTAGTGAATGCAATGTAGACGCATGCGCGAAAGATCATTCCTACCTTATGAAGCGCATCAATTTTTAAGACTACTATATATTATCTAAAATGCTTGTCTTTATAAGGGCACTTCATAAAACTTGAAATAACGTGACCATTGTCAAATTAAGTACTTAATTTTATTATATTATTATGTACTAGCACTTAGTTTTTGTAATCCTTTGAATTGTGTAATATAAATTAAAATAAATATTAAACTTAAAATAATTTAACCATTATCAAAGTTCAGTACAAAGTTTCGATGAAGTTTAGCATTTTGAGTCCCTACGCTTGGATTGTGGATAATCCAACAACAAGAAACTTCGCGCAACGATATTGCCCACGATGTGGATAAGTCTGAACTTAAAGCAAACTGTTGATGACGTGACGTCGTGACTTTATCGCTCTAAGGAAAAATCTTATGGCGCTTATATCTTTATAGAGCCAAATTGCGAAAATACGGCTCTGCTTTCCATACACTATTGGAGAAGAGTTATTAAACTATGATGCCAAGTATATACCGTAAACCTATAACCTTAGTATTCTGTGGATTATAATTCAAATCCCTAGTTGTATTTGTGCACATATCGCCATTTAACCCGGTATATATTACATAAAAACTAGCGTAAATATCTCCGAGAAGTGTGACTGGCGTATTATTTGACAAAGTTTGTTTTATTTTTATTGTTTTGGGTCTTTGGAACATTATTCTTAAGAAAATTTTGATTAATTTTTCCTTGCGGCCCTTAGGTGTGGTCTGTTTACTAGGTAATTTGCTAAAAAGAATGGATATTCTTCACCGAAGTGATTTTTCATTTGGACCAATAAGCGTCGATCAGATTGAAGACCATCTATTTTTAGGTAGTTTAGCAGCCGCTAAAGATATTGCTACTTTGAACAGACTTAAAATCACTCACATCATAACAATAGATACATGTCCACTACCTAGAAACATATTAGAATTAAGTCATGTAGTTCTAAAATATATCCAGCTTTCTGATGAACCTAAAGAAGATTTGTTGTCATATTTGGATGAAACTGATAGCTTTATAAAAGAGGGTTTGGGTAAAGGAAATGTTTTAATTCATTGTTATTTTGGTGTATCCCGCAGTGCCACAGTTGTTATAGCTTACATAATGAAAAAGTATGAGTTGACATATACGGAAGCTTTTGAAAAAGTGAAGGCTAAACGACGAATTGTTTTCCCAAACAAGGGATTTGTGTCACAACTGAAGCTATACAAAGAAATGGGATATAAAATTGATAAAATGGACATTCGGTATAAAATTTTTCGATTAAACATTGCTGCTGATAGGGTGAGAAAGGTAAAAATCCTACCGCAACCTTTCATGGACCTAATACAGCCAGATCCAGGTTTACCTCAGTCACAACCTGAACCCAATGTATACAGATGCAAAAAGTGCAGAAGAATCTTGGCCTCAGAATCTAATCTGATTTTACATAAAGATAAAAATGAAATTTGCAGACAAACATTCTTCATTGAACCTATTGCATGGATGAATGCAACTCATATAACCCAAGGGAAATTGCACTGTCCGAAATGTGAACATAAAGTTGGATCATTTAGTTGGATTATGGGATGTCAATGTCCTTGTGGTATTCAAATGGCTCCTGCATTTTATCTTGTGCCCTCCAAAGTGGATTATACAAATGTGGTTAAAAATGTAGAAATGACTTTTTAGTCTAAATTAATGCACCTTCTTGGCGTGAAGTTGAATTAAATGGCTATTGAAGTACTTAAATTAAAATATTTTAATTTACTAACAAATAAATTACACAATGCAAAGCCAAAATCTAAAAGAAATTGTTTTTTATATTTTAAATATGCTAACTGCTGAGCTCAAAAGATTAAGATACAAAATAAAACACTCAATAATTCAGAGCCACCTTGGTAACACTAGCTTGGAACCCTACAGTTAAAATATTTCCAATTAGATTTAATAACTATTTGTTGAGTGAAGTGAACAATTTCAAATTGTAAAGCAACTTGTGAAAAATCTTCCATCATTTTCATGTCGGCGGATGGTCAATTCAGAAAAAATATTTACATTTACAGGATGTAGATTTGATTTTTAGGCGACTAAACCATCCACCAGTGAATCACAAACCTGATATGTATCTAGAATTTAATGTTTTAAAAAATCAAAACTTCTACACTTATTTTGAATTTTGAGGACTGTGATAAATTAGTAAATGAAAAAAGTTGATTTTTCCTGTGATATTGGTTTTGTATAAAGTATTGCAAGTGACATATTTATAAAGTACATTTTTGTTGTTTAGGTAACTTAATTATTGTATTTGAACCTAGTCATTTCCATTATGTATTATGTATTTTACGGGAATGTTTACTGTTGCAAGTAAAATGACTACATCTTGGATTGTACACTGTTTATTTATCCCAAGCAACAGTGATCCTCAAAAGGCACAGCGATCAAGTTTTGCACTGCTTATTGTGTTTTTCGCATATGGACACGCATTTTATTTTTCCTACACTATTTCTGTATTGTCTGGGAATTATCAGTTTCTTGAACATCTAGAAATAACCCATTTTATGGAATTTACATAAAAGGCTTTTAAAAAAAACCTTACGTGCACCCAAGAGATGGCGCAATCTAAAAAAAGGCCAGATTCAAAATCTATTGGGTCAGCTTCGTCCAAAACCGAAACCTCATTACCAAAAAATCTTCCTATTGCGTTATAGAGATGGGCCAACATTGTTGTGGAGAAGTTTCTTTTACTAAATAATTTTGCGTTGAATAAATTTGACACTTTTCCCTTTTGTCGTTTTTGACAAGAACGCAATAAGCTTGATATGCGTTTACAAAATAATCTGATAGAGCGAATTTTTAAAGCCTATTTTTGTGGTACCCATAGGAATGTAGCTGCTATATATCTATTTACACATATATTAAAACGTCATATGCTAGCCTAATCTATATGCAGTATTCCCATAATGTTAGCTACATATGAGATGTTTCAAGTCACGTGGCCAGCGTTGCCTATCTACGACTTTATGATTACCTGGTAGGGAGATTAGGTAAATAAAGTTATTTCTTACCATTTTATTTTGTTATTTTATACCATGGCGTTTAAAATTGACAAGGGATTTATAAAAAATATTTTATTATATTTTAATCTATGTAGAAATGTATTTTTTTACATCACTCATCTAATTCTAGAATTGAGAGGATTGACAACTTTTCCGGCCATGAGGGTGACGTGTAGTTCGGAATCCAAAACAAAATACAAAAAGGGATGATCTGCTATAAAATACACCGGATCGTACTTATCTAAATTTTCTGAAATTAAAATAAATTTTGTTAGGTTGTTTGTTTTATTTCTTTTTATTCTATGGCAAGTAGCGGTTTGTTTGTGTCACTCGTCTACAATTTGTCAAGGGCAAAAACTTTGGAAAACCATCGGATTATATTATAACATATGCTGCAAAATATCATTGAAATGTGCCTAAATCACATAGGAAATTCCAGCAATAATCAGTTGCAGAAAAGTCAAATGCGTTTGATTACGGGACATGGTCTAACAAAACACTTAACAGTTCAATATATATAAAACCAAATTTTATACAAATGTATTACATAATCACAAATTTACCTGACTATATTTTCTTAAGTCATTTTATAATTGTATAAATAGCTATATCACATTTATATGTAGGCATACATAATATAATGAATTAAAATGTTAATAAAATGTATAAAGAATTAGGAGAAATACATACACAACATAAAACTTGCAGGCTTTCATGCTTAAAAATTGGGACATTCTAAAAATAAAGACTTTACTTGATTCAAATTGGATTTGTTATTCTGAAAATAAATTTACCCTCTTACTAGTATGTAACTATGTATATGATGGGATTTAATTGAATTTTTGGGGCACACATTTTCAGAATTGTCATAATGATGCAGAGTATGGAAATAATAAAGTGTCTTATTAGTAGTACATATTTGCAAACTATATTTTTTGCATCTAAAAGATATAAAATACAAAGTTTTTGTTTTAGAAAATCAATAGTTAGCACCATAATAAATTGAAATAAGGGTCTTGTTAATTTCATAACACAGTCCTAAGTAGTATTCGGCCATTTGGGATCAAAGATAACTACTCTAATGTTAGTCTTTGGCATATTTATGGTTAACATAGTTTCAAGTTCATATAAAGGGATAGTTTCAATTTTTAATTGAGCTCCATCGTTAGGAATATTTGACTCTAATAAAAATGGCACTGAATTTTCAGCTTCAAACATTTTTGAAATAAATGACAAATACTGTGGTGTAAAACCCCACCTCAGAAAATGAAGATCATCTTTAAGCTGCAAAATACCATCCTTAATCTTAGTGTTACCATCTGCACTTTTTAATCTTCGTGGGTTTGGAACAATAGTTAATTTTCTCAGATTTTTGCAAAATGCCAGTGCTTTGTTGAATCCATTATCAACATTTATACCAATCAAATCTAAATGTTTTAGCTTGGGCATTTCACTAACAGATTCCAATATTTGTACTAAATGACACTCCCTACAATTTTCCAATCTAAGCCTTTCAAGATTATTGAATTTTGATAAAACATCTTTGCCGAAATCTCTATCTAGGTTCCAGCAATCTCCAAGTGCTATAGATTTAAGGCTAGTGATTTTAGTAATTACATTTAAATTTAAGTTATTTAAATTTTTTACAGCTGTTATAGATAAATAATTTAACTTTTTTAACTTGCAAAGTGATTCTATTGAGATCATGTCCCTATTGCAATTTAGACGGAGATCCACAATATTTGGCAATTTTTCTACAAATCCCAAATCCAAATGAACGCCAAATCCTCCTATTAAGTTTACATTAATAAGTTCTAAATTGCAGTTTGCTTCAGGAAGTCTTTCAATCAGCAATGATGAACATTCCGAAAATTCTATCTTTCGTAATAAAGGCATTTTGAGTAATGCTTTAATTAAGAACTCCTGAAATATAACTTTTATTATTCAAATTCCATTACAAAATATCAAAACTACTAACTGTGTTCAACATAAAAATACAATCAATCAATCGCAAATGCCTAGTACTTTGTTTGCTCAAAAAATCTGCCATAAGTTCAAAATGCAATCTCGATTCTCTTATAGTAACACATTGCCAAAATGTTGGATTGTCAATTATTTCATGCCATAATTTGCAAACTCTTGAAGCACGTAGCAAATCTGTGGAATCTAGATATCGGAACACATACACTAGTGTGTTGCTTGCAAACCAGTCATCTTGAGATAATCTATTTCCTATTAAATGCACTTCCTTTTCCATTATATCACGGCACTATATCACTAAATAACTGTAAAAATAGGATATCTATTTCTTTTCGACATGTTTTGAATTTATATCTTTTTTTAATTACATCCCCATTATAACATTTTCAGCTTGAAGTATTTGACAACCAATATTGACAATAACCTTTAAAACGTAGAATATTCGGTGCATAGAATATTATTAAGGTTAGTGTTCCACCATTCTCAGATAGATAGACAATTTTTTTTAATAAGCATATGAAATGCATATAAAGAGTGGCTTATTTTTTATATTATTAGACGATTTGGATTTTAGTTAAGTTAAAATAAATTTAAACAATTTTTGTTACGCTTTCTTTTCTCGATAATATGATTCACGTTGTCATATTAAAAAATCTGGAGAGTAAACAAAGGGATTGTTCAGAAATTCCAAGGGATTTCTGTTCTGTTCTATTCCGTCTATCTCGTATGTAACATTTAATTTCTAAGTCAGTAAGTGGCCCTGGGGCCGATTTCTCAAATCTGGAACATGTCTCAGCAAAAATTTTACAATTTGATTTGTTTTTTTATTTGCTCCAAAAATTTATAAGAATCGAGATAGGTGTGTGTCCGAGTGAAAATATTTTTTTAATTTCTTGGAGTAAGGAATTTGAATTCGAATTTTGGGTTGCAGCATGTCAGTGTATTTACGATTTTATTAAAAATAGAACTTTTCTAATAAAAAATGGTACATTTTATAAATGGTGCACAGCACCTCTGCATTTCAAGACTTTTGAATCTTAATGAGTTTAGATTTGCAAAGGAACAATTTTTTAAATAATTCAAACAAATTCCGTAAATGCGCTTTGAAATTTCATTCTGATAAATTTGCTTGAAATTGCGGTCGTTTTTAAGAAACCTATTCTTAGAAGTTCAGTTTAAAATGCTTCTTCTTATTAACAATTTTTGTATTTATCTAAAAATGAGTGTACTTAAGATAAATTAGTTTCATTAGTGGCCATGTAATTTTACATTCGTTTCGAATTTATATATACTAATCTTATAGAATGACATAAATACGAGCGAAAGAAGGAATTTATAACGTTCTTTTTTCTACGATCATTAGTTTTTGAGCACATTTTTACAAAACAGCAACACGAATACACTTACTGGCGTGTGACGTGACCATCAGAACTGACAAATGTCAAAATAGAAACCTCCGAAGTGACTTGCGACATTGATTAACGAAGCTAGGAGTAGGGAGTAATAATTAATTAACTAATTAATGGTTTATAATTAAATTAAGATTTTAAAATGTATACTGGTATTTTAAATGTAAAAATCTCGAAATTAGCCGCTCTACTTTTTAGCATAAAAATGATGAGAAAAGTGACATTTTTAATAAAAACGTAAATATCATCAGCTATCATTGTTTTTATTTATTTATTCAGAGTATCGAGGAGAGCGCCCTCCGCATTTACTTTACCCTAATCTCATATTTTCATTCATCAATTTAGACAAATCTTGATATTTTTAACCAGGAATCTTCAGTTTTGCTGGGTATAATTAATTATAGCACACCCTGTATCCGTTTCTGTGTCGTTTTGCATTGAAATATAGAATAGGAATAGAAATATAGAATCAGCGGTTGATTTTATACTTCTTTGCAACTACGTAATTTGAGTTTTCGTTGGGAAAAAGCAAAAGAAAAATATGTTGGCTGCAAAAATTTATCTTACTTACTATAGCTTTCTGATGAAGGATCCATATAGTTTCTTATGGTAACCGTAACAGCTTGTTCAATGTTTGTTACATAAATATCACTTCGGTTGGTCATTGGGCTAAAATCAGCTTGTCTTGGCTCAAAAACCTTTCGAATGCCCAACTGCAAATAGGGAAAACGGCTGATTAATATTGAAGTTTAGATTTCTTCATTTTCCCAACATAAATAATTATTTTGTTATTCACAAATAGCCCTCGAACAGAGAAGCGTAAGTGATTGTACTGGCCTCAGACGAGAAAAATAATGTAGTAATTTTTTGGAGTCGGTGAAAATGGAAAGCTTTCTTCAGGAAGAATAACCAGGAATGTAAGTACAAACTAACTGGAAGCTTTACTGTTTGCTTATGATCAGATAATCATCACTTTCTCTGAAAAAGACTTGCAAGAATATCACCATGGAATTTGACTGTGATAAATCAACATCCCACAATAATTATGGCCAAGATGCGACATTAAAATATAAATTAAATTAAACTTTAAACCAATGCAGGCGAGATACCCAGTTAAAATTTTATAAAACAATGGCCTACTTCAGATTGTTATTGTTGTTGTTAGTGATAAAATAAAAAAGACTGACATATGGGACACTCCCTTAAACAGTATGATTATAAAAATCGGATATCAATTGCAAGTCTGGCAGTGATGAATTTTTTTTAGTTTACATATAAGTGATGTTCCATAGAGGTTACCTGTTGCAGAGTTGGGGTCAATGTGACATAACCCTTCAACATAAAGCTCGGGATTGAAGCTGTGACGTAGCTCAGTTTCAAATTTTCAACAATATACTTTAACGATCCGTGTAGTCGCAAATCACAAATCAGTTGATCAATGCCAGTTTCGTCTACCGGCAAAAGCAGCAGCAAATAGTACCTGGTGCTATCGAGTGGGAAACTCAATGCTAGTGAATTTAGATTTGGCGAAAAATAGAACGGGAGCAGAGTCTGATATTTCATGTAATTTACACCCGTCTCTCTGTACTTTCCGTAAACAAGAAATGTCATTGGATCTGGACGAGGTTGCTGAGTATTTTTATGCTGACGGTCATAGTATCTGGCCAATACGTAATCCTCTACAGATCGAGCATTTCTTTTATTGAAATTATCGTTAAATCTCGCACTCATTGCCGGAACCGGATTAGAGATCATATTATTTACGACACTGCTTGACGGTTCGTCATAATTTTGGGGAAAAGTTCCGTTATTGTCCACCGGTATGTTTGCGTCTTGATAATTATAAGAATAATCGAAATCTGGATTAAGCACAGTCGTATCTTCGTTAGGGGCGGCGGTATCAGATAAAAATGGCGTGATCGCCTCGTCGTAAAGTGGAGGTGGCGTGGTACTTGACTCAGGGAATGGAAACTGACTTTCAGTCTGCTGAAAAGTTTGTGGCGTGCCTACGATTGGCACGTTTGTGGGTTCTGTTGTTGTCGACTCTGCATCTGGAACCAGTGTTGATAAATTTAAATTTTCTTCGGAGATTGTCGTTTCAGGAATATTCACGTCTGTGACGCCCCCGATGTCCGTCTTTGTACTTGTAGTTAATTCCTCGGTCACCGATTCTGATAACTTTGTTGTAGTACTGAGTTCTGTTGGCATTTCCTTTTGCCGTGTCGTAGTAGCGATGAAAGGATTAGTAGTGGGTGCCATGGTGGAAGCATCGCTGTCCGTCGTGGTGGGATTCGTTTTGGTAAGTGGTTGCGTTGGAATTGATACAGAATTGAGAGTCGTCATTTCTTCTCTGTCCGACGTTGTGGTTATTATTAATGGAACTGTCGTTTCTGGAGGGATTGTAGTGGTTGTCAGATCTTCCGGGGGACTAGTTGTTACCGTCGTCGTAGTTAGGTTTAAAGTTTCATTTTGGACCGCTGACTCAGTATCTACCATTGCCAGTTCAGTTGTAGTGGGTATTATAGTCGTAGATACTGTTGTTGCGTTATTTATTTCGCCTGCAGTTGCTGAGGAAAGTTCCGGAGGAAAAGGAATATTGGGTACAGCGCTTTTTTGTGTTGTGGGAGGTTCGGGGTATAGGGCATTATTGAAGGATCCATAATCGAAACCGTAAAACCTAAGAACTTCTTCATAATCCTTTCGCAGCGATACGTTGTTGAGGTTTAAAGTTAAACCGGCTAAGAATCCTTCCTGGGGGATGAAATAACTCTGAAAATAGGATGTATTCAGGCAGGTGTCGATATATCTATAAAAGCGAACCTTGAGATGTCGATGAATATCGCGAAGGCCTACTCTTACGATATGCCTGTCTTTTGGAAAATGGCCGGCGTGAATAATTTCATGGGCGGCGTCGCCTTCCAGACCTTCACTAAGGGCTGCTAAGACGCTTACAGCTCCGTACGGTGAAATCGCAATGTTGTCCTCATTGTGTTCGTTATGAATCTGGAACAAAGGATGGATAACTTATAATAATTAATTTAAATTCACACAAGGAAAAATACAAAGTTATGATATATCTATTTAATAACCTTTTCAAAAAAATGACGCATTCATGAATATATTTTTTAAAGCTTTTAAAGCTACGCAAGATTATGCTTCGATACATATTTTTATATGGGCAGTTTTACGAGGTCAGTCGAAATAAGTAACCATGTAATTTATTCAATTTTTCGTTCTTTGTTTATGGCACGTCTAAAGGTAAATGCTAAACTACTAAGCAATCATTCACTTTTTACTTTTTACCTTTACTAAATTTAATCCACTCAATGGTAGAAATTTGCTGCCAGCTAACTAGAAGAAACAGGATCGAAATATTGAAGTCTGAGCAATACACAGGATCGCTCATTACCTGGGACATTACTAGGAAATCCCTAATAGTGTGGTTTTTTGTTTTAATGAAAAATTTTAAATGCAAAAGTTATTGTAAGTCTGACGCAGCGTCTAAAATAATACATCAGCATGTTATTTCATTTTTGAGGTTTCTAAGCAAATTTTATAGGTCAATCATAGTAAATCATGCAAATCAACCCAATCAAGTTATTTTTAGTAAGTATTGATTTTGACCCTCAGGGACTGATTATTTTTCTGCCATTTTAGTTACAAGTTTGATTTGGCAGGTGCGGAGCTCAGCGGGTAGGTGCTTAATAAAGGAGTGACTGAAGAAGTATGTCAACGTTGTAAACTATACTTTTTCTACGACCATTAATTTTTGTGTGACTGTTGAACCGTGGCACATTTTCCGGAAATTCCCGAAGTGGATGGCGACAATGAATAATGAAGTTGACATTTCAAAGTGACACTTTCCGAAAGCTTGATCGGTGCATAATTGGTATTTTACAGTAGAAATTTCACCACTTCTTGAGTTTTGGTTAATTTTTACCGAAATTATTATATTATTATATTATATTATTATATATTATAACCTAAATAGGTATATGAATATGTTGTTCTTGGTGCACGTCGCAATATGTGACTTCAAAATAAAACGTTCCAAACGAATATTTTTTTAACCGGGCTCATAGAAATTTCTATTTGTTTCCGATTCATTAGTCCGCTGATATGCCTGATGGCTGCTGCAGATGGCACGACACCAACAGTTGAATCAAAAATTCGTTCCAGCATACTTTTTTACGCGATACAAATCATTCCGTTTTATGCATGTTATTGTTAATGGAGGGAAATACATAATTTGCGATCTCGCGTAGGATATACATAATACATAACACGTAACAATATGCGCTATTTAAACTAAGTGCGAAATCGTAAATAGTTCCATAGCACATACGTAGATATTCACATAAATCTTTCAAAATGAAATAAGATTAAATTGTAGACCTAATAATAGTATTCTAATATAGTGTGTTATGCAATAATTAAGTTTTATAACTGACTCTTTAGTCACTACTCTTAAAACAAAAACCAATGTTAACAAAAATACGAATGAGTGGTTGTTAACAATTGATCTTGAAAAAAGTTGCCTCGTCCAGATCGATATAATTTTTATGTGAATGTTTGCCAATAAACTGATTGGCATAATGTCTGCGAGGACGAATTTATTTGGTTTAGTGGTTTAGTTGAGTCTATAGCAATACGCAAAGAAGGAAAAGAAATTGAGCATGGTGGGTTAAAACTAACAATAACTAAACTAAGAATTCGTTTATATAAGTTCCAATTCCAAAGCTTTTCTACCATTCATTTCATTTTACGTTACCATACAGTACATAGACCAACAAGAAATTACGAGTACAGTGCTTTCAAAGATAAATGGTTTTGGCCTAATGACAGCAATAAAGAGGGGTGCTACCTGCAGGCATAAATTAACATATGGGTTGAGAAAAAATGATTAATAATTAATTTTTTATTTTTGAAAATCTACTCCTAATCTCTAAGTGTACATTACTAGTGTGTTGTTGTTTTGTCCAACATTGATTTTGGAAACATCATCATGTTTTGTCCGTGCGAATAAATTAAATATATAAATAAATTATGTGATATGGGTAAGATACGCTTAACAATCCCTTCCGTTAGACTTCATAGTTTAGGTTCCATTAGCTCTTTGTATATGTCGTAAATCCTCCTAAGTACTTGTCCTCTTGCTGGAACCGAAATATTTATTTAAGTTTCATATTTATTATTCGAGTTATACAGCGCGTCCAAGATAAGCTCGGACATCTCGTAATAGTCACGTGGTTCGTTAAGTGAAAGAAAAGTTGGACAATTTTATACCTAATCATATTCCGTTTGAAAGAAAATTGCAATTAGTTCCGTAGATACTCGAAAAAAGATAAAATTTGAAAAATTGCCTTATTCGAAAACGAATATATGAAGAGTTGAAAAACATATTTTATTATGACTTTTAAAAACTATTTTTTTTATATAATAGGTGCTCTTTTCGAAATTGGATTGGATTATAGGAACATGGCTCACCTTTTTACAAACAAAAAATATTTCAGTTGCAATCAGATAATCTAAAAAGTACAAATAATTAATATCAATATATTTAAGAAAATAAGTAGCATTATTAACGCGTAATTTTAACATTAAAGAATAGTAAAAATGAGAATAAAAATATGAATATAATTGTGTTATAAATGATGTCACTGTTATTTTTTCGAAATTCAAATGACTGTGTCACGTAAGATTTATTAAAGAAAGATTATATATGACTTAGCTACATATCTGCAGTGTGGCAAAGAATTGAATTTTATATACGTTACAGGCTATAGACTGTTTTTTTTACTTTCAAAGTTAAGTATCCTTCTAATTATATATTCGACAATACACTAAATATTTTCATGATTTTTGTTATTTTTTAAATCCGATATTTACCTTTTGCTTTTATTTTGTAATTTTTCCACTGCCTACTGTCAAATACTCAATTATTCACTGATTAGGTGGACGGGGTTGTGCCTCTTTAAGACGTCGGCTTCGGTCGCGAACAATTTCCGGTATTACTTTAGTCACAATCACGAGCGATATTTTCATGCTTGTCATTGCTATATGTAAATAATATAATATGTATGCATAATATATGTATGTATCATAATAAATGTACCTAAAATACTAATGGTCTTAGAAAAAGTATAGTATGCAACCCCAATTAATAAATTTCTTCAGTCGCTCGTTTATTAGGCGTGGTGACGAATTTATAGACTTTTTGGTCTGGATTTGACCATGAATTTTTCTGGTTAATAAATTGTTTCTTTTCTTTTAAATTCGTTTTGTTACGTTTTCATCCAGAAGTTAATTAAAAAAAAACGTATCTCCTACAAACATGAAGTTTTCGACGTCCATCCATCCAAGATCATTTCTTCTCTCATAATCGCTTTATCCAGTATACTGTCCATTTTACAGTACTCAAACTAACATAACATCGCCTACATATTTTAGGGGAGTCAAATGTGTTATGCCTGGATACGTCACTGTTGGGTAATATTCTGTTCTCCGTGATTTGACACATACAAGTTTGAAAAGACAAACGGCTAAACTTACTGCTAAAAGTTTGATCCCTAAATCGTTGATGGAGTCCACCATAATATCCATAGGCCTGGTCGGCTTGTAATCATAGTCTTCGGAGGGATGTCTCACATCAAAATGGTAGTAATCATTAGAAACCGATTGCCATGACGATTGGTGGAAAGAACCACAAACGTACGACACGATGAACAAAACTGCACAGGCTCTGAAGATGAGCATGACCGCCCGTGATAGTCAAAACCGACTGGACGAGTAATCTGCACTGAGGATGGGTTACCACTCTGGTAACGCCGGCCGTATTGTGGGAAAAACAATAGACATCCGAGACGGTAACTTGATGGCTCTTAATTGCGTTAGCAATTAAGGAGAATTTTCGTACCAGCGCAACGTTTAAAGAGGTGATACCGGATGTAATTTTCTCATCTTTGCTCGCCGCATCATTGTTGTTATTTACAACTTGCTTCTTCGAGGGAAGTTAAGAAACCGAAATTAAAAACTTAATACTGATTAATGTTTACTTATTCAGGGTAAGAATACGAACGGTTGAATCTTGACGATGGTAAGGCCTAGAGATTTAGAAAAAGAAAGGAAACTCTCTTCCTTCGTACTAATTTAATGTAAAATTCTATTTTTATAAAAAATAACATATTTGGAGTGTCAAGACAGTACCCAACCAAGCGGTAAACCGAATTCTTAAAGGTTAAATTTATTTGTAATTTAGTGCGGGATGCTGTTTTTATTTTCTATATTGCAAGTTTAGCCTTTACGACTCCGATTTAATGACTGGTTATTTATTCCCTTGACCAAATATGTTATCTTAGGGGTTAGCTGAACATGAGCGCTTGAGTGCTCGAATCATGTACCGACGCACAGTGATAGAAAATGCAATTCTAGGATTCCAAAAATATTAACGCTAGATAAGCATTTTTTTCGTTTATATAAATTAAGGTAGATACTTATTAACTCTCAAAATGTACATAACAGTTGTTGTAAAACTTGGTTTATATATTTATTTTTTTGTAATAATTATAATTACAATATGACAAACTAGTGTTCCATTTTTTACCATTACTGTACCTATTATGATAAATTTAACTGACAATACTGATACGAAACGTGATGCTAGAATTACTAAATTTTACTACTATGTAAAATGTAAACATATTTTGTGTATATAAGGTAGGTAGGTACATTTTTTTTATCTACCAAGTTTAATAAAAAAAACAATAATTTTTCGTTTTCTAACCAATAGGGAATTATTAAAATCAGTTAATCTACTACTATCACGAAACAAAGTCACTGTAAAAGTTAATGTTATAAATTTTATAATATATTTAATGATAATAAATCAATATTACCTAACTATAATTAATAATACAAATGGTGCAAAATGAAATATCTTATATATCTAATTAAATTCAAGTAGAAGATTGATAACTTCTGTACTAAAAACACTTTCTTTTTTTGGTGGTACAACCCTCAAACTAGATACAAGAGGGCCTACAGAGACTAAAAGAATATTAAATAAGTCTTTGTTGGAACCATTTCTAGATATCTTCCTAGTATTATGCTTCCTATAGTACTCTCCCAGCTGTCCTTTCGGTAATAAAAAGTTATCGATAACCTCTTTACTGTGAATCAAGATTTTATGCACTGAAGGGGGCATTGGACACCATTCATATAGGCCCACATAGATTTGAGCTGTTTCATAAGCATAATGGTCAAATTTCATTGAATCTACTTGATAACCGGATTTTAAAGTTTTTAATAAAATACCGCATCTATAAATTAAGTTTTGGTCTACACCAGTAATTCTGGATGGAATAGAAGGGTCCGAAAAAAATCTCCTAGCCGTATTCCGATCATTCGTATTACCGAACTCCGCTTTGGGAATATTGACTAGCAAACCTACTTCTTCCCTAAATTTTTTAATTATTTCCTGTTTCCTATGATTAAATGCGTCCTTATGAATTTTTCGCAATCGCCAAAACTTTTAAATTTAATCTATACGAAATATGAATGATACATTCAAAAAATCGCATGTACGTATGGAGGGTGGAGAGGCCTAGATTAAGCCCATCTTTATTGATAGGTAAAGATTTTATAAAATTAAGATTATTAAATTGAGCAGCTCCAGATTTGCATAGATAACATTTGAGGGAATAATGAGGTAGACATTAAGGAATTAATAATAATTCATGATACACAATATATTCTCTACTACCTAGATTAAGTTGAGTTGAGTGGATTTTGCCACAATATTGTGGATTTTCCTAATTCGCTTTTAAAATTTAATTGTAAAGGTACTATTGATATCGTCAATATAGTTGAATCATCCCCTTCAATTTTTTGTTTATAATTGCTTTGGTTTGCACTTCCGTTAGATCCCCATTTAGTGATTAGCTTTAAAGATGTTACAGGTCCTTCAACGTTGTCGAAAGACCTTTCGAACACTTCTTTTTGTACCTTAACTACACGAGATGTAGTATGATCTAATAATGATTGCAAAGGAACTTCAACTGATGAGTTAGTCACTAGAATCTTATTAGGGCAGCATTGTTTTTTGGCCTCTAAATTTAATCATAAGTGGGAAACAATTTTTTGAAACCTTTTTCGTTAACTTGGGCCCTTATACCTATGTATTGGTGACAGGTAAATTTAAAGCTAACAAAAAGGCAAGGACCTCAACTGCAGAAAACGATACATTATCTAAGCGTGCATTGCGAACTTCGATCTTCTTTAAACGAGTTGCTTTTTTCGGCGAAAATCTTATTTTCTGAACAAGTGAAGCGGCATCACGTTTTCCTGCTGTCCGTAACTTCATTTCAGTGGCAAAGCAAAGTTCGTCTTCTGATTTCGACGCCAGTTCAGTTTCAACCCTCCTGCGTTTAGTCTGTCGACTTCCTTCAGCGAATGATAATTTCGGACGACCTACATTTACCAGATTAATGGTTCTTAATGGTGGTCTTGGTCCTGATTTTAAAATTTCTTCCAAAAGCCATTTTTCATGTATACACTTGACCTTTGTTAAATAACGTTTCGATTTGTTCCACTTTTCATGCAGTTTTTTTGTAAAATTATCAATAATCTTGAGAACCAAATTCTTATCTTGTGCTAAAAGATTCTCACCCACAATGATATGTATAGTATAATCAAAAAGTATTTATAGGCTGTCACGTTTTCTAGGGTGTAAAGGGCCCTTTGATTTTAAAACCTCGAATAAGCCGATACGCCTAATCGTCGCGGATTTGTCTGTAAAAATACATATTGATGTAGAAGGGGAAGGGCGCGTGGTGGCAAAAGTTTTTTGATTTGAAAGAAAAGAAACTAGGCAAGAAGATGGTGTTAATTTCTAGCAGTCGCAAATAGTCGCAAAAAAATTCTTCTCTGCTATACAACAATGTTACCGCATTTAGACTTCAATTATCATTGTTTCAATGTTTTCAATTTTCAACTGAGCAGCATTAAAACTCTTTTTCACTAAATATCATAAATATATGTAAAACATGCACTACATACTTCCAGAAATATGCAGCATTTTTTGAAGGTTTTAAAACTCAAAACATATTATTTCAAAGAGCAATTAATACTGTAAACTAAAGAGATACCATAATTTCGCTAATCGGATTAAATGTCGCGACTTGTTAGAGCGTGTAGCTTTTGTTTCTCGTATAGGGCGACTAAGATTATTGTGTTATTGTTAATCAGGTATCTCTAAAGGATGCTAAATGGTTAAAAAAAAAATTTGTTTCATTAAGTAATTTGAATTTTGGAACTTCAAATTTGCATTTTCTATCACAGTGCGACGTAGTCACATTAAATTAGTGTATTTGGTTGTTCCGTTTCTCTTGAGTTTAATACTTTACTTTGAGAGATGGACTACTTTCAAAATATCACAAGGATTTTATGCCTAATAAGAAAAAAGAGTTGTAAGACTAACACTGCCTATATATATATATATATATATATATATATATATATATATATATATATATATATATATATATATATATATATATATATATATATACATATATATATATATATATATATATATATATATATATATATATATATATATATATATATATATAATATAATAAACGTCAATTTAGTCATAAATTTGATTTGGCATTAGCAAATCCAGTCCTTCCTCTTTTTGCAAAACAAGAGCGTCTGGCGTCTTAAAGTAACATTGTTCTTTGCATTTCATATTTTAAATGAATCTAGTTCCTCTTGAATGTGCTGCATTAAGATAACACCAAAAAGAACTACTGAAAAACACGAATTTATATTATTCTTAGATCAAAACTATACAGATGTGCCAAGAGACCGTATTGTGCTGTAGGTGGTAAATTTAATTTAGTGTAAATTAACAGGTAAAAGGTTTTATGGCACATAAGATTTGTACTCTACCAAAAGCAAGTCAATCAATGCTTTCACATACATTTTAATTTGAATATGGTTCTTAACTATGAGCTGTGCAATTTTTCACATATCGTCAACTCCATATCTAATTACGAAGGCATAAACAGGCAATGGATGAGTTCAAAAAATTATAGGTCTGGTACATATTCGTAGTAATTAGGATCTTATTATAGGTATAGCTTAGCCATGGATATATTATTCGCTTTTGTTATTCGTTTTACATTGTCATCCGTTAAAATTGTCATTGGAACACTTCAACAACAGAACTGTTAATTTTCATTCCGATTTCAACACCGCCGCGGTGAATCCTTGAATTTGGCAACTGGCAATGCAAGCCTGGTTGTTCATTACGGTATTCTAAATAAATAATTTTTACTAAATTTGAATCTTGCGCAAAAAAAATGTTTTTGTGTGCGAGTTGTAGGTTCTAAACTCTTTTTTGTGAGTCAAATTTCAAAAATCACTATTTGGAATATTTTGAAAAAGACGAAAAAGTATCTACATCGATTTACATTACTCTAAAACACAGGATTTAAAAATGAAAATGTTATTAATTTTCAGTTTTTTAAAAATATTGAAAGGATTTTTCGATTGGTGAAGACACGGTGTTGTCCAAACAATTGTCACGTCAAAATATATAATTTCATGAAAATCTGAACTTTTAGTTCTTATTTATTGTGATAAATGGATTTTCATCAAGTAAAAGCGTCCTCAGTTCAAAATTTGGTACAACAGTTGACAAAATTCCAAAGCCGCATTTGTAACCGAGATATATAGAGTAAAACAAAATTTAAAACAAAAAAGTAATTAAAAATGTTAGCAGAAATTAAAATTTTTCTGAAAATCATATTTGTAAATGTTTGAAAGTGCTAAAAAAACCATATAAAAAAATTTCTCCTTTCCCTTGAATTTGGAGATATCGAGGTAAAGAATGAAGCCACATTTGCCAGAAACGGCATAGTGTCATCACAAGATTGAGTCCGTGGAGTGAAAATAAACTACGTTGCACAATAGAGAGTTCATGTTTTCTGTAATATTTTAAAAACAAAATTATTGGGCCATATCTTTATCTAATATCTAATATCTAATGCTGAGTTTGTTGACAAACTTTTGATAAACTTCCTCTTGATTAACTGATCAAGTTAAATTTTCAACTTGAGGCACCCGTAAAGCCGTCGATGTGTTAAGTTTTGATTAAGGATACTTCGTCTGGTTTTAAGTTTTGTTTGTGTGTTGGTTTCACGCCAATTTTATTAAGGAATTTTAATAATAAGTCTATAAGCATATTAAATAATAATTCAAGAAAAGTAACTTATGGTATTGCTATAGAAGAGTTAACGCGATATTTGTTGCTTATGAGTTATGAGTTCCCTTCAAGGTGCAAGTGATACCTTGAACATGAAATCCGCTCTATAATCGTAAGAAACATAACATAACATAAGAAACTCTCTAGTGTTTTATTGATTAATTTGCTTTTATTTTTAATTTTTGTTTTATTCCACTCAAACCGACATTTTTTTAACTTCAATGCCAAGCAGATCTGATTAATGGAATAAATAATTAAAATTTAATTTAGGTAAAAGTTAACATTTTAGATAAAAATGGAAATGTTCTTAAAAATTTAAAAAAGAATATTAAGAGAAGGAGTATTTGAAAGAATAAAATTGATGCAGGTTTTAAGATGCAATGTCGGATTTTCAAATTTTAATTGAACGTCCTGTAGAGGATAAAAAATTGATATAGCAAAGTATCAGTTATTTAAATATACTTCTTTAAATAAAATCAGGAAAAAATATTAAAGAAATAATCGATTCTCGTTTTTTCCGGATATCTCCTAAACTAGTGGGAATTTTCTTAATTTGAAAACGGCTTGAAACTGAGTACGAAAAGGTATAATTTGAATAACTTCGCATTTAATTCGGCTTATTATTCAATTTGTGACACTCTGTGAACTTTTGGTCAGAAGTGAGTCTCAATTTGTTAATATTAGATGTCGAAAAAGTCTAATCCCGACCACCAAACCACTGAAAATACCTGCTCTTTCTAATTGAGGAATTTTAGCCAAGTCATAAATAATCTTTCTAGCCACAATACTTTACCCAAAAGAAATGGAGTGGCATGAAAATCAGTAGGTAAGGTTTAGCGTTCATTTGCACTTTCATATATTATCAATAGGTGACAATGTTTGAATATTACAGTTACCGATTATATATGACTAATAAAATATAACATTGATATTTACGTAAAAAATATAAAACATTCATTCAAAATCGGAATGTCTAATTATGTTATGCAGCTGCATAAACAAGAAGCGGTTTTTCCGGCTGCATAACTGCTTGTGTTAAAATCGACGAATTATTGCGCAGGATTCGAAAATGGCGATCGTATCGTTCGTGAGTTGCTGTCAATTTTAAATCCACTAAAATCTTAGAACATAAATGGCGTAAAAGGTGAATCCGGTATTTATTGTAAATTGTAAATAGTTTCTTGTATAGTTAGTGATAATATTTTGTGTTGTGAGATCAATTTTAGTGTAAAAATTGCGGAAGATACCAGTGTTTGTGTACAGTGAAAAACTTACAAAGCCGACGCCGCCGTAGAGAACTTTAAATTATTCGAACAATACTATAAGTTGATGTATAAGTGTTCAACCAACCCTCAAAAGGTGAATAGATTATCATTTTTCTTTCTTTGTATTTGACTCTTTAATCGTTTACATGGCATTTCTTTGTGTTTGATTTCATCGATTGTCAAACGCCATTAATTTGTTTGAAACCGGGAATCTGAAATGTCATTCGGTAAACATTAGTGTAATTTTATTGCAAAATTGCACTTCCATTTTGAACTTCATCTCAAGCCAACTGCAACTTGCAACCTATAATCTGACTTTCCATTCTTGACTTACAATTTGGAAAAACGTCATTCAATTGAAACTTTGTTTTGCAAATAAGAGATTAATCACATTAATTTACAAGAGATCACTTTTTATCGTAGTCGTCTTTTTAGAAAAAATGGTTTGCTTTTTGTTTTTGAATTGAAGCCATACAAAAGAAGACATTTGGGATTTTTTAATTTGTTGTGTTCTCCAAATAGTAACATAACCTTACTTCTTTTCATATTCGCATTTCATTATTCTCTTGTAACGAATTGATGGTTTTCACGAACGCCAAATTATATCCGTTGGAATGCAATTGCGATTTAGTAAGTATTAATCAACCATAATATAACTTCTCAATAGCTGTTAAACATAGAAAAAATATTTAGCTTTTTTAAGTGAGTTGATGCCTAACCAAAACTCCATTAGAAGGATGGATAATGCAGTGGCAATTTGCAATTTAACTTTTTACTAATCTTCTGTCCCATCTGAACATAGAATTAAATTATAAATGTCTTGACTTCCTGTTATGAATCTTTGACTTATTGGTACCTTATTCATAGTGAATCCAATGAAGTGGTTGGGAGGAGGCGAAGCGGATGGCATTATAAAGGCTGAAATGGACCGTGGACCTCACCGTTCACAAGATGATGCTGCTGTAGGTTATGTTTTTCAAAGACCACCTGATCCTGAATTTCCTCCTTTTGGTCCAAAGCAGCTTCGCTGGGCTCATGGAGATGAAAGCATTATTGAGGTGAGACCTTTAAATTATGTATTGTCTCTGATTATAATATACGATTATGTCCGCAGAGTCATGACAAATGGAAATTTCCATCGGCTACTTCGTCCAATGCTTTAGGTCCTAAAGTTCCCACCCCTCCAGGAGTTGCGTCTGGGTTACTTCCTTACGGTTCACAGGGTACCACTCTTCCTTCATCCCTTTATGATCTCGGCCAAAGCAAACCGCCAATGCCACAACTCACACACGAACAGTTGATTTATATGCCTTCCAGTCAATTGCCCCATCATGGTGGAAGTTTATCTGTGCATCATCACTATTTCCAGCAGCAGTCCTTGGCAGCTGTGGCTGCCCAACAGTCAATGTCATTAAGGCAACCGCAGCAACATCAGACGCAGGTAAGTTATTTTTGCATGCAGTAGGCCTACTTTTAATTTTATTAAAACTTCGAGGGTCTCCAAGACAAGGCCAAATTTTTTACCAACATTACTCAAGTGTGTGTAAAAGTTCTGTTAACCAGTTTACCGAGTATATTGAAAATTTTCCTTTTTTTTAAAAGTAAAGAAGCAAAGTTTTCTGTGTACTTATTCATATAAAGTTCTAATAAAATAATTTGTTTGGGGGACTAACTAATTATGCAGCAGGTTTGATATTCAAATCATAATTGAGGAGTGATCTGGCCCTCACCCTGTTGTTTTGTTCCATTCAAATTTTAAAAACGGCTAAAGATTTCTGTTAATAATTTTTGTTTGTTTTGTTCTTAATTGTTAACAATACTAAATTAATAATTGTAACTCACCAGATGGTAATTTTATATGAAAAATCTTGATGGATTGAGATATTTTTCTCAAATTTTAAAATGTTAATGCTATTGCTTATTTCTGATATCTTCAGAAAAATTATGACTTAAGAACGCAAAAAAAACCTCAAACACCTTCGCTTGCCACATTAATTTTGTTAATACTACTTTCAAAAGTCATGGGATAATATTTACTATTCAATATTTCAATCAGTTTGACTAATGAGCCTTTTTTTAGCAAAGTCGCTGTGAACCCTTCTTTCTGATCTAAGTTATGAAATATAAAATGTACATATAATTTTATATTTCTCATAATATGTAACAATACAGAAAATTCCCATTTATCATTTAGTTGGTAGATACTTTAGATGAGACATACCAGGTTAGAATAGAGACCTACTTATTTTTTGAAAATGATTTTTGGTCACAGATTTTTAGGAAAAAAGTTTTTATTAGTAAAATGAATGTTTGTGGAAAAACACCATAACTATTTTCTAAGTTTATTATGAAGTTGCCTACTGATTTCGACTTTTGTTTAATATATGAACTTTTAAACCGCATTTTGTTTTTTTTTTTTTAATTTTAATTTGTGGAAAATGGCGAATCCAAAATTTTGCACCATGGCATGTTATTTTATTTTTTTTATATCTTACCATTACCCTGTATCAAGGCCATTTGGGCTACTAAATTGTAAACTTCTGGTTATCGACTACGTTTGTCTAAATCCATTTGACCATTTTTAATATTTTTTCTTCACTTCACTTCACATATGTTGAAAAATTAGAATAGTTTTTATGTTTAACACCCTTTGTAGGTTTAATTTTTAGTCGCCGTTTGTATATAACATATATGTAAGTCTGTTTTGGGCAGGTAATAAATTATGTAATTTATGTAAAAAATGACCTACTCATAAAAAAAACATTTGAAGTGGCTCTTACGTGATACATTTTTTTTGACAAGCTAATAACAAGCCTAATTAAGTATTAAGAGACATAACGTATTCCATAAAAAAAAACACAAGTTTAATATGTATATCAAAGTATGTGAGTTTCAGAAGATCCTATTTTTCTTCTTCAACAATTGTGTGGCTTTAGTTGATAGAAATTTACAAATTCATGAAAACTTTAAATAAAGCCAAAAGGTTTGCGTGATCATTTAATGACTAAGACAGTGACACGCAATTTATAAAATTATATTATATTATACCCTATACACAACATACTGTCGAAATTCAGAAACCACAATAGTTATTAAACACTGAAACAGCAAAGATATCTCTTTTTATTTCTTTATCGCAACCGGATGTGTTCTTTTACATAAAAACACTAGTGAATGAGCGACTAAAATAGTTCTAACACTAAAGTTTGATTCACGATCGAGCCAAATGCCAAAATAGTATTTATGGATACAAATATAATTTTAGCATTTAGAATTAGTTTTTGTCTCCATAAACACGCTTAATATATATTTAGCTTAATGGAAGGTCCCGAATGACGAATTTACACGAACTTTTAAGTTATTTCCGAATAAAAAGCTTCGTTAAGAATTTGATATGGAAAGGAAGTTTTTGAATTGAGGACGATAGTCATGTCACGTCTTGGGCGTCGATGCCAATGCAATAAGACTGAAATGGGTTCAAAGCAGAGACCGACAAAGATTTAATTATTCATGTAGAAAATATTGTTCTTTCAGATTTTGATATTTGGCATTGAATTTACAGGATGCAAAAAGATATGCAAATTTTAATAGTTTGTACGTAACCCCTGTATATTACAACTTATCTTTTCTTTTTGTCTAAACAACAACGCTTTCAATCAAGAAGTAAATAATATAGGGCGTATACGATGTTTAATTAAATATTTTAACATTTGAGTGACAGATTTTAATAACTTTAATAATTTCCTAGATATTTTTATGAAATGTAGCATATGCCCCCAAAGCAAGTTGCGTACAACCAGGATGTGGACTAGATATTTTTAGAAAATTATTATACACATTGGTACTTTTTCTCAAAGTAAAAATTTCGATTTCAAAATCCTTATGTTTCAAAAGTAAACGACAAAACGTAATATTTTGGTTAGTTTCTTTTTTCCTTGTGCTGAACGATCAGAGGTGCAATAATATACCAAGTCCATTTTGTTGCACCGGTGTTTTCGATAAAAAACACATTCACTTGAAAAACGTTCCACACACGGTTCGTACTTAACCTCTTCAAATAGTTCCGTTTACGAACTTTTTAAGACGTCATAGAAACAAAATATGTTAGGAAGAAGGCTTAAAGGTTCATCTATTATAACGTAATAAATAAATAAATGTATTATTCAACGCACCCCTCAATTGATATAAAATTAATTCTGGAATTCAAAACATTGCCTGTGCCGAAACCGAGGTTGAAACCTTATATAAAAATATGGAACAGATGAATATTGTACATACGAAGATACACATTTAAATAGCACAAATATCTAGTTACTGTCGAAAATCCATAAATTTTGGCGCAGACAAAGGAGTTTGTGAAAATATCGGCGACTTGTTCCGTGGTTGAAACATATTTCAGTTTAATCTTATTGTCAATAACGCAAAGGCAAAAATACACTCCTTTGTACAATCTGACAACGCAGTATACTCAGCTTCTGAGCAACTAACTGAAACAGTTGTTTGCCTTTTACGTTTTCAAAATACGTAATTATTGTAAATTTTGATTACGTATCCTGAAATACTTTTTCGATCATGTATGTCATCATATTTGACTGTTTGGAAGGAGATTCAGAGTTGCTTTACTTCATGATTCTCAGTTTACATTGCAATTCTACTTGTAAAGCAAAACCATTTTTGGTATATGTCTGGTTGAGAGTGTCTCCCAGGGATTGTATTTCTAGCTGTGGCGTCCTTTTTTAACAAACCAGCTGACCGATTCTCGTCCGTAGGTAGTTTCTCTAATATTACTGATAACATATCCTGTTGCTCCAGGAGTAGTTTTATCCTGAATTCCCAGTTCCCATATCCGACGCCCTCAAACGGTTTTCCAGCTGACATAAACCGAAGTCGATTTTGTTCCACCGGTGTATTAGTCAAAATACAAAAGAAAGGAATAACATTCACTGAAAAAATGTTCCACACGTGGTTCGTTCTTAGCCCCTCTAAACAGTTATGTTTACGAACTTTTTAAGAAAGGCTTAAAGATGCATTCACCATAACGTTCTTTAGCTGGATGCGAATTGATAAATAAATGTATTGTCCAATCTCTTGTTCATATTTTTGACACCAAATATGTTATAAGTTAAACCAAAGTTTACATATAATAATATAATACAATATACTTAAATTGTGCCATCGCTTTACTTTACAGTAGACAGTAGTTTATCGTTTTTTCGGTACTTTCATAAGACTATATACGCCCTTGTCTATGCAACTGGTTGGTTAAAAAAACAAAGTTAAGGCCAGTAAACGTGTGAACACGTTAGTTGCCATGATACACATTAGTTATGACAAGCAAAATTCAAACATCTAAAGTCCTATTTATTTATTTATAGGATGTATTTATTAGTATAAATGTTGAGCAAGTATTAAATAAATATTTTCCTGCCGCCTACTACTTTAACTGTACTATACTGTAACTATAAAAAGTGAATTTAGTAATCACGTCAACTATTAGTTTTATATGACCCAATCTTAAATAAATTCATATATTTAAGATATTTATTTCACTTTCATTCTATCAACCTATTTGTATACTCCTCGTATGCTAACCACACCATGTTTCCGGTCGGGAATTATATCATCCGATGCTATAAAAGTAGATGGCGTTCTTTGTATTGATCAGATAGTAGATTTAGGAACAATGAGACAGCTATGTTATATATAGTATATATTCTATATATTTTGTTTCAACCGACAATATTTCCGACCACTTTTTTAAAAGCCAATGATTCTAACTCTTTAAGGATCAGGATCTTATTCTGAAACGCCCTGTACAACGATAAAAATATTCGATAATGTTGCAGAAAAGACGTGCAACGTAGATATTGTTATCACTGATATTAAGTGAAACATAAATTGCCTGTCTAATCTGAAGTTAAAATTGTCTTAACGCGTTATTGTCATCCTCTGGTTGCAAAACGCGCTGAAATTAAAACATTTAAAGACTTTATTATGTACTTAAAGAGGTTAGTGTTTCAAGGGCAGTTTCGCTTACAAAAGCGGTATGTTTGTTATTCGCTGGGTTCGCAGATTATATGAATATTGCGCGACAGCGATGTCGACAATACTTTTTTGTAAAAATGATGTACAGTTAAAAAAATCGTACGACAGTCATTACTAAAGCTTCACAACAGCAATAACTTTGAAATTTGCAATTCAATATTTAAAAACTGTGACTTAAAGAAAACGATTTGGCAAATAATGTCTTCCTGTAATATTTCTTTACCAATTTCTCAAAATTTGTTTTGTTGCTTTAGATTGCGTTGTTTGTTTGGAATAGGTTATTTTAATTTCTTGGATTTCATCGATATATCAATCGATATCAATAAAAACTAAATGCATTTGAAAGTAAAGATTATTTCGTAAATAAATTAGTTCGTCGGACTGAATATAACGCGT